GAACACTCAAGGCTGAGGTGGTAGAGGCAGAGGAGGATATGAAAGAGGTAAGGAGCAAGTCAGTCAACAAAACTGGCGTGGCCGAGGACAAGGTAGAGGTCGTGGCGGTAGAGGCTGAGGTGGTCAGTCAAGCAATTTCGGAGTTGAGTGCTTCAAATATAGGAAGTACGGTCATTTTGCTAAGGACTGTTATTCAAGTATCAAATGTTATAATTATGGGAAGGTTGGGCATTTCGCGAAGGAATGTCGATTTGAGAGCAAGAAGGAAATAAATCTCCTTTCTGAGGACGTTGAGGAAGGAGTATTGATGATGTCGAGAAGTTCGGATGTCGAGCTAAGTCCGAGCTGTTCTAACAACTCGGTTTGGTATCTTGATACAGGAGCAAGTAACCACATGTGCGAGGACGAGAACCTTTTTAAGGAGCTCACTAAAGTTGAGTTCGGACACGAGTTGTTTGGAGATGCATCAAAGGTGGTAGTAAAAGGCAGAGGTACAATCTGGTACCTGCAGAAGAATAGCCAAGTTGGAGAAATCAGAGACGTGTACTATGTACCCGATCTCAAAAACAACATATTGAGCATGGGCCAACTGATGGAGAAATGTTACTCAGTTCTGATGAAAGATCGAGTACTATACCTAAAGGATAAGTCAGATCGTTTGATTGCCCGAGTAGAAATGAAGAAGAACAGACTGTACAAGCTGGACTTGAAGATAGTCCAAGAGAAGTACTTGAAACTTGACGTGAAGGATGAAGCAATGATGTGGCGCTTTCGATTTGACCACTTGCATTTTGACGGGCTGACCGAGTTGGTAAAGAAAGAGATGGTGCGAGGACTCCCGTCTATGGAATTTAAAAAGAAATTATGTGAAGAGTGTGTGCTCGGGAAGCATCTGAGGACCTCATTTCCGAGGACGGCCAAGTACCGTGCAAAGGAACAACTCGGATAGATTCACACAGATCTTTGTGGACCGGTTACCCCTGAGTCCTTTAGTGGGAAAAGGTATTTTATTTCTTTTATAGATGATTTTTCAAGAAAAACCTGGGTATATTTTTTGAAGGAGAAATCCGAGGTGTTTGAGGTGTTCAAGAGATTTAAAGCAATGGTTGAGAAAGAGACTGACATGCCTATCAAATCTGTTAGGTCTGATCGAGGAGGCGAGTTCATTTCATCCGAACTCATGAACTATTGCGAGGAGTAAGGGATAAAGAGATTTCTGACAGCACCATACTCACCCCAACAAAACGGAGTTGCCGAGAGGAAGAATCGAACCATTCTTGACATGGTTCGAACAATGTTGAGAAGCAAAAACGTGTCAAAGGAGTTCTGGGCAGAAGCAGTGCAATGTGTCATCTATGTGCAAAATAGATGTCCACATGCTAAGCTGAACGAGAAGACACCGCAAGAAGTCTGGAGTAGAAGAAAACCAAGTGTGTCTCACCTTAAGTGTTCGGTAGCATAGTTTATCGTCATGTTCTAGCTTAACAGAGGACCAAGCTCGAAGATAGAAGCAAAAAATACGTGTTTATTGGGTATGATGAAAAAACCAAGGCGTACAGGTTATTTAACCCAATAACTAAGAAGGTCATCATGAGCCGAAATGTTCAAATTGATGAAGAAAGCGAGTGGAGTTGGAACAATCTGGAGAAGGAGTCTATAGGAAGTAGAAGCTCGGAAGTTGATACACCACATACTGTGAGAGATCATGAGACTTCTAATGAAGAAGATGAACCTCTACAGCCCAGAGCGCGAAGTTTACAAGATATATACAACTCCACTAACGAAGTGCATGTTGTATGTCTCTTGCCAGATTCAGAAGACTTAAGTTTTGAAGAGGTCGTGCAGGAGAAAAGGTGGAAAAAGGCAATGGACGAGGAGATCGGGGCAATAGAATACAACAACACATGGGAGCTGACTGATTTGCCCAAAGGAGCGCGGCCTATCGGCGTAAAGTGGGTGACAAGAAGAAGACAAATGCTGAAGGAGAAGTTGAGTGATATAAAGCTCGACTCGTAGTGAAGGGGTACAAGTAGAAGGAAGGAATAGACTATGACGAAGTATTCGCCCCAGTGACGAGAATGGAAACAATTAGGCTGCTGATTTCCTTAGCAGCTCAACACAGATGGACAATCTTGCAGATGGATGTGAAGTCGGCATTTCTAAATGGAATCTTGGAGGAGGAAGTATATGTTGAACAACCACTCGGATACATGCGAAGAGGCGAAGAGAAGAAAGTGCTGAGATTGAAGAAGGCACTTTATGGCTTGAAACAAGCTCCACGAGCATGGAATGAAAGAATTGACACTTACTTCAAAAGGAATGGATATGAGCAGTGTCCTTATGAACATGCTCTATACATAAAGAAGAAAGGAGAAGATGTGATGTTTGTTGCCCTATATGTTGATGACCTTATCTTCATGGGGAATAATGCCGAACTTATTGAAGAGTTTAAAGAAGTGAAGAAGAAGGAGTTTGAGATGACTGACTTGGGTCTTATGAAGTATTTCCTTGGTTTAGAAGTTGTTCAAGGAAAGAATGACATCTTTGTGTCGCAGGAAAGGTATGCTGAGGAGATTTTGAAGAAGTTTAAGATGATAAGTTGCAACCCGGTTTCCACCCCTATGGAACCTGGTACAAAACTTTCTAAGTATGCAGATGGAGACCGAGTTGATGCGAGCAAATACCGAAGTTTGATTGGAAGTCTTAGGTATCTTACAAGATTTAATGCTAAGTGTTGGAATAGCAAGTCGATATATGGAAAAGCCAAGGTATACTCATTGGAAGACACTAAAGAGAATTCTAAGGTATGTGAGAGGAACATTGTCACTTGGCCTAATGTATACTAGGACGGATGATTATCGACTAGTAGGCTACTCTGATAGTGACTAGTGTGGAGATGTTGATGACCGGAAAAACACGTCTGGATATGTATTCTTCATGGGAAACACAGCATTCACCTGGCTTTCAAAAAAGCAGCCCATTGTAACGTTGTCAACTTGTGAAGCCGAGTATGTTGCAGCATCCTGGAGTGTCTGTCATGCAGTTTGACTTAGAAACCTTCTAAGCAAGCTGGAGTTGAAGCAAGAAAAAGGGACTGGGATTCGAGTTGATAACAAGTCGACCATTGAATTGGCAAAGAACCCGGTCAATCATGAGAGAAACAAGCATATTGATGTTCGGTTTCACTTCATCCGAGAACAAGTGAAAGAAGGACATGTGGAGTTAGAGAACGTCAGAACCCGGGCACAAGCTGCATATATGTTCACAAAGCCACTGTCAACCACTCTGTTCGAGAACAGCAAGAAGATACTTGAAATGAAGGACAAGAAAAGCATTTAAGTTTATAGGGGGATTTTGTTAGGTAAACATTAAATGCATGTAGTTGAGAGGTAGTGATTATAGAGGTAGTAGTTGAGAGGTAGTAGTTGTATTAAATGTATGTAGTTGAGAAATAGTGGTTGTATTGAATGTATGTAGTTGAAAGGTAGTAGTTGTATTAAATGCATGTAGTTTAGAGGTCATATTCAAATACCTATAAATTGACCATGTACCACTCATTGCAAAAACATCAAGTGATAACATATATAGTGTTTTGTTTAGATACTTATTTGTCAACACTATCAGTTTTATGTTGGCTTAATAGTGTAAGTTATTCTAATAGTAAGCTTTTGCTTAATCTTCTGTGTATATGGATAGAAATTTGCATTATTGTTTACTCCACCAACATTTAACGTTTTAGAATAGTTATTCTCATTTTTCTCCAAAATATATATAGAGTTATTTTATAATTCTATTTTTTTTAGTTTTAATTTATGTATTATTTTAAAAAATGGCATTTTTTTTTCATTTTCATATAATCTCCTCAATTCTTTGTACCAGAGCATAGGCTATAAGTTTCAAGGTTTAAAATAGTAAAGTAATTTTGTATGGATTGATCCTTGGCTAATTAAATATTCTGTTAATATAGTCTTTAGTGTTGTTTTCCTAATTAACGAATTAGATTTGTGGTTATTATTTATTTGGAAATAATTTCATATTATCTTAATCTATGAAATGAACCATTGTTTTGCCTTTTGAAAATCTGGTGTAGTGACAAATCTTTCCTGCGTTATGTTGTCAAAAGAGGGCATTGATTATATTTTATCATAAAGTGTTTATGTTTTATGTGTACGATAAGAAAAAGTTTGGAATTTCTGTTGGGTTATCAATTGTAATTTTAATTTTAATTCGCAATATTGTTTTTAAATTTAACAGAAACAAACAATTTGTTATCAGAATAGATTATTATTTGATGGGATACGTTCTTCACGAGAAAAAAAAAAACACTTAGAAAAAAAAAGAGAGAAAACAGTACTGTATTGGGCTCAACTATAGGTGAGTTACATTCCAAATTTAAGATATATGATTAATTGTAAAACTCTAAATCTTCTTTATTATGCTCTAGATCAAATTATAGTTTAATCATAACTGTTGCCAACCTACATAAGTCTCTTCATAAGATTGACAAATTCCATATAACATTATTAAAAAATTTCATTACTCATTAGTTTTGTCAAAATTCTATTAAAATTTACCAAAAAAGTTGGCTGACAAAACATACTTATGAGATGAAAATCCCGAGATGTATTGACTAAGGTAATAATAAAAGATAAATTTTAAACTGAAAAAATATCGGCAAAATAGAAAATCCAACTTGGAAGACTCTCCGATTATCAAATAATAAATTCAACTCCCAAATTGAAATACCAAACTTGGATGTATAAAAAATAAATTCTAAAAAATAGATTTCACACAAAAGAAAGCAGTACATTTTCAGTTTCATTTGCTTATAATTTTGCTATGACAAAGTGTTACATAAATTTCATTCAAAAAAACTTTGCATGTTTATTAGTCTAATCAACTAATAAACACACCTCGGAGTACAGTCAGTGAAATGCGAGATCAAAATTTATAATAATATGGTCTATCTGCACAAACACTGTAACACTACTATGTTTGCATCAATTACTGAGAAATTTCCGCTTTTTAGTTGTGTTCATGTAAGGTCTAATGACCCATTCTATCTGAGCTTCAGCTTGATCCACCGTTCCCAACTTTATCTGCAACAAAGTTTTTCGAAAACATCAGGAACTGATTGTACTAGTTTAACAGAGTTGTTGTATGAGGAATAGCGAGTTTCAATGACAATCGACTTGGGAAGAAGAATGTGTAAATAATAAAGCTATAAAACTTAAGTATGAACTACTATAATCGTATTTAATCTTGCGAGCTAGGATATCCACTTTCAGCAGCTATGATACCAGAGACTGAAATAGCCAGTGGTTCAACAATGGGTTCCAAATATTAAAAGCAATGCTTAATCACAATTTAAAGTAACACTGCTTATTGAATTAATCTAGATCATGTCAAGTAGCTGCATTCATCGTCTAGAAAAATTGGTTGAAGTTACAAAACTATGACGTTTAAATGAAAAATATATCAAGACGAAATACAAACACAACTAAGACTGAAAAATATTAATAATGATGAAAACAGGTTGGAAAGATATAATATAGCCCACGCAAAAACAATTGTTACACTATGCAGCTTTAAGCAAAACCTTAAATCCTAACTGCAACGATGTGTTGAAGTAAAAGGAGATTGTAGTGTTCTTCTAAATTTCAGTAGCATGTAGTTATTTCCTTCTAACTGGAAAATCATCCTTTCTTCTTCACAACATCACTAATAACAAAGCTATCAATAGTAGGGTTAATTGTGATGCAAACCTGATAAAGCCGTAACTCAAACCGTGGACCAATTTCCTTCAGTTCTATAGATTTAGGCCCCCCATGCTTTTCAAAAATATGATGCCTGTATGCAACAGACACAATTCAAATGAAAAGAATAAGAATTAACCAGTAAACATTAATACGTAATAGAACTTGAACCAATAATTGAAAAGGCTGAAAGCACAAAATTGGAAACATTGACCCAACCTGAATGAGATATAGTCAGACTGGTTGGAAAAAGTGACAATACGTTTTGTGTCTGGTTTTGGCACTGGAAAAAGATGCTTGAGAATGTTTGCTGACCTTTCACCTAACTGTTTAATGTCCAAAAGAATTTCCAAACAAGATGAGCAGTCAGCACTCAGAACAGTGCAATGTAGTAGATAGTAATTATTTTTGTTTAAGTTGAGTTGGCCAAAGCATATTTTATAATAATATACTCGAGAAATAAGAGAAAAGGACATCAAGTAAAGGTCATGGTAAACAGATTATGATCCTACATGTCAATTACGAAAGATGAATTACTAATGCTTTCCATGTAAACTGGTTCTTGGAAACTCTCACATTTTTCATGAAAAAAGGATGCAACAATATATTACGAGAAATAACTTTGTTGATCAAAAACCAGTAACGAACTGTTTTTTGAATCTCAGTTATTTTATTTCTCATTTCAAAAAGTACAAGAGATGTAATTGGAAAATTCAGCTATATAACTTTACACAGATCAGCGCTCAGTACACCCTCTCAACTCAGATTCATTTGCTAGTACTGCTCCTAATATTTTGGGCATTATAACAACATGGAATTTTGGGTATGGTTCTACCATCCTTTTCTCAGTAGATGCCACTTTTATTCTCTCTTAACATATTTACTCCTCATCTTATCTATTTTTATATGTCTACTCATCCATATTCTCATTCCTGTAACACTTAATCTATGCTATGGTCTACACTTAAAGGGAGATAAGAAATTTAAATCTAATTAACCTGTCAAATGCTCAAACCACAACCTAAGTACAGGTATTCAAACCACAACCAGATTACACAGTTCCACACTTGACATGCCATGATAGCAACACACTCCAACCCTTAAACATGTATATATTACTCTGGTTACGATGAGAGTTTGATATCACTTAGTGTTTTAAAATAATGAGAATTGCATGTCAAAATGGAATTTAATATCCATCTAGTACAATGTAAATATGTCTTAGTCAATAATATCATGTCAACTACAAACTAAACCAGTTACTTTTACATCCAGGTTTGAATTCTTTCAAATCATTTCATACTCCAATCACTACATTATAGAATAAGATAAGAACCAATGATACTGCAGGATCTGTAGTTATCAAAAGGTTCAGATACAAACCAACTTTGTATATCCTAAGATAAAAAAGCTCATACTGAATTATGAATACCTTAGTTGAGAAGTTATCAAGAACCAAATGTGGATAAGCCTCAGGCATAGTTCCAATGGCTTTCTTGTCTTTAATTTCATGCCTTGTAACCTATTATGAAACAACAGATTAGCATATTATTCCCTAAAATCAGTAAGAACATTGTAAGACTAATACTTGCCACATTGTGTAATCCAAAATATGCAGTTGGACCAAATGGCAGATGGCAAACAATTAAACCATCTGGCACACCACGATGTTCATGAACCAAAACAACATCAGTATAGTCATGTGCACGGCAAGATTCTATAATCTCTGAGATAACCTGAAATGAAAAGGAATATTACTTATATATAAATAAACTGATACAGAAAAAAAAAGGATTTATAGCACAAATGTAGTCAATTTGCTCAAGGAATCCATAATTAGTAGCTGGATATGTTTTAGCTATAGAGTTGAAAATAAAGCTAATTTCGGAAAGCCATCTAAATGAATGCAACTAAATAAAGCTGAGACCCGCTGAGGCAGACATTTATTCCACCTAGCTCACTTACAAATAAATTGATATAGAATTTAGGTGGGGAAGTGAAGAGGAAAAGGGAAAAACATAATAGAGAGGAGAGAAACAAATAGATCAAAGAAGCTGTGCACCACACCTATGAACTAACAGCGGCTAACCAACCAGCTAACATCCATATTTATATTTCCATATCAATAAATTTAGAAATTCCTACCTTAGAAGAGGTGCAGTTCAGAAGACGGATCACTAAGGTTTTCATGTCAAACAATAGATTAGTTAGATTATGATGTCAGAAATGTAGGAGCTAAAATAGTGGAACCTAGAAGGCTGGGTGTTATTCATGCAATGCCTTCAATCTCATTGAAAGACCCTAAAAATACATACTATTGGAAAAAATTATATTAAATTCACAGGCCTGAATGACCAATGCAAGTAATAAAAAGGGATGCAATGAGTCCAAATCCATCATAATCTTCTTTGTGGGATTCTTTACATATTGTCTCTAACCCATTGAGAATTTGTACTCAATTCTTTTTTGTTTATTCACTTCTAGCGAATCCCAATTTCAGCTTTGTACGCATTCTCCAGATAGGTTGAAGTTCCTTTAAGACCATTGGAATTTGGAAATCTAAAACTCCCTCCAAGGTCAAGATTTGAATATTGGGATAGCAAAAGAATTCGTAAAACTGACTTGTAGACCTCCCATAGCCTTCTAAACTTATTTATTCTGTGAACATCTACTTTGGAAACAGCACCAACTTTCTCTTATGAAATATTAGATTGAAGCTCTTGGAGTTGCTAAGCACTAGACGTGTCAATTACAACGTGCCTGACACTCAGGAATAACACAAAAAACTTGTTTAAATGTTAAATGTTTCATATTTCATTTTATAAGGCATTTTATTGCACAAGTATATCCATCTAGACCACTTCAGCAGAACGACAGAAAGATCAAACGGCCATGCATATGCCTTTATTGGATTGTCTTCACAGTGTCTATAGGTAAATTTTGGGCATCCACTCATTTCTTATCCTACCCTAGTTCTGCTCTAATTTCTAACTACAAACATATATTCTTATCTAAATCATATGACCCAAGAAACCACCAAAAACATGATGAAAATGAGACAATGGATGGTGAACCAGTAAAGACACCAACCTGACCACCACGATTCATTCTCTGCGCATTTGGAAAAACAAAACTCAACTCCTGCACAAAAGAATTTAAGATCAGAATGATTTAACAAACAAAACGCTGGTTTAAATAACAGAATTGAAACAAACAAATACCATACTAATCAAAAAGCAACCAAACCTTTACAAACTGTTGAAGTGGAGCACTTGGATCCCTGGAAGTGGTCAACAAAATCTTGGGATCCTTTTCCGCAGCATAGGCATACTCATCATCAATGTGCGTTCTTGGAACTGAATTCAATGATAAACCACACCAAACCCATATTGAAACACACAACAAAGTAGATAAATAAAATGGATATATCGCACAAAAGGGAAATAGACTTGAGTCTATTTTGAATAAAATTTTTAATAACACTTCTAAGAGAAGAAAAAAAAAACTTCACTATAAATTAAAATTAGCTTACACCAGACTAAATTTCTCCATAAATACTTCTATGGAAGAAAAATAAGAAGGAAAAATGAAATTAGCTTTCCACGACCTAAACTTAATTTGTACTTAAAATACTTTATAGAAGTTTCTCATATTAACTACTCTAAAACATGATGTTCAACTTGTGGAAAACTTTATTTTTTATTTGTTTACTTCTTACATTCTTCTCCTAGACGAGCCTATGAAGAAATTTCCTCAAATAGGTCCTATGCATTAATACATAAACTAATTTATATAAAAGTCTCTGGCATTAACTTTTTCTAAAAGATGAATTTTAAATTATACACAAGCTAATTTTAGTTTATACACAAGCTAATTTTAGTTTATCGAAAGCTTTTTTTTTTTTTCTTATTTTCTTCTCCTCTAAACTATGGAAAATTCTATCCAAACAAACACTTAAAACCATTTTAAGTTATCACAAATAAAAAAGAGAAGAAAAAAAAACATGAAGAAACATAGAATGTGGTAACACTTACCAGCAGTGTTTTCATCTTCAAGGTCGATTTCGCGTCGAAGTGCAGCTTCCTCGTTTCTGAGTTCAGTGGGAATGGGTTTTCCTTCTGCAAAAACAAACAAACTATAATTATAAGATAAAAAAAAAAAAAAAAAAAAACATGAAACATAAAACATAAAACACAAAACAAAATATGAATAAAAAAGAAATAGAAGAAACCTTGAAGCGCTTCTCTGATTTTGCGCTTCTTTTCGTAGAGCAAGCGTTCTTTGCCTTCTAAGCTCTTCCGGTACAAATACTCTCTCCTCAATCGAATGTTTCTACGCAGCATTTTCAACACACTCACAGAACAAAACGGCACCGTTCTATTCGTTCAACGAATAAAGATGGAGAAAAACGAAGGGGAAGAGGGTGTGAGCGGCGGCGACGCGGGAGCAAGAGAGAAGAAGGAAGTGAGGAAAAGAAAAGATACAAGTGAGAGCAAAACGACCTGCGTTTCGGACCTCGATTACCTGAGGTTAAAGAATACAAGTATTCACACACAGAGTTAGTTAATAGAGACCGTTTGATGAAGATCTTTCGGATCACGATAAATATGAGTGTAGAAGATATATTTAAAATGCACATTGACTGAGACCCATCAACGGTTTGGATCAAAAGATTACGGGCCTCTAGGTCACCATTTTCTTACTTTTATCCAGTAAGTAACAAAATTAAGAATATTTAAATTAATTCTTAAAATTTTATAGTTGTATTTAAATATTTAAAATAAACTTATTCTTAAGATCTTTAAAAATGATTACAATGATAGCATACATTTGAGATCCAGAAAAAAAAAATTATAAAAACTTAAATAAAATTCTAAAAATTTTACAAATTTATTTGAGTTTTTTTAAAAGAAATAATATAATGATAGAATCCCATTTATTGAATAAAGGATCATTTACTCTTATTTTTATATAAAGTACATAAATGAAATTCCGTTTATAACCTGTGAGGTTTTTTAAAGATTCCGTATAATTTTTTTTTAAAGTTTATTATCACTTTTACAATATTTATGCGAATAAAAAAAAATTTAAAATATAAATAAAATCTTAAATAAATAACAAATATTTAGTAAATCTCATTGATAATTTTTTTAAGATTATAAATAATTTTTTTAAAGGCTTAGGATAATCTCTTATAGAAGCAGACCATGTAATATTTTTTAAAATAATTATCTAAATCATCTTTTGTAGAAATTAAGTTTATTTATAATATTTATATTATAATACATTTATTTACGAAAATATATTTTAACAGACAAATATTGAATATATTTTTAATTTCTAGATTCTATTTGGAATTAATTCCTGAAAGAATTAAATAATATTTCAAATATATTCTTATCATAAACTATAATTAGTTTAATAAAAAAATATTGAATAAGATAAAAGAAAATAATAAAGAATATTGTGAATTAAGATAAGGTAATTATATGTTTATTTTCCCTTCAAGTACTTTTAGGTTAAGTGAGAATGATAATATTAGGTCACCCCTGCTAAGAACTTTGCTGGTACATCTGAATTTGAACAGTAACAGTGCATGGCCTGTGTGCTAACAACAACTGAGGGACTTCGATATTATTATTCTTATTATTGTATTCTGTGACACCACTAAACTCTATGAATCAACTTTGAGACACTACTAAACTTATTTCTCTGTCTTCTGGTATAATAAAATTTCAAATCCAGAACTGCTGTGGCTGTGGCTTATTCAAAACAAAGGTAAAATACAAGCATGTACACCAAAATAATGTAAATGAATGGAGATCAAAACCAAATCATTCCCACATAATTGTTCATAGAGAAAGGCTTGTTTCAAAAGTAACTTGATTGAGATTGTAAGAGCTCAAGCTCAGCTAATACTTTTGCAACTGTTGACTTCAATCTAGAATCACTCTTTTGGGCAAGATCAATAAGAACCACCTGAGCAGATTCTCCATACTTTACTCTATATTCTGCAACTTTGAATATTCTCTCCAACATCCATATTGCTTTTTCTTGAACCTTTGCATCCCCAACTTCTAGACTTTTTATAATAGCTTGCACGCCTGATAACTTGGCAATGGAATTGACGCCACCTTCCCAGATTTCATCTTGCAGAAGAGTTGAAAGAGCATGCAAAGCAGATTCAACAACTTCTCTCTCAGTATCTTCCAACAATTGGATAAGGGTAGAAACAGCACCTGCCTTGACCAAACAAAATGTGCTGTTGACAAAGCAATATCCATCATGGACTTCACAATATGCATTCACAGAGGGTGGAACACACAACCATCTTGACTTTCTAGACTTCCTAAGAGACACAGAATTCTGCGATAGTTGAGCCAGAGAGACTGCAGCCCTTGATTTTGTGATTGATGAACCACTTGAGAGAAGTTTTACAAGCAAAGGAATCACCCCTTGTTCAGCTGAGAGAAGTTGTAGTTTCTTGTCAGAGGGATTTGTGAAGCGAATAATAACACTGGCAATACTTTCTGCTAAGGTATTTGTTGTGGATGAGTTACTTCCTGTGATAGTATACATAATGGATATTAAAATGGGTAACAAATTTGCCCTCTGCAGCATATCTGTCACTTTTTTATTACTAGCAGGAAGATTACTCAGTATGCCAACAGCTGCTGCCCTTTCACTATCTGATGTTGATGTTGAGACTATATTTGCTATGTTGAAAAGATAAGTTTCATCAAGATGTTCAGTTAACTCATCTGTTAGATCTTTAGAGAGAGTGTACAACAAATGCAAGACCTTGGTCCTGACTCTGGTTGTGTTTTCCTTCAGAAAGGGTAAGAGCAGCTGAAGTGCACCTTTTTCCTTCATTTTTCTTCTCACTTTGGATGCACCAGGATGGGAGGCTATGTTATTTAGAGCTTCTAACAGATGACCTTGAATTATAGGGCTGGAAAGACTCAAAAGTGAAAGCATCTGCTGAGCAACATCTTCGTTAACAAGGATGGACTCAGACTGAGCGATTCTTGCAAGAATGGCAGATGCAGGCTCGCGCAATGTCATGAGCACAGATGTAACTGAGAAAAGAAGTTGCAGAAGAGATCCTGCAATTCCGGATCTGATCAAACGCTGCACATTTTCTGCCAAGGTTGACAGATTTTGTAGTGCATTTAGAGCGGATAACTTGGACTCAAGTTTCCCAATACCGAACATTTTGACAAGGGGCTCAATTGCCCCATCTTCTCCAAGGGAAAGTTTGCTGTGATCAGTGAGTTCCAACCTTGCGAGTGCTGTCGCCATTAGAATCTTGTTCATGTCAGACCCTACAATCACAAGGTTGCAAATTCAGGTACAGGGAATGCAGAATCAACTTGAAAATGCTTGTATCTCTAAGGACTAAAATGAAAGCTTTTTTTTCTTATAATATATAGGAACCAACATTTATTTAAACCATGATACAAAATAAATTTACTATTTACCATGCATATAGACTTTAGATAGAAGAAAACACAACAAAGTTTTACAAGACACACAACAAACAATATTGGGTTTGACAACTGTTAATTCAGTTGGTGAAACATAGCCAGGACTAGCAAATTGATATTGAACTGGATTTAAGTGTAAATTATATTATTCCAAACAAACACACCATAATTTTCATCTGTGATAGCCAACTTCCTCTAAACCAAGGAGACTACACAAAGCATTACATACTCCAATAAAAATTATGATGTTCAATTGATGGCTTTGATTGAAACCAAATGCTGACTCTGCTGCTTCTACTGCTAACAAACTCAACCAATTTCTAGCTCCTTCCTATCAAATTTATAAAATATAATGGCTCAATGATATAAACTCCTAGATTACCTGTAACATCATGAATGGATGAACCACATATATGATAGAGAAGGAAAGTCTTGCATTACCTTCTTTCAAATACTGCACAAGTGGCCTAAAGTAACCAGCCTCGGCCATATGAAGTGCATTTTGAGTATTACTGGACAATATATCCAATAACTTTGCAGCAGAATGTGAGGCATCAGGATCATCCCCATTAAGTATAGCAACTAACATAACAATGCACCCTTGAATTCGTCCAATTCGCCGTCGAACGGCCTGCACGTCAGAGAGTTCTAGCAATAGCCCCACTGCTTCCTTCCTCTCCTCTGAATCTCTTGTGAGGGACTTCACCACTGCTGATAAGAACTCAATGTGTACCATCCTCTCCTGCAGTGAACTACTTTATAAAGCAAGCTATAAAATAAACAATTGCAAGAAAAATCACCTTAAGTTGAGGGTTTTACCTTTTTCTGATCATTTTCTAAAGCAATACATCTTAGCAGTCGCATGATTGCCAACCTATTGTCTGCCTTACACGAACCTAAACGATTGAAAAGAATGGCAAGAGTTGCTTCCTCATTGATCAACCCACCATCCAGTCTTTCACTCCTCATGAAATCATTCAGTCTCAAAAGTGAAACTGCAACTTCTTCATCATTACCATTCTTAAGTTGCAAAACAACCTCATCAATAGAAACATTAACTATTTCCTCTTCTATTTCTCCAGTCAGCTTCATGTCACTGCAGGAAACCTCTGATTTTGGACTTGAAGCTAGACTTAAACTGCTATCAAATCTCACATTCATCAATTGTCTTTGCAATGTACCGATTTTTTCTCTGAAATCCACGGAAACTTCTAGGCTGGCTACAAGCAGAAGGCCAAAGGATCGACCGATGTCATGTGTTATGTCCTCGATTTGCTTGATCGGTTGCCTCAAATTAGAGCTTTTTGTCAAAGCTTTGGCACGCCTCAGCTCATTCTCAAGTGATTCCAAGGATTTTCTTATCGGTGGCTTATCTAAGACTGTGTTTTTGTCTCTCAAGTCATTGAAGATTGATGGGAATTTCTCAACCAACATGGCAAACTCCGCAAAAATATGCACTTCAAATTCAGAGTTCTTCGCAAGAGAAGCAACCTCATCGGCCAAAACTATCAGCTCTGACAACAATATAGAAAAACTTTTCTTTTCCGCGATTTCCATCTTGTATATGAAAACTGAGTTTATGTACCGGAAGAAAAATCAGTCACCATTCATCGGTTACAGAAGATCCTCAATTGGGCAACAGTAGATATCTAGAGAAAAGAGCTAACATAACAAGAAATTAATACGTAAACAAAGAAAACCATACAAATAAGATAAACAGACAAGAGTAATCAAGCATAGCAAATTCAAATCAGCAAGAAATTAAAGGAGAGTGAACACTGAATGGAACCTGCAGAGGAAATGCAAGGATGACTGAAGAAACAGACAATTTGACCGTTTGACCTTTGAACCAAAACTTGCTGAAAGTTGAGAAATTTTTCAGATACCCAAATTCCAAACGAGATCAAAACCACCCCACTTCTTGTTCTTGTTATTGGCTTCCAAGGCAGAAGGGTAAAACAAGTTGTAGATTTTTTTCTTATGTTTGGTTTGGAATATAGCAAGGACAAGGTGTGTTGCGGGTCATTATCAGACGGCTGTGACCTGCTAAATATAATAAGATGGTGACATATGGTTTCTTTGCTTTGATCGTCATGATCACGTTGTGCTTCCCAGTTATGAAATTATGAATGAATGAATGAATGAACGATGGAAGACCAAGTCAAAACCTTCAGCACAAGCACTTTTCTCTCTCTCCCTCAGGACTTTGTACTGAGAAAGTGTTTTGTGGTTGGATGTTTTTGCTTGGTTTTCAGTTTCATTTCCAACTATTTTTCTACTTTGAATGCTAACCAGGCTTCTAGATGGTGGTGGGTCAAACACTCAACACTCAAACAGTGCCATCTGACTTGAGTTTGTGGGCTGTGGGTAGAAATTGCTCAAGCAAATGCCACCCATTTTCACAGAAAATTATTCTTTGTTTTGTTTAAAACTTGGTTCAGTCAGATATCAGGACCACTAGTATTGAATTGAAAGGAGCTTCACAAAAGAACTACCGTAGAAGTTTCGATTAAAAATTTTGTCATCAACTATAATGAAACAGCTTTTTTACCTATCCGGGTTAAAAAAATTTCAAGTTTACTATATTGGATTGAAAATTTCAAATTTTACCAAAATGGAGTAAATTGTGAAAGAAGAAATGATAAATTGATTGAAATCGTACTTCGAAACACGATTTTAGTGGTTCAAATTTATTTTTTTTAAATTGTTCTTTCAAATACAATTTCAACTTTTTTTCTTTTTTCGAAAAATCTCCAAGCACAATTTTAACTTTTTTTTTTTTAACCGTGCTTCCAAACATGATTTCAACTTTTTTTAAAATATATTTTTTTTAGATTTCAACTTTTTTTTAAAATATTTATTTATTAAATAATTTTTTTAATTGAATTATTAATTTAATAAAAAAACAAAATTATTTAGACATAGTTAAATTTAATTCATTGTATTTATATTAAAATATTACATTAATAAAAAAAATACAAATTTATTATCAAAAGGGATAGTTTGTATTATTATATCCTTCATTTCGCTAAAAAGATTTTGTTTTTTGTTTATTTTAAACTTGTATATCTATTTTATTTCGAATTCGATTAGTTGTAGGTCTTCCTAATATGTTTCGACGCATATTAAGAGGGCAAGTTTCTCGTACGTTTACTTCGTTTTCATCTGAAACAAACATGTTTTTCACCTCTTCCATAACACCATCATCAACATATAATCAAATACCTTTCGTGACTACTATATCTAGTATGTCCTCTATGTAATATGCAACTAAAGAGGAGAAAGATGACAATGATGATGATAGGAAAACAAACATTCAACCTCAACCATCACAGGGTCGTACACGTACTACACAAGCACAACAAATGTCTATTTAAGATCAACCACGTAGACCAAGTCGATAAATAAGAAGACTACCTTGTAGGACAGGGTTTCATCATTAATTTTCTTTGTGATAATATATATACATGTAATATTTTAATATAAATATGGTGAATTAAATTTAATAATATTTATCTAAATATTTTTATTTTTTATTAAATTAATAATTTAATTGAAAATAATTATTTATTAAATAATATATTAAAAAAATGTAAACAAAAAAAGGTGAAATCGTGCTTTCGATGTAAAAAAAATCGTGTTTAAAAGGATGATTTTAAAGATAAAATCGTCCTTCCAAACACATTTTAACCTATTTTGAAAAAATTAAAATTTTTTAATCCTTTCAATAAAATCAAAAAAATTTTAACCTCATTCGTAAAAAAGCCTAATGAAACTATTATTATTATTAAGTTTTACTAATTTAATCATTGAATTAACAATCTGCAAGTGAAACAAAGTTATGATACAATTAAAATTAATGGTTTAATTTGTTTTTCTTCCTGAAACTAAAATTTTTCTCAAGGATTTTATATAAATAATTTTGTTCTAGTTAAAAAAAAAAAAGTTTATTAGACTTGTCAATAATTTTAGGTAGAAGATTTTGTAGGTTTAAATATCATTATTCTTTTGCTTCTTCTTTTTTTTTCCATTCTTGTTTATTGTAAAATTAAAATGATGATAATGTGAATTTAATCAGATAATCAGAAGTGACTTTCTCTTATAAATTCAGTTCTGGCGAAAATGAAAATTTTAAAATATTAAGTTAATATTTTTCTAAAAATATAAACAAGGTTCTTCAAAAAATTAAGAATTATAATATTTAAATTAGCAAAAAAATTATCTATTTGAAAAAAAGATCTTAAAACTTCTGCATTATTTTTAACTTATGTAACAGATGTCAAGCAATGATATAGGAATCGCACATTATATTATTCTTAAAATATTATTAATATATGGACTAAAATAACAGTTTATGTCCCATCAAGTTTAAGCATTTGTTTGGTTTAAGGGATAAAAAAATAAAAAATGGGTTAAAAAAATTAAAAATTGTTTAATCGGATTTAATAAAATATTTGTTATAGTATGATAAATATAATAATTTTATTAATAATAATTACTTATAAAAAATATATAATGATAAAAGTTGTTATTATATTATGAATATAAAATATAATAAAAAAATACTGATAATCATAAAAATAAAATAAACACTACTGTAGAAAAGACTTTTTACATCGGTTAAAATGGGCTTTCTACGTCGGTTAAAGCGGCGACATAGATACGGGGGTCATAGAAAGTAAGGCTTTCTACGTCGGATCCTAATAACCGACGTAGAAAGCCTTACTTTCTTTGAGCTATTATGATCGGTCAAACTGGTTATGATCGGTCATAGAGCTATTCTGATCGATCATAACTGGTTCTGATCGGTCATAGAAAGACGTTCTACGTCGGTTAGTCTGGGAACCGACGTAGAAAGTCTTATGTTGTATGAGCTATCCTGATCGGTCATAACTGGTTCTGATCGGTCATGAAGCTAATCTGATCGATCATAACTGAATCTGACCTGTCATAATACTTTCTATGTCGGTTAACACTTATAACCGACATAGAAAGTCTTACTTTCTAACTTTCTATAACCCCAGTATGTATATCGGTTAACAGTAACCGTGATTGTATGTGTTATCAATGTCGGTTATGCCTATAACCGACATAAAATGTTACACTTTCTACGTCGGTTATGCCATTAACCGACGTAGAAAGTACTTACTACGTCGGGTAATGACATAACCGACGTAGAAAGTGTTATATTTTTTTAAAATACCTGCATTTTATTTACAGATGCTACCTTTCTTCGAGTAGACCTGCCTATTCATCACAGTTCCAGACAAATAACCACAGATCCAGTACAGACAGATATGCACAGTTCATATATAAATTTGCTACAGATATATATCCAGTACAGACAGATTCAGTTGCAGACAGATATGTACATATGAAACACATTGAAATGAATATATGTACAGACAGATCCAGTTCCAGACAGTTCATTTACTTAAACGAATGTAAATTTCCTAACTTAAATCAATTCTATCTAAATTGTTACAAGTTAAATTTCCTATGAAGATTGAATGCTTAAAAGGAAAGAAGCCCACTACTCTCTGATATCGTCTAAGACTTCAATCTTCATTAGAGATGAGTCTGTAAATTCCTACATATTGAAACATTTCAAATTTAGAAATCATTTACATAATTGGCATATTTGACTTAATTATAGTATATTTACCTCCCTCCACGTGTCAAGAATATTTTTGACTACAATGGTGTGCATGTGCTTCATCACATAAAACCCGCACTCATGGCTTCCCGGTTGGCGTGGACACTACAAGTTAAATACATGTCAGATTAACTTTAAATGACAAATTGAACAACAGTAAGAGGTGTTTGGTCACCTTTGGTGCAATATACGTCAACTTCTTTCTAACATGAGATGGAAGACCTTGCAACCTTAGGTGAGCTTCCAAAGCTCTACAAAAGGACAAATAATTTTGGTGTAAGTAGTGCACATATGATACAACAATTAAAAACAACCAAACTTACGCGTCTATGTGCTTTCTAATATCCAAATCATTTGGTTTCTTGTGTAATGAACACAAGAGAATCACAAGAAATTGGCGAGGAACAATTATTATGAGCTGCCAATGACCCCTGCACGTTGCAATAATATTAGTAAAATTTCAGTTTTACATAAATGTGCATTAATTTACAAGATGTATACTTACTGATGCAAGTAAGGTGCTAAGTAGACTTCTTTGCCCCCATTTTGAAATGTCTCTATTAAGTACGTTTGCACCTCTTCAGCTTTATTCCCAACGGACTGAATGGCAACAGGGTCAACAAATCCATAGAGATAGCGGATCTTCCTCTCAACACACAAACGATGTAAATACCTTCAACATTGAAAATAAATAAAGTTATAAAATAATGTACCAGTGAGAATATAAAAAATATGTAAATATACTTACAATTCCCAAAGCTGCAACACTGATACACATAACATATTAGTACCAGCGAGAAGATAAAAAATATCCCTTTGGAGTAAGAAAAAAGGGATCGTCTTGGTCCTGCATACGACTTCGGGTGACATATCTAACTGTATGGGAGTGGTCCCGATAGTCGCTGCCAGTGCACCGAGTCGCTGTAAAGCAGATGGTGGTGGTGGTGATTCATGCACAACTTCCTTTGCTTTTTCAGCCTCTTCCTATACAAGTACCAAAAATCAATAACATTAATATACATCAACCTATCAAAAAATAATAAGTACTATCGTTCAATGCATAAATCAACCTGTGCATGTGTTGGGATGGGTCTTGTTAATGAAACTGGCCATAAGATAAAATGGCCAGGTGCCTGTCCCACTGTTTGAACCTCTTCAGTGGGAATAGGGATTGGGGCAGCAGCATCCCGGACATCTACAACCACCACTCTGATCATATCATCTCCAATACTCTGGTGGTGGATGGTTGACCCCAATGCATACATTTTCCCTAAGGTAAACAAAGGATAAAATATCTTAGACTATATAATGTGTAACACTGTACCAAATACATGTCAAAGATATAATACGTACCGTATGCCACCAAATGCTCGGGAGGACCCGCAACATACAACTGACAGTCAGCAGTGTCAGTAGGAGCAACCTCTGCCCCTCTATCAGGAGCATCACAACTCTCCTTTTTGCTGACATGAATCGGGGATGCCGCTCGTGCGGGGACAGAAGGTTGAGATGACAAAGATGCCAACTCTGCTCGCATTGAGCTCAATAACTCTGCCTTCAAGTCAGAGTACACCTCATCTCGAATCTCCTTCCTAATTTGTTGTTTGAGGGACTCAAACTCTTGCTCATTCAGCTGCCTCAAAGAAGGAGTTGCCACGGGTGGGGCACCAAAGTACTGTCTGATGCCCACCCCTCGTCCAGCACCACGAACACGTCCAGGATGCTCTGGGGTACCAATGGCCACTGCCAATATATCCTGACGGCCATGTGGGTGGAATGATCCCTGAGTGCTCTGCTCAACCAACTCATCCTACAACACAAACGAATGATTTTTTAGCAAATACAAATGCCTATTGTAGTATAACATATATAATTAGTTTAGGATATGCTACTTACAATACGTTGAGCAACAACATTAGTTTGCTCAGATAAGTAATTCCCTGATGAGTTCTGGCGAGCTCTCTTCCATTTATCATGGCGTGAAGGGCGGGTGACAGAACTCACAACGGAGTCATCTGAAGGTAGACTTGAAGAAGTCTCCTTCATCATCTTCTCCTCCAATTTCTCATAACCCCCACGAGACAACCTGTGGGGGTGGATATTCTTCCTCTGAATATCCTGTGCCTTCTGCCTCTTGGCCTGTTGCATTCCATGTTAAATACCAAATTTAAAACCTCTATTTAAAAAAAATTACTGCAAACAAATGACAAATGTGCTAACCTGAAACCTAGGGTCTAATCGCTGAGTCCGAAATGCCTGCCATGTCTCCTCATCCAAAAACTGATACTGGTCACATGGGTTCTTGTTGCTCAATGCCCCATATATGTATCGACTGGTCAGATCACTCTTAAAACCTCTCCAGCGTTCCCCAGCATATGAGATCCACTTTGTCCTCAACAAAGTGGTGTTAGGGACATCATATGTGACCTACACAATAAAAATAACATGAAGTTCCCAAAAAAAGTTAAATATATATACATGTTAAATGCTCAAGTAAGAGTAGGTACCAGGATACTCTGCCAAATCTGGTTCTTCAGTGTCTCTGGAACATGGTCCCAATCCTCAATAAGAATACTAACCTTGCTTCTCCCAAGCAAGGCCACATAGCTAGTGAATCTAGCACTGTGCTCTCCAGTGGCTCTACCAGTTTGCATGTCAAACTGGATAGGCAATTTCTGATCGGAGCTGCGACTGATATTCAACTCCCTCAACCGTGTAGCACGCCTACCCTTTTTCCTGGTAGACGGCTGACTCTGATCACCACCTTGTGTAGGAGGGGGGGACTGTGTAGGAGGAGGGGTACCAGATGAATCTGCCATATCTGTGTTCAAAGAAAAAAATAATAGTTATTAGTTCTTTGAACATGTCCAAACGAGCATTGACACCATCTTTTGTCTAAACTACTTACAATACATCTCTAAATTAGCTAAAGGCACCCGTGATGTTTCCCTCTCTTGACAACATTATTACTTACTAGATTCAATACTGTAAACCTACATTGGCTACAGAGGTAGCTAAAAGCACGAAATCTTACCTCTTGAAGACCTACAGAGGTGGCAGGTGGCGTGACGTGCAGAGCTGGGTGGGGAGAAACGTATCCCAGGCGACGGGCAACAGTAGCAGCAGGCGGCACGAAGCGTTGGCAGGTGGCGTGACGAGCAAATGTGGGTGCGGAGAAACGTATACAAGCGAACGGGGGAGCTCTGGTATGGGTGAACTGATGAAAGGAAATGGAGCGTAGGGAGAAACGTACAGGGGAGCTCTGCTATGGGGGGGAAGTGATGAAATGAAATGGAGTGCGGGAGGAGCAGAAGATACTATGTCGGTTGCCCTAACACCCGTCATCAAAGATACTTTCTACGTTGGTTAAAATTTACCCGACATAGAAAGTGACCTTTCCACTTACTATGTCGGTTAAAACTTACCCGACATAGAAAGTTTATGATTTTATTACAAAATTGCCACCGCGCCACATACTATGACAGGTGGATTACGACCGTGATAAAAACCCGTCATAGAAAGTTATTTTTCCACTAGTGAAATATATAACAAAATAAGTATTATTTAAAACATTTAATTTATGTAAAATAAAAGAAAAAACTAAAAAAAAACTTTTTTTATAAATAATTATTACAAAAAATTGATTCTTTTTTAGCAATTTTTCATTTTTTTCAATTTTTATACCTTTTTTTCTTTACTTGTAAATTAGTTTTCACTTCTCTTATAATTCTTCATAAATTAATTTTTTTTCAACGTAATTTTCTTTAAACACAGTAACGCTATATAAACAATACCTAATGCAATGATAAACTTTATTAAATAATATTATTTAACTTAAAATATATCCATTGATATATAAAATTATTTATATAAATAATTTGATATATTTTAAGTGAATGACTGATTCATGTTAAAATAAAATATATTATATTTAATAATTTTTTAAAGAAAAAAAAATAAAATTATTGAAAAATAAATTAATAATAATTTATGTTTCGACATATTTATAAGTAATTAAGAGTTAAAAATAAAAAAATAAAAAAATATTTTTTCTCTTAATATACGAAGACACGTTTTATCCCTATGAACTAAAATTTGAAAACAAAAAAATATTTCTTATACAAGAATTTGAACCTAAGAATATTACACATAACACCTCGTCTAAAAATAATGACTTTATTAAAAAATAGTTTCCTGTGGTTGTTGGTGGAGGCTGTTATGCCCGTCGGCGATGCTGTCTGGGGTGGTTATAACATGACAATGTAAACGAAATAATTTAGGCTGCTAATTTTATTTTTTATTCAAAATTAAATATTTGAAAACTAGTTTAAAAAAAATGAACAAACAAATTAAAAAAATAATATATTCAAAATATTTTTTTTAATATTTATACTAAAATTTAGTGAAAATGAAAAAGCAAGATAATATTTTCACTAAAAATGTTAATTTTTTATTAAATAACTTGTTAATGGCATGACCATGATAATGTCTTTATGATAATAAAACATTTTTAATTAAAAAATTAGATTCTAATCTTATAAAATCAGCTTCACGAAAAACATAGTCAACATCCATTGAATCCTCTGTTTGGAGACATCAAAAGATTACACAGATAGGAAGAAAACATGGCAGCGGTGGCCGGAGTATCCTCGGCGGTGATTAAAGTGGCGGCGCTTTCCGGTTCTCTTCGAAAAGGGTCTTACAACAGAGGCCTGGTTCGTGCTGGTTGGTTCCAGCCACAAACTCTTTTACTTTATTTATTTGGTTTGGATTTGAATTTACTTTGGGTTGAATTTGATAGCGATTGAACTAAGCAAAGGAAGCATTGAGGGGCTTGAGATCGAGTACGTTGATATTTCGCCTCTGCCATTACTCAACACGGATCTTGAGATAAACGGGACTTACCCACCAGAAGTTGAAGCCTTTCGCCAGAAAATTGTTGCAGCTGATAGCATCCTCTTCGCTTCCCCTGAATACAATTACTCTGTCGCAGGTATCTGTTTCTTAATTGCTGTGTGGTTGGAGAAAAATAAAGATAGTTTGTGTAAGTAGAGGTGTCACTTGTTCCATAACTTTTGGAACTGTGGAAGTGGAAGCCACCAATCCAAATTTTAAGTTGGTATCTGAACTTGTCTTAATGGTGGTTGGATCTACTGAGAACATCATCAAATTACATGTAGAACATTATGTTTGAAATGTTGTGTTGGAGAATATGTTCAAAACAGTGTATATAAAAGTGAGAGACAATACTCATTTATATGTTGAATTGGTTAATGGATGTAAATTGTGATGATTAATTATTATGAACCTTTGTTTTTTAGAAAAACTGTGTACTTGTTAACTGTGATCATACCTTATTTCTGAACAATAACAGATTGAAAAGCAAACTAAAATGCATATATACTTTGATTTAATGCAGGTCCACTAAAAAATGCAATTGACTGGGCATCAAGGGCACCAAATGTTTGGGCTGATAAACCTGCTGCCATAGTGAGTGCTGGAGGAGGCTTTGGTGGGGGAAGATCACAGTATCATCTACGCCAAATTGGGGTCTTTTTGGATCTTCATTTCATCAATAAACCTGAATTTTTCATCAATGCATTTCAGCCACCAGCAAAGTTTAACAGTGATGGTGACTTGATTGATGAAGATGCCAAGAATAGGTTGAAGGAAATCCTTCTGTCCTTGAAGGCATTTACCCTTAGACTTCAAGGAAAAATTTGAGACAACCATGATCCCAAAAACTGTTGAAATTAGCACTGGATTTTGGCTCATTCATTTCCTTTTGGATGGAACATTCGTGTGATTCGGACTCTGTGACTGCATGACTACTGTGATATGCAGAGACAAGAGAACGTATATGTTCTTATATTTGAAGAATCTGTGTCTGTATTGTTGTGTCTTGGTTTGTTTTGTTTGCTATTGGCTATGCAGAAAGAAATGTTCACAATCTCATCGCAATTTTTTCTTCCACACTCATAGACAATCATTTTCTTGAAAATCAAAAGAAAGAGAAGCATTAGATATATAAGCTCTGGTCAATATAGAAAGTCAAAACAAAAAGCACTAGTGCTTCTCCAAAGTTTTTTTTTTTTTTTCAAACACTTTCTAAAATAATAACAAAATTGAAGTGTAAAAAAAAATAAGTTAGTGTTTGGTTTACTTTAAATTTAAACCTAGCTTCTTACAAGACAAATATAAAGATTTTCCTAAAAAAATAAATATTTAAAAAAGTACAAATCTATTTTATAAAAATGAAACTTTTTATAAAGAAAAAACATGCTCTTCAAATGTCTTTTATTAAAAAAAAAAAATAGTCGTTACCTTAATAATTATATTTTATAAAATAAATATTGTAAATTTACTTCTTCTTTTCTTCCCTCGTATTGTTTTTAGAGTGTTTAAAGTAAGTATCACGAAGATTTTATTATTTCTTACATTTACACTATTTTTTTCAAAAAAAAAATTCTTAAAATTTTGAAGCTTTCGTTATAAAAGCATACAAGTAAATATATATAGTTGCAATTTATTTATATGTTTATAACCACCATAATGAAACTCTGATAATAAAAACAAGTTTTAATTCTTATAATTAATGTTCAATAAATATATTAAATTTCATAAAACAATCATTATCTAAACTAAAAGTTATCAAATTTCAATTGAAATAAAAAAAAATTACAACCATTATATATGATATTTTCTTTTGAATCTAGTGACGAAATTGATCGATGATGACAAAACTAGATTAAGAAGTAAATCACGCCTTTTGACACAGCAGCCTCCACCACCAATAGAACAAAACAATTTTTTATTAATCAAAAGTCTTTAGAATTGAATTCAATTTTGTACTTATTTATACCAAGAGTTGACCTGCACTTACTAAATATAATATAATTTTGATAATATCTTAATAATAAAAAATTAATGAAAACACCTTTTATTAATTTTATTTTTTTAGGTCTAAAAAGTAAAAAATATTTTTTAAAACTGATTATTAAATAAATTTTAAAAAATAAAAAATTGAATCTTTTTTCCTGTTCTCCTATACGTGATATACCTTAACATTCCCTCGCAGACATGAAAAGAATCGAAAGCAGATTAAGGTGGTCGCGCTTTCTTCGTTCTGGTTCCTCTTCACGCAACTCGTTCTATAAAATTGTCCACGTATAAAATTTATTATAATATTTTATTATATTATTAATTTATGTAGTGTATCTTTTAAAAAGATTTTTATATTTTGATATTGCTTTAGTATGTTTATGATCTTTATATTGTTTAGAATTGAAATTAAAATTAATTTATATAATTTTTTTTAATTTATTAAAATATATTTTAAAAGTAAACTCGTAACCAAATTAAAACTCAGAAGATATTTTTAAACATAAGAATTTATGGTAAGAATACTGTATAGTAAAACTGAATCACTCTACTAAAATATCAAGAATTGATTTATACTTAATATATATATATATATATATATATATATATATATATATATATATAATATTAAAAATATAATTTTGATAAATTTTTGAAAAAAAAAAGATTAATGAAAGCATCTTTTATTAATTTTCTTTTTTAGTTTTCAAAAATAAAAATAATTTTCAAAACTGTTTTAATCAAATGATTATCAGATAAATTTTAAAAGATAAACAATTGAAACTGTTTTAAGATGGAAGTTATATACCAGAAGATTGTTGCAGCTTATTCCATTTCATTTGCTTGTCACAGGTCCCTCAATTTGGTAATTTAATTTCTGTTTTCTGATTTCTATTTTTTTTTTACCAATTTAATTTCAATCTTATAAATTTTGTAGCTTTGATTTAATTCTTAAATTTATATTTTATTGTTGATGATATATCTTTACTTAAATATTAGATTCAAAATAAAATAAATCAGATGTTCCAAAATCTAAAAATAAAAATCATACAAAAATGAAGAAAAAAAAACACGAATCAAACTTACAAATTAATAATCATTTTATGTGTTGGGTCAACGTTCTGGTTTTTATTAATTTCTAATTGTAATTTGTCCATTCCATTTTATGCTAGCGTTGGATAGTATGGAAAATAGAAGAATATATAATCTATTAAATTTAATTAGTAGATTTAATTATAGAATTTTCCTTTTATACAGTAAAATACCAGATTATAAACCTTAATCTTATAACTATATATAAATAATTAAGATTAAAAATTATTAATTACATGATAATGAAAAGTCATGCATATTTTGTTTGTTGTAATAAAAAAATCTTAATTAATATATCTATTTTCTTAAAAAATTAACAATTTAATATTATAAAATAAATTAATAAAATAGAATTATATAATCTATATATTATAATATTATTGTATATATAAAGATTTTTAATATTTTTTAATTATAATCAGATTTTTTTTATTTAAAGTGCATTGAAGCAATTTAAGATTTTCTTTTATTTAGAGGACATTGAAGCAATTTATTATGGGACACGTCTAATATTTGAAACAATTTTTTGTTTTTATTTCATTGATTTGAATTTTAAATTTATGAATTGACTGTTAATACATGTTTAATTTGTTCCCATTTCAGACAAAGTAATTTATTAAGAATATTTGTAGACAAGACCGTGACACATAACACCTTATATTATCTAAATGTCTAAAAATCATGACTATATTAAAAAATAGTTTCCTGTGGTTGTTGGTGGAGGCTGTTATGCCCGTCGGCGATGCTGTCTGGAGTAGTTATAACATGACAATGTAAACTATATAATTTAGGCTGCTAATTTTAATTTTTATTAATAAAAATTAAATATTTGAAAACTAGTTTAAAAAAATGAAAAAAACAAGATAATATTTTCACTAAAAATGTTAATTTTTTATCAAATAACTTGTTAATGACATGACCATGATGATGTCTTTATGATAATAAAACATTTTTAATTAAAAAATTAGATTCTAATCTCATAAAATCAGTTTATAAAAGAAAATGAATTCATTTATTTTTTAAATATAAATATAACAGTGATAATTTTTATATTTATTAAATATTATTATATTATGTGTACAAATCGTTTTGATATATTAATGTTTTCAGTGTGGGAAAATGATTTTATTGTCTTATATAATAATAATAATAATAATATAGAGAATTTTTTTTAATTTAGGTAAGTTAAAAATATCTTTATTGTTGTTATACGTGGATGTTTAGCTTGATGTTTATAATCATGTTTTTATTTTAAAAATAAATAAAAAATAGCTAACATAATTTTAATTTAAATAAAAATTATATATTTGTGTTTGACTTATCGACGTTAATAAATATGTATTAAAACTTGGTTGAAAAATTGAATGAGATAAATCATATTTAGTTTCATAAATAGCATCTGGTTTTTGTTCCTTTAAATGTAATTGAGTAGGCAATGCAAATTTTTAGGAAGATGAAAATTAAGTTCTAAAAATTAAAAATTCTAGAAATTATTAGAATTATAAATATTATATAATTAGTTTTTAGAATTATTAGTAAAATTTAAAAAAATAAGTTAAAGTATAATGGAGGAAAAATCTTTAAGTTTTTAGAAGATATTTGAGAGGAGTGTCACTAGCTTATATATAGGTGATAACCTCTTCACTTGTAAGTGAAACACTCTTAAGATCAATTAATATATTCTCTTATATAAAACTTTTTTTGTTCTCATAATTCTTTCTTTTTTCTAATTTCAAAAAACATTTTTTTTCAACTTTAACATTTCTATTGACGGTGAACTTATTTGTCTAGAAGTTGTAGATTCTATATAGCCTTTTATTGTGTGTTATTCCTCCAGGAGATTTTTTGTATAGTCTTATCTTCTAATTTGTGTCTTTTATGATTACATATATTAGTAGATAAATCTAAAAATTATTGTTTATCTTATAACTTTTGTCCACCCAAACTTTGGAGTCTTGTCTTAGTTGGGCATATGTTGAGCATACAATGTAGATTGCTTTTGTTCAAAACATATTCGCCAAGCCTTTTTCCTTTAGTATTGATCTTGCCAAATTCACTTTGGAATAGCAAAAAAGATTTTAAAATATTTAGAAGGCACTAAGAACTTTTGATATATGGTATAAAACCATGACTAACTTAAAGTTAATTGGCTACACTAACAATGATTGGACAAGATCTATAGATGACATGAAAAATACATCAAATTATGCTTTCTCATTTGAATCATAAATATAATTAACAATAAAGACAAAACATGTGGTAACAGTTGAAGCTACAATATAAGTCAAGTTATATGACTTCAAAGAATATTTGAAAAGATGATAAAATAACCATATGGATCAAGTACAATCTACTACGATAACAAGTTAGTAATAATAATAACAAAAAATTCAGTTCATCATCAAAGAACGAACACACATAGCTATTAAATATCACTTCTTTAAATATGTTGAGATGATTAAATAAATTTAATTTAAGTATCGCATTATAGAAGATCAAATTACATATATATTTACCAAGAGTTTTATGGTTGGAGTTACAAAGGTTTACATTAAAAAAAATATTAAAAGTGGTGCAAATTTCTAAAAAGATCAAATATATTAAATTCTAAAAACTACCTTAAGTTCTAGAAACTATTAGAACTATAAATTTTATGCAAGTAGTATCTAAAATTACTAAAGAATCTAAAAAAATAAATTATAGTGTAATATAAAAAAATCATCTCTTACCAAATTTTACAAAAGTGTCTCATATTAATATACAAGCAATGACCACCCGTCGAGAAGAAATTCTAAAACTAATTATTATCTTTTATCGCAAAAACATTCTTCTATTTATCTACTTTTTTTTTTATGATGGAATATCTACCTCTTTTTTAAAATTATTTTCCATAATCTACCCTACCGGTCCAATTCTTCCTAAAGATCACCGAATCTTTTGAGTGATAAACCTGCTGCCAATGTAAGTGCTGAGGAGGCCATGGAGGAACCAAATCACAATATCATCTACGCCAAATTGGAGTATTTCTCGATCTTGATTTCATCAACAAACCTGAATTCTTTATCAATGTATTCCAACCACCACCAAAGTTTAACGGTGATGGTGACTTGATTGATGAAGATGCTAACAAGTTGAAGGAACTTTTTCTCCTTTTGAAGGCAGCCACCCTTAGACTTCATGGAAAAAATTGAAGCAACACTCTAAATAAAGTTATCAAATTTAAAGTATATTTTGTGTCTTTTTTTAGTCTTTTATTATTATACTTATATGGTTTTAGAGTGTTATGGTTCCATTTGTTAAATAGAATAATTGTAATATTGAAAGATTCAATTATTAGAACCAGAATTAAAATTATTTCAGAGATGTAAACAACATCTAAAGTTAAAAATTAATATAATTTAAAATGAAAAATTTGAGGAATTTATAAATAAAAAATATTATAACTTGGCTTCTTAAGATTTTTTTTATTAAAAATAATATCATATTCTTTTTAGGATTGGTTCATCTTTTGTATTAAAAATCTTCTTAAAATTAGCTTTATTTAAAAATATCGACCAGTTATTTTTCTAACAAGAATTAAGTTAAAAAGTGGTATAAAATAAGGTATTTTAAGATCATTTTCTTTTATATAAATAATTTATATTTTATTATTGAAATTTTTCTTAATATTATATATATATATATATATATATATATATATATATATATATTTCATTGCTTATTCTGTAGTAATTTCTGAAAAAAGACCAATACACTTGTTATTGGTAAATTTTGGTTTTATTTCGATTCTCAAAGATTAGGTGTTTTTGGCGAAAATTTGGTTGTTTTCGATGTCTTAAAGACTTAGCGTCTAACCAAATTTTAACCTCGTAAATTATTTTTATTTAGGCTAGCAAACAGATTTTCAATCAAAAAAATGTATGTAAATCGAAAATGTCACAGTATCGAGCCAAATGGAAAATAAAACATGCATATTAGAAATGCGGAAAACACAACATAACATACATACTTAAATCGAAAAGTCCTTCCTTGTTTTTTTTTGTATTTTTTATATTAAAAGACTCGAGAAGATGAAACTTAACAAAAGTAAAGAAAGCACTAAAAGAACGTCGAGGCAACAAAGTAACGCATAACATTAAATTGCATTAAGAGTAAATGACATAAATTAAAGTGCGCATAAAAGTAATCGACAAAACTGGAAAGTAAATTAAATGTGCGAGTAGATACATTACTGAGAAAGTAAAGAAAACATTAAATGCAGAATCTTAAACTTGGATAAGTGTAAATGCAGAATCTTAAAGTTGCATAAGTGCAATTGGTAAAAGACAAGTATGTAAATGCAGAATTTTAAATTGCATAAATGTAAATGACAAGGAATTGAAAGTACAGAATCATAAATTGATAAATGTAAATGACAAGGAATTGAAATAACATGAAAGTACATACGGGTGAATTTAAATTGCATTAAAGGTAAAGTACCAGGGAAAGTAAAGAGAGCGGTATCAAAAGTCAATGAAAATGGAAATTCAGAGCGTCAGAAACTTCATGATTCGTCGTTCTCCAATAGACTTTTCACTTGTGTTTCTGTTCTCTCTGCTAATTTATCCTTCTTCTTCATGTTTCATTCTATTTATAGGCATGTTTCAATGTAACCTCTTAAGAGTGGTTAAAAAATCGCTACCACGTTGCATGTACACGTTTAACTGTCCTTCGATTTCCACCTTAGCCACGGTTAAAAAATCGTTTCTCATGTTCCATGTACGCGTTAACCATTCCTCGATTTCTAACTTAGCCACGATTTGGAAAATCGCTTCCCATGTTCCATGTGCACTTTAACAGTTCCCCTCGATCTCGATTCCAGACATCGAGTACTTTGAACTGTTTCTGATTTCTCTTAAACTTAACTTTACACTCAATATTTTATTATCGATTTCTTACTCTGAATCATGTTCATCGAATTTCCTCTATCTTCTTTCGATTCCGATTTTCGATTTTTCCCCAACACATGATAATCGAATTTCTCTTATTCATTTTCGATTCAATTTCCTCTGTCTTCTTTCGATTTTCGATTCAGATTCTCGATTTTCCTCAGCAATAATCATCGAATTCCTTCTTTCGATTTTGGATCTCGATTTTTCCCCACAAACACTAGGTCTTAACCAATTTTCAACCACCATGAGTTCTTTTTATTTAGGCTAGCAAACAAAGTTTTTCAATCAAAATGTACGAAGTGATAAATTTAAGTGCGAAACATGGAAAATGAATTTAAAAGCATACAGACATCAATGCTACTCAAATAAACGATTATATCTAATTGAAAAAAGGTTGTTCAACCATAATGGATAAATAAATTATATTCATTAACTTAAAAACAAAAGTTCTTTTTAATTTTACTATTAATAAACTTGAGAACAGTAAAATAGACAAAAGTAAAATTAAAAGTAAGTGATATAAAATGAAAGGCTATGGGAACTTAAACACATACGAATACATAAAAACTAACTAAAGATGATAGAAAGAGGAAATAATTATATAAAACTCAGACTGAATTAACTTTAAAGAAATACAGAAAGGTAAATAAATAACGAAACGAAAAACTAATACATAACTTTAAATTGCATAATAATAAATTACCAAGGAAAATACAAATATCGATGAAAGCGAAAACCCAGATGGCTAGAAGTTTCATGATGACTGTTGTTCTCCTGTAGACTCGTACAAAGAAATTTCTGATACAAAATGATCTCCCCTTTTTCTTTACGCTTAGTTCTATCTATAACTTACTCAACGTAACCACTAAAAATAAACTGCTACCCCATGTTTCCATGTGCAGAGATAACTGTTTGGTTCAATTTTGATCCCAAAAATTGAATACTTAAATTTTATGATGCCTCCGATCTCCCTCAAACTTAACTTAACACTAAATACTTCAAGGTTATCGATTTTTACTCCCATCATATTTATCCAATTTCTTCTATCCAATTTTCGATTTTTATATCAATTTTTTCCCACCAACATTTTAAGATCATTTTCTTTTATATAATTAATTTATATTTTATTATTGAAAATTTTCTTAATATTATATATATATATATATATATATATATATATATATATATTTCATTGCTTATTCTGTAGTAATTTCTGAAAAAAAAAACACACCTTCCACTATAATCACTCATCCATTTTATAAAAAGAAAACTTCTTCGTTAGGTTTTTATTTTATTAAATAATAAAATCATATATTATAAATTATAAATTATATCATTAAATATCGTTTTATATGCATCCATACTCATCTTTAAACCCTGTTTGGTGTCATTGGATAGAAGTTTGGTGAGACTGAATAACCATGCAAATGCTGCCAAGCTGAGTCGCTTCAGGCTCTGCCACGCAACCAACTCCAATTTCAAAGGTGCCACTCCACTCCCACACCGCACACTTTCTTCAGTGTCTCTCGTTAATTCTCATTCCATGATTGGTTTTTCCTATGCAAAATTGAAGTGCAAAGTAAGTAAATAGTTTGGATCGGAAGATGAACCTTCACAGCCTTTTGGCTTCTGCGGCCATGAACATAGGGTTGGCCTTCGTCACTCTCTCGCTCTTCTCCGTTCTGAAGAAGCAGCCTTCGAACGCCGCCATCTACTACGCCCGCCCTCTCTCTCACCGCCGCCACGTTCCCTTTCACTCTCCTCCGTCGCCTCTATGCCGTTTCCTTCCTTCCGTCGCTTGGGTTTCCCGCGCTTTCCGTGTGAGCGAAGGTGAGATCATCGACGCTTATGGCCTCGACTCTCTTGTCATCATCAGGCTCTTCAAATTCGGGTCAGTTCATCTCCCAACCCCAACTTCCTCTCTCAATTAAAATACAATTTAGATTAATATATTATTATTCTTAAGTCTTAAAGTATAAATGAATAAGAAAAAAAGTATTATTTCGAAATTCTTCAAAAATTAAAGGATTTTTTTATTTAACTAATGTTTTTGAATACTAAAATAGTTCGAGATATTTAAATATCGTACTTGAAAATATTTATCCGAATATATATAATTATTATAAAAAATGTTAAATAATCATTGAAAAAATGAAACATATCTATATCTAAAAGAATGTACGTGTTCAATCATTAATAAACTGAATTCATGAACAAATAATTATCCTAATCAATGAGTAAACTTAATTTGGTTGAATTTATGAACTAATAATATTCTAATAAATGATAAAATAACAAACAAATTATAAAGTCAGATTTTAAAAAAATAAAACTAACATATTTGACAGTAGATTTTTTTAGTGGAAGTGAAAAATTTAATTGGAAAGGAAAAAAAATTAAAATAAATTTGACAGTGTCTTTAATTTTTTTTTTATGAATATAACTTATAATTTTTTTAAAAACATGTAGTGTTCTAAATTAACGTCAAAATACAAATTTATCAGAAATAAAAAAAATTAATAGTTTATTCTATTACAAATGTTTAAAGATTCGTTTTATCGGATCTAATTGAATTTAAATAATAAAAATTATTAAAATATAAAATTGTTATAATGTAAGTTATAATAAAAATTATAAATATAAAATATATTAAGGAATGAAAAATAAACAATTATTAAAATAAAACAAAAATATAATAAAATAATTATTATTTGATGTTGATGTAACTGAAAGATAAAAAATTTAAATATATTATATTATTTATAAAAAAATTATATTAAAAAAATTGATCTAAAATTTTTATACCAAAATCGGCTCGATAGAAAAATCTCAACTGATTTGATCTAGGTTTTTCCAATTTTTAGTTCAATTAAAATTCGATTAAAATATATGACTGATTTCAAGCCGGTTCAACGGTTAGCTGTGGTTTTCAAAAGAGTAGGTTAAAATTGATTAAAGTGTGTTAAAACAACTTTAAACATTCTTGCTTTGGTTTGAAAGAGTTTATTATCATTTTGAAAACTTGATTTCAGAATTTTATTTATTGTACATTTATTTTTATTTTTTTATTTGTAGAATTCTTTTCTATCAGTTTAATATTTAGTATAAATTGTTACGTTCTTTTTGTTGTTTTGTTTTTTTGTCAAACTTGATTTTAATCCTTATATTTAAAATTTGATTAATTATTTTTTAAAAATATTATTAAATTTAAAATTTAGATATAAAGAAGTCTGAAATCATGTACAAATTTATTAGTTAAAAAATCATTATTGAATATTAATATATAGGATTAATAAATCAACAGTTTCCTAAATATTTGATTTTCTATTAGGTGACCAAATTAGTTTTATATACTTAACTTTTAACAATTAAGTATCGGGAATTAACTAATAAAAAAGACATTACGAATTTTATTATTTGATAATTTAAGGCTGTCATAAACTAACTATAAACTCAATCACATAAATTATAGAAAGTCAAAGCTTCATTAGGAAGGTTATGATTGACACGCTACTTTAATTAGTTAGTTCGTTTTTTTTTTACCAGTTGAACAATTTATGTGACTACGATAAACGACCTTTTTCTTCAATAGTACGTAGCATTTTAAGCATTAATTACTAGCATTTTATATTTATTTCTTCTTTATTTTAATTTGAATATAAACATTGTAGGAACTAATATATGATTAATAATAAATACGTGATATGAAAAATATAGAACAAAGTTAAATAAATATAATTAAAATAATTTATCCATAAATAAAGGATTATAAGAGTTTAAAATAAATTAAAGATTTAAAATGAAAATATCCTCAAAATATATTTAATCAATATAAATAAAAATTTGGATAAAATTATCCTATTTACATATTTATTTCTGTCATTTACATTTATAATTTACTTTAAGTGATAATTTCACTAAACACTGATATTTTAAATGAAGTATCCAATGTAGAACATTCATGCTTGTAAACTACAATAAAAAATGCATTAATAACCCTGCCAAAATTATATTATGCTTAATTTTACTATTTTATTCTTATATTTATATTTACTGTATTTTGCGTTTGCAGCATTAAGTTTTTCGCGGTGTGTTCTCTTGTTGGGTTGGTGGTACTGCTCCCTGTTAATTATGGTGCCCAGGAGGTTGAAAATGGGAGTTCCTTTACAATGGATTCTTTTACAATATCCAATGTTAAAATAGGTTCAAATAGGTAAGGTTGTTTTGGAAAATTTAGACAGGGTTACTTGCATGATCATCTTCTGTTTGCTAGAGTTTATGTACTTTGATTTCCATTCGTCTGCTATGGATGTCTATAAGAAATGGTTTTTGTGAATTGGGCATGTTAATTGTGAATCTCTATCTTCAAGAACATAAGTTTAATGAATGGGTTTGAACGAAAGCAAAGTTGATAAAACCATGATTTTTCTGTACGAAAAGAATATCATTAATGAAAAGTAAATATAAGGTTTTGAGAAAAAAAAATGTTCAAGTTTGTTAGCAGATAACTCTGTTCCCTCATGTGATTTTCCCTTATAATTTCAGACTTAGGAAATTTAACTACAAAAAAAAGTGACCTGTTTACTACTAATGCTCTTTCTAGGTTTTATAGTTCATATCATATCATGGAGAAAATCTTACTACCTTTGGAAACACAAAGCTTTGGTTAAATTGTAGCCCAAGCTCTGGGGATGTTAAATATAAAAGCCACACCTTCTATGCATTTGTTTTGCAATTTATAATGTGGTAGATATGGTGGGTGCAGGGTTCTGTATTCGATAACAGAACAAAACTCCAAGAAAACTAGAAGACAAAGAAAGAGAAACTAACTTTTTTTCTTGCCCCTTTTCGCTTTCCTCATTACAATATATATAAGGAAAATAATACTTTGACAACCCAAATTCATACAACTTCTGTATACAATTCTCTTTTAATATTATAATAATAGTTTTACTTTATTTTTATTTTTATTAAATCATTCTATAGAATATTATATTAATAAAAAGTGAGTTGTTTGAAGGGTTGTATGGTTTCTGGTTGTCAAAATATCACCACTCTATTCTAGAACATGCTGAGTCATAGATTAAAAGTGAATATAGTCATTCCACCCTATAGGCCTCTGTATAGAGCGTTTGGGCTTGTTCTCCCTAATGATTGGGCTTGGTGAAATGTGATCTGCAACATAATGATTAACCAGGAAGTGGATAATAATAACATTCAAAGATGGCTAATAACTCAATATGTTAACAAACTAAATAATATTTAGTTAACCCTTGCATTTTGAAAACCTTTCAATAAAAAAAGCTTCAAATCTTGATTGTCATTTTGATGTTTTGCCATGTTTGAAGTTGAATTCCCCATGTTCCAAGCTGATAGTTTTCAATCATAAACTATTAATGTTATGTTTACTTCATTATGCAATAGGTGAGAGAGGTCATGGTGCCCCTCAATCTTTTCCTCTTCAATAGATTGTCAAATCTCTTCTAATAATCTTAAATCCTGGACTAGGTAACAGGTCATGATTTTGACTTTTTTTATTGCTCATTGTCTGATCTTGTTAGAGTATTTATGATTTAGCCCAAATGTAATTCTGACTCACGGATTTAAGTGACACAGAGCATTAAAACTGATCTGTTTCATGGTTTTCTAACAGGCTTTGGGTGCACTTTGCATGCTTGTGTTTTATATCTTTTTACGGGATGTTCCTACTATATAAGGTTAAATTCTCTGTTTGATAACTATTGCGTTGTTGTAAAAAGAGAAACTTCTTGGAAGAGTGATTTATCTTCTATTAGTGAAGGTTTAGTCAAGTTAATATTATTATTTCCTTCATGCATAATCAGGAATACAATGAAATTTTGATTAGAAGGATTCAGCAAATTCAAAAGTTAAAGCATAGGCCTGATCAATTTACTATCGTGGTTCGTGAAATTCCATTATGCATTGAACACAAGGCTCGTGACTGTTGTGTTGATCATTTCTTCAGTAAACATTATCCAAACACTTACTATTCCTATCAAATGGTGTACAGAACTGATGATCTTGAGGAATCGGTGGTAAGGCATGCCATCATGCACTATTACAATTATAATTCCATAGTAACTTACAAATATGATGTTTATGAAATGTTTCATAGTAATTTATCCTTAGTTTGCTCCAGATTAATCATGAACATTGGATAAGAATGTGTTGAAAATAATATATAATATTTGAGATGCTCTGCATTACCTAATTAGTCTTTTGTAAATCATGGTCAAGTTTTCATAGGCAGCTCTAGTGAAATTGATAGTTCTGGAATCTTCTGGTGAGGTTCAAGTGTGAGTTGAATTAGAATCCTAAATAAAAATGAGAAAGAAGAATAATACATAATTGAGAAAGACCTACCAATAGTCTTAAGATTTTGGATGGGAGAGTTATGGCAGGCTTATGCATACCCAAGTGAGTCTAGATTACCAATTTAGTTGAGTATGATAGGAAGTAAGTGATGTAACCTGAGGTTTCTGGATCTTTGTATTGAAAGTCTAATACTTTTTTCTGGAGTAATAGAAAAAATCATCCTTTAATTCAGACATGGCATGAACACTGATATTTTGTACTTGTTAAAGGCAAAAAAGAGAACGAATTTAGTTTGAGTATGTCGTTGTTACATGTAGAACCAAGCGAAGTCCCTTGCAAGAAAAATAGAGGATATGAGAGAGAGTTGTATGGCCAAGAGAAGTAGGGATAGGTTGTCACTCTCGGGTTTATTACATCAAGAGACTTCAAAAGCTGCTTTGCTCGAGGAAAAGCTTCAAGCACTTAGTCACAAGATTCATCAGTTGCAACGCAAGGATATCCTTCAGAAAAAGGTAACAGCTTTATCCTGTAGAAACACGTTCATCTCGTTGTGCTTTTGTGTTTCCTCTTCTCCGATTCTAGAAGTACTATAAAACTGTTTCTTTTTTATTTAAAACATTCGATGAGTACTTACAATTTTCATTTAAATTTGAATCAGGAAAGATTGCACAAAATAGATAAAGGAAAATAAGAGATTTGGATCAAGTTAGATATATTAAGGATTAATAAGGGAAAGTTTTTGTTACAGATCAAAATATCAAAGAGAGATTAGTGAATTACTATTATTAGCTTTTCAATGATGGAAAAGGTTCAATTTGGAATATGGAAGGACTAGAAACCAAGAGGTTGGAGAGGTAAAAGAAACCCTTAAGAGATGGATGATGGTATTGTTCCAGACCGGATGGTATTCCTATTGAAGTTTGGAAGTGTAGGAGAACAAAATATATGATGTAGTATTATTTTTGGTTCTTTTAGGTCCAGAAATAGGAAACTAAGGATATGATAGCCAACTTTAAATCAAGGTAGCTGATGCAATCATAGATTGAAAGAAGTATCCATTGTACATATCTAGGAATATTATGATCCTAATTCTTGAGACATATGCAAGGTGAATTTGGCTAACAATCCTTATTCATATCATTATGAGAATAAAAGTATCTTGTGCAGTTGTGTTTTCCTATTTGTTTCTTTGAAAATGAAAGTAAAAATGAGCTATGAAGGTTATATTCATTGTCTGATTGCAAAAGCTGAAACCACAGAATCTTGAATTGTCCATTCATTAGGAGTTGCCTGTTGCTTTTGTAACATTCAAGTCTCGTTCGGGTGCTGCAGCAGCAGCTCATTTGCAACAGCATTCACATCCACTTCTTTGGATCACTGAACATGCCCCAGAACCAAGGGATGTTTCATGGAGGAATATGAGAGTATCCTACAGAGTAGTTCCACTTCATAGACTAGGCGTTCTCATTGCAGCATCACTGCTTACAGTTTTCTTTGCCATACCGGTTACCGCAGTTCAAGGAATAGCCAAATATGAGAAACTGAAGAAATGGTTTCCTCCAGCCATGGCTGTGCAGTTCATGTGAGAATCATAACTAGTTCTTTCCCTTCTGATAATTAAGAAAATAAAACATTTGCTCGAAATTTTATTGCATTTGGTTAAATGAAACTATTGCATACAAATTATTTTAAAGTTCAATAAAATCTTGGAAATTTTGATTTAGGTACGCACGCCTCTAGAATTCCCTATGAATTGGCAAAACATATATTGCTAATATTAATATGTATCTTCTCTCACTAATTACTTTAATATAGGAACCTTCAATTGGCTTTCATTTAAATTGTTTATTTACACTATATTTGAATATGATATATATAAATAAGTGGAACATATCTTTCCCGTTCCCTCTCTTCTACTTCATCAATATATTCAATGAACATATTTTCATGTTTCTATAAAAAAATTTCCTTACATCTTATTCTGCATAGGATTTCTTTCTTCTTCTACTAGCTCTCTACTGATTTATCTGACAACCATCTATATGAACTATGACATGTTGTGGCTAGATCTAGTCAAGTTTTCCGGTTTTGTAGCATTACTCTAAGCAAAACACTTCCAAAATCTTAGGAAAATTTTCATGTAAGTTACAAGCAATTAATGTAAAACTAAATTAATTTGAAGCATGATGTGATAGAAAAATTGCAAGGTTTTTTCATTAGAGAAAAGAAGAAGGAATTTTGACAAATAATTTTGTATGCAAGCATACATCTCCTTTTTTTTACGTTTCATATCTTATATTTTCATAATTTATTGATTAGTTCCTAACGTGAAAATAGAGTATTTCTTTCCTTATCTTTTTCTGACAGAGAACATTTTGTTCTTTCATCAGACCAGGACTAAGCTCTATAGTGACTGGTTTTCTTCCAAGTGTGGTACTCAAAGGATTTATATATATTGTGCCTTTTACAATGTTTGCTATGGCTAAAATATCTGGATGTATTGCAAGAAGTAAAGAGGAGATCAAAGCCTGCAACATGGTTTTCTACTTTCTGGTTGGAAATGTGTTCTTCTGGAGTGTGTTATCAGGATCCCTTCTTGATTTAATTGGAGAATTTATTACTCAACCCAATAATATTCCGAGTCATCTTGCTGAAGCTGTCTCTGCCCAAGTATGTTATTGCATTTCTGCTACACCTGCCATATTCTGCCTAATTCAAGTCTTAACTTAATTCTCCCTCATAATAGTTTTGAGTCATTGAATGAGGCACATTTTCAAGAACTATTTTAAGTTTAATTATGTTTTTAACACCTAAGACTTGAGGTGAATCCAATTTTCGTTTCCAAAATTTTAAAAATTCATATTAGTTCCTCAAAATTTTGAACAACATACCTTTTAGTCCTTGAATATACCTTTTAGGAAAATAATTTTTTGTTTTTGAAAAAAAAAAAAATTTAGTAGGGATAACAAAACGGGTCAGTCCGTACTATTTTGACCTGTCCCGCTCTAGCCCACTAAAAATAGGGTGGGACGGGCTGACCAGTCATGATAAGGACAAGTTATAGACCTTAGTCTCGTCCTGTCAAAGAATAAGTTGGTGGGTCAACCGACTAGCTTGCAAATAATTTTTTTATATAAATTTTTTATGTGTATTTTTTTAAAATATATCTTTAATTATATGAATAGTTTTTAAGTTTTTTTATTAATTAATATTTTTATTAGATAAATTGAAAAAATTATTATATTTATGTGTTAAAATAACTAATTATAATCCATAATTTAAATTTAATTAATTTTTATAGTTTAAATTATAGTATATTTACATATTTCAATAATATAACAAAAAAAATTTAATTGTAATTTTTTTTATTTTAATTTTAATATATAAATATTTTTTTAAAATGGACCAGGGGCAGGCCTACTTCACCCCATCCTTGGTATGCTCGAGTTGGCTGGTTAGATCGGATGAACCAAAACGGACTGGTGGATTAAAACCACCAACCTGCCCATTTTTTAAACTGGCTGACGGACCGGTCCACCGAACCTAATCTGTTTTGTCATCCCTATTTTAGTTACTTAAATTTTGTATTTAACAACTAAAAAGGTTTTTTTTTTTTTTTTTTTTTTTTTTTTCAAGTTTGAGAGATTAATATGATTTTTCTAAATTTCTCATACTAAAATCATAATGAAGCCATTATTTTATCTTCCAACAAATTTTCCATGATTTTCTTACATTTGGATAGTCTTCTAATATGAGTCTAACTTCTTCTCTACTCATTCTAGGCAGATTTCTTTGTGACATACATCTTGACAGATGGTCTCTCTGGGTTTTCTATGGAGGTTATCCAGCCTGGCATGCTAATTTGGGATCTTTTGAAGTCTTGTGCTTATGGCCGTCAAAGAGAGAGAAGTCCTTACCTTTATTCATTTCCTTACTTCAGAATAATCCCTTTAGTCTCTCTTTCAGTTCTAATCGGAACAGTGTATGCAGTAGTGGCACCATTTTTGCTACCATTTCTTGTCGTCTACTTCTGTTTAGGCTATGTTGTCTTTGTCAACCAGGTGAGTTTTGTCAGCATCTGCAAACACTCATTTCATGTGTTTTATAATACAAAACCACCGGCACACTGAAGGACATGTTCTGTTCACGATGCTTTATTATGTGCTTGTGTGTTAGTCTAAAATAGTTGACATTAAAAATAACGCATCGATCTAAAATAAGAGTTGGAGGGGATCATGCAAGTTGTCAATAGATGCTATATATATGCAATGGTTAACACTTGCTACTTGTACAAGATTATTATTCTTCTGTACTGAAGAAATATCAGTATTTTAAGTTAGATTTTGCAGTCATATTTCCCTTTCGATGCTGAAGTCTGAAATGACACCTGTTTGCATGGGCAAATATCAAATTCACATACATATATAGTGGCATTTTCCATTTTGTCTTCTATGAATGTTGTCTTGAGAAGTGCAAAACTTAACTTTGCAGATTCAAGATGTATATGAAACTACTTACGAAACATGTGGACAATATTGGCCATACATTCATCACTACATTCTCCTTGCAATCATTCTCATGCAGATAACCATGATTGGTTTATTTGGATTGAAGTTAAAACCAGCTGCTTCTATATCAACCATTCCATTAATTATGTTCACATGGATGTTCAGTGAGTACTGCAAGATGCGCTTTCTCCCTTCCTTCCACCATTATTCTCTCCTGGTAAAGTCACTACTCACAATTATTAATGAGGACAAGGCTATGGTTTAAGATAAATTCTAACCAGTGAGTGACTTAAGACACTGGTTAAAAATTGTTACCAAAGCATCTCCACTGTAGTTTCTAAAGCATTTCTATAGTGACTTCTATTGATTTCTTAACCTATTTTGTCAAAGAATACTGGTTTGCAAGACCCTCATGGTAATAAACTCTGAATGAGTTTGAAGTTTATGGTTCCATGTATGATTATGGAGTGCATATCTGTTCCTTACATATCTGTGTTTAATGTTACGTTTAGGATGCTGCAGAAAATGATGAAGTTGATGAAAAGTGTGGACTACTGGAGTTACGTTGTGAGAGTGCAATGAATGCCTATTATCCACCAGGTTTACGACCAGTGAATTTCATGGCATCAGAATCCACCTCCACACCATTAGTTTCTTCCTGATATTTCATTTTGCATTAATTTATTTTGACTTTGTTAGTTAATTGATAGTGCAAGGATCCAGATGAATCAACCCTGCATTAAACTGTGTGTTATCAATTTCCTTGAATCCAAATTTTCTGCGTAGTAAATCAAATCGAACGCCCACTATCAACACATTTTTTAAATAGTAAATATAAAAATGGACAAGAATTTTAGAAATATTAATTGTAATTTGAGTTAATTTTAGAAATATATTATTTAATTAATTTCTTAAAAAAAAAACTTTTATTTTATTAATTGCCCGTCTAATGAACACAACTTCTTTCTTCGAGATAACTAATTCAATTAGTAAAAATGTTATTTTGAACAGAAAAAAATATGATAAACGCGTATTTAGCAATGATCATTGACCGAGAGATCACAGTAATTTCCACCTGAAAGCGTGCAATGAATCAGGGACATTCAACTTAGTGTACCAAAGCTTTCCACAATGGATTTGAAAAGAAAATGAAATTTAAATTAATCCATTTTTATTCATTTGAATTTCTTTTAAAAAATTATATATAAAGAAATTAGATTTAATTAGCTATTTACAAAATTTATTTTTAAAAAAGAATAATATAATTATACTATAAAAACTTGTTATGTGTTAATTAATATTAAAATATGAATTCTTGATTTAGTTTGTAAAATACAAATCATCTCCATTTAATTTGAATTCTACCTTTGTGGTATTGATCCAAACTAATAAACATTTTTTTAAAACAAGTGCGTTTTTATTTTTTTGTTGAAAGATAAGGAGTGCTTCCATTTTCATGGTTAGTGGATACATGACATGTTTGTTTCGTCAATATTTGAAAAAAAAAAAAAAAAAAAAAAAAAGCATGTCTCGAGCAAGTGCACTGATAGTGATTGCCAGTTACTTCTACCCATACAAATTTTTAATATTTAGGACACGTTAATGTGTATTTTTAATACATTCTTTTTCTAAGTTCAAGGTTTGTCATTGTTAAGGAAGTTACCAAGAAACTTCCTAAACATAGATAAAGAAGAAGGAAAATGTTGGAGGTCACATATCTTATCTATTATAACATTATATTATTTAAATATTTATTAGATTATTTCATATATTATTAAATTTATTTTATGTTAAAATTTTAGCTTGATGTTAGAATCAAAATCATTTTTTTTTTTGAAATTCAAGCATAAGTCTGACGTGTAAAAAGGAAAAAAATTATACAAACATAATTTTCCTTTCATAAAAAACATTACTTTTTCGAAAAACATTACCTTTTCAATTATTATGTTAGGCAAAATTGTTATTTTATTTTGGTTAAAAAAACACTTTTACCTAATCTAAATCCTTATTAATATTTTGTTAGAGTAGAAACGTATCTTCTTTCTCATCATTAACTTTTTATTAAAAGTTATCTTCTTCTTTTTTATTGTGGATTAGGATATTTTATCAAATATTACTGATTCATTTTATATTAAAACTTTATTAGAGTGAAAACACATCTTCTTTCCTAGTATTATCTTTTGCCAAAAATTGTCTTCACGATTCCGAGCGTGTTGTTAAAAAGCCTTTAAACCCCAACAAACTCTTGCAAAGTTGAGGTTGTCCACAGAGTTGACAAACACAGGAAAAGACGAAGGTTTCTGAGGAAGGAAATGGAGCAAAGAGTGCATCCTTCTTTCATAAGGAGATGGACTTATGACGTTTTCCTGAGTTTTAGAGGAGAGGATACCCGCTTTGGTTTCACCGGTCATCTCTACAATGTTTTATGCCAAAAGGGGATCAAGACTTTCATGGATAGTGAGACGCTTGAGAGAGGAGAACAAATTTCAGCCACCATTTTCAAAGCCATTGAAGAGTCTAGGATGGCCATTATTGTGTTCTCGAAAAGCTATGCATCCTCCACATGGTGCCTTGAAGAACTTGTCAGAATCCTCGATTGTAAGAAAACCAAGAAACTCAGAGTTTATCCGGTATTTTACAACGTGCATCCATCAGAGGTTCGACATCAGACCGGATGTTATGGTCTACATTTGGCTAACCATGAAAGTAAAATGAGGTGTGAACAAGAAAAGGTGAAAATTTGGAGGATGGCTCTGCATGAAGCTGCCAATATTGCAGGGTGGCCTTTTCAAAATGGGTACAACTATACCTCTTATCCCTCATTTTTTTTTTTCGTTTTTCCTGATAATTTGTCTTTTGCTTATATTTAATATCTCTTAAAATTTGATGTTTAGCCGAGTTGAGATATGTTATTGTTGAGTTTAACATCGACGAAGATGGAAATTATTCTGCCTCAAGGGATATTTCTTCTCCTTCCCTTTTATAATCAAATTTTTCTTTAGTTTGTTTTCTTTAATGCATTCATCGTTCCCAATAATATCTTATTCTTAGTACTATCTACGCATCAGGTCTATTAAGTATCAATTAAGTCTATCTCCCCCAAATGGGTTTATCTTGACCTATTTTACCCATTCGGTTGGATCCGAGCCCAACCAGACCCAATCTCTATACACATACCACAACCCCCAAGTCTTAAATTAGAAAAATATTTCTAATGCAAAGACTAAAAACCGAAATAAACATCGAATACACTTCATCCCTTAATATTTTATGATATAATTGTAAAGTTCAATTACTTAAAAGGAATAAACAACTATTAAAAATCAGACTTACAATAACCGTCGTCTTGATATAGAGTGTGGAAATTGCTTCCGTGAGTACTTGAATTTAGATAAAGATTAACCTGCTTTTACTCGTACTTCAATTTAGATCGTGTTTCGATCTTAGTTCACATTCCGAGTATAAGTCGTATTCCGTCCATAATGCGTATTCGGCACATAGCTCGCATTCCGAGCATAAGTCGCATTCCGACCATAGTGCGTATTTCGCACATAACTCGTATTCCGAGTACAGATTGCATTTCGACCATTGTGCGTATTCCGAGCATAGGTCACATTTCAACCATAGTGCATATTTCGCACATAACTCGCATTTCGAGCATAATTCACATTTCGACTATAGTGCGCATTTCGCATATAACTCGCATTCCGAGCATAGGTCACATCTAGCATTCGCATTACGAGCATAGTTTCTATGGGAACAAATAAAAAACAATATTTTTAAATAATAAAAAAGAGAGACTTTCTTCGTACATGAAAACACAAAATATATGAATATATTAAATCGATTTGGATATTATAAAAAAACTGAAGTTAAAGAACACACAATTCCCTGACTCACTGCGTAAACGAATATAAATTCGAACGAAAAACCATTAGAAAGTGGATTGAAGGGATGCAATGCTCGTTAAAGCTTCCATACGCCAAGCAAAGCAACTACAACTGAAAAAACCTTTCAACTAAATCCGAATTCTTCTTCGGAAGACAATCACCACAATTTGGATATATGAGCAATGAAAAAATGAACAAGATCAGAAAGAAAAAACTCTCTGAGCACATTGCAATAGGTTCTCCAAACCCATCAAACAGAACCAGAATGACACCAAGCAAGAGGAAAAGGCAATAACAACAACACCACTAACAAATCAGTGTCATCAAAGATCATATAACTAACCAGGTGGGTTCTACACATTCAACTTTAGAAACTGCCAAGTGCTGCCTTAAACTGCCAGCACTGCTGAATGCCTATCCTCCAAGCTAATAAGGTGAATCTGGTAAATCTAACTTCTACAACCTCCCGTTCCAATCCCGTCGTTGCTTGGTTACTCTCTGACCACAAGAAATCACCTCCGTTTCCCATAGCACACATAGAGTACAGCAGCAGCCGCAACAACAGCTCCTGTAGACCCTGCTGCCACCACTGGCCACTGCAACTTCAACCCCTTCCCTTCATCATGTATGCCATTTACACCTCTATCAATAGTCTCAACAGTCTCAGTCGCCTTCCCATTCAGAGATATGATCACCCTCTCAGCTTCCTTTGCCTCCTCACGCAATTGGAGAATACTTGATTCCAAAGCTGTTGCTTTCTCCTCAGATTCTCTAAGTGCCACCTCCAACCTCATTTTCTGCTTAACCGACTCCTCCAACTCAGATTTCTTCTCAGCAGTAACCTTCTCCAACTCCTCACTTCTGTTTGAAACCGTTAATCTCCTTCTCCTTTTCATCAATCTTATCTCTGATCTCTTCCTCAAACCTAATCCTCTTGTTCCTTTCCTCAATTTCCTTGGTTTCCAGAACTCCAATTTTCCTCTCCAAGTCCCTAACCCTAACCTCACTCTCTGCCTTCACCTTCTTCAATGTTTCCAATTCCTTCTCCAGAGAGTCAAGCCTAGACTCCTTCTCTCCTAAAACCTTCCTCAATTCAGTAGCATACGCCCTAGCGTCCTCCGCCCTAGCGTCCTCCGCCGCACTCATCTCCGATATCATATCATGCTGTAGCCTCGCCACCTCCGTCTCCAAGTCCGCCGCCCTCGCCGCGATTACCTCCACCGCCTTCGCCGCCTCGCGAGACTGCACCACCTCTCGCTGCATTACTTCGATCTTCTCGTTAGTCACCGTGTTGTCGCTCCTCAATCCCTCGAGCTCCACCGTCAGCTCCTTGATCTCCTCCTTCCTCGCGGCGTTCTCACTCATCAATTCTTTGCGCTCGCGTTGCAACACGGCGATCTTCGTCACCGATTCTTCACCGTACTGATCATCGACGCCGCCGTTGGCAACACCGTCATCCGCCATGGCTGATTGGAGCGAGAGAAGGCGTAAAGAGAGTGTGCGGTGGTGTCAGCGAGAAAATGGAAGATGAATTCTCCAGGAAAAATGGAGAGGATTTCCCGGGAAGGTGACAAAGGAAATAAGAGGCTTGTATTGGCGGACTTTTCTCTTTTCCAACTACATCATATTCTTTTCTCAAGGGTAAAACCGTTAAGCTCTTATTAATTGTTTCGTTTGTTGGAACGATTCTCCCATAATTGTTTTGAACGTGAAATAAGAAAAATTTTATCTGCGTACGCCAATATTCTGGGTGAAGGATTCCTCCTTTTTATAATTAAATTTTTTCTTACGTTTTTTTTTTCTTTTTTATATATGGGTCCTAATAATATTTTATTTCCTATACTACATATGCATCACTCACTCAAACCCATTCTCTATACATTTACTAGAAATATAATACAAAGGAAAAATTCCCTAGATTTAATTCTGTACAAACTTTCACCGATAATAATTATACTGTATAACATAAAAATTCTTTTAGAGCATTCAACTATTAACATAACACTTTATATTATCCAATAACGTAGATAAAAATACAAGATAATCCTAATAGTTATTTAATAAGATAAAAAAATAATTCAAATACAGAGTAATTAGTAAAAAAAAAACGTTTTCTTCGAGGTAATTTTTTTGTACGAAATTACTTTGATTTCTGTTCTTCTTCTTCTTCTTTTTTTTTTTTTCTCGTAGTGATTTCTTTTCTTTTCCGATACTCACAATTTGTCTATTCAGTTGCTAATTTGCCATGAAGGATTCAATACATTATTTAATGGGTCCGTATTACATAAAGAAAAATTAGTTTATTTATTTTTCTTTAACTTAGTTAGGGTGAGCCAAGTGATTTCACCAATTAATTGATGTTACAGTTAACTAAATATATTTTTTCTTTATAAATAATATTTTTTTTCAATAGGTAAGATTTTTGTTATTATTTTAATTAGTGTGAATATTCAATATGATTTGTATGAATTTTCTCTATTGATAATTACTTCATTTTTAACTTATCACCTTTCCAATTATATTTTATATAAAAAAAATAACACTCCTACAAGTAAGATTAATTGAATAATCATTATAAATAATAGTAATTTCACTATTAAATTCAACTGCATTAATATCTTTTATATATATATATATATATATATATTCTCATTATTATTATTATTATTATCGTCTCTACTCCCAATTGATCTAACACTCACATCATATAATACATCTAAACCAAAAGAAGTATATATGCAAAACGAAGAGCATCTCTTATGATTTGATCACATATAAGTATACTCAACTAACATTTAATCAAAAGTGTTATGGTAAGTTCATGAGTCTTCCATCATCTTAAGAGTCGAGATGAGACTAAGAATAGTTTATGTTCACCTTTCTCCATCCAATCATCTTTTAAAAACAAAATGGTGACAGATTAATTCTAATAATATTATCATAACTGATACGACACTAGACACTCTTATCTCTAAACGCAACAAGATAGAACTCTCTTTCCTTTTTCTTCTCTTTACCCTCCTTTAAAAGCTTCCAAACATACCTAAGATGAAGTAACTTTTTGTCTTATCAACAATTGTCTATCTGGCTACTTTGTTTATTTGTAACAAATATGATGGGTTGAATTTGAATATCATAATTATTTTTTTGTAATTACACAGATATGAATATGAATATGAATTTATCGCACGGATTGTTGAAATGGTGGGCATATCAAAACAAAAGCTTTTACCTCTTGATGAAAATCTTGCTGGAGTGGAGTCACGTATACGTGAAATATTATCCCGTTTGCAAATCTCTGATCCCACGGTCATCATGATGGGAATATGCGGAGTTAGTGGAATAGGTAAAACCACTCTGGCTCAAGTTTTGTATGATTACATTAGCCAACAATTTGAAGGTTCATGCTTTATCAGTGACGTCAGAGGAAATTCAGCGAAATATGGGTTTACATTTCTCCAAGAGGCAATTCTTTCTGATATAGCTGGTGAAAATACCAAGGTGGTTAATGAGAACCAAGGAATTTCAATCCTTATTAGGAAGTTGCAAGGCAAAAGGGTTCTTCTGATACTTGACAATGTGGACAACCTGGAGCAATTAGAGTATTTAGCAGGAGAATGCAACTGGTTTGGTTTGGGAAGTAGAATTGTCATAACTAGCACGTGTAGAGATGTTCTAGCTACTCATGGAGTTGAAAATATATATGATGTACCTAAATTAAATTACTATGAAGCTATTCAACTTCTAAGTTCCCAGGTAACCGAGGGACCTGTACCTGATTATTATTATGTGGTTTGGAAACGTGCAATTCACTATTCCAATGGCCTTCCATTGGTTTTGAAGTATATTGGTTCTGACTTGTTAGAAAAAATGAAGGCTGTTGATTTTAGTTTATCAGAAATATCAGTAGAGGAATTGGAGATTGTACTAGAAAAATATGAAGGAGTTTATGAGGGAGGAAAAATTCAGAGTATACATAAAGTGAGTTATGATAGTTTGAATGAATGTGAGAAGAGAATTTTCCTTGATATTGCATGTTTCTTCACCGGAGAGCCAGTGTCATATGTTGAAGAAATACTATCAGCTTGTGGTTTCGAGCCAAAATATTATATTACCAGACTTATTGATAGATCTCTCCTATCTATCACTCCCACTGGAAGCTTTATGATACATGATCATATCAAAGACATGGCCATGAAAATAGTGCAACAGGAATCACCCCTGCATCCAGGAAAACGAAGTAGATTATGGTGCCCTCAAGATGTTCTTCAAGTTTTAAATGAAAATGAGGTTAGTACTATATTCACTGGTTTTATGGTTTTAAATGAAAATGATGTTATGTTTGTATGTACTAGTATGTGATCTCCTAATAACTTGAATTTACATGTATATCTTCAAAATTTGGTATGTACAGTTGAATTTAACTTATTTTTGCTTTGAAAGGGAACTGATCAAATTGAAGTTATGATGTTGGTTGACTTGCCACGAGGAAATGAGATACTGAAGTTGAGTGACAAAGCCTTCAAAAATATGAAAAACCTGAGAATGTTAATTATTAAGGATGCCATATATTCTGGAATCCCCCAACATCTCTCAAATAGCTTGAGAGTTTTAATATGGAGTGGATATCCTTCAGAGTGTTTACCACTTGATTTTCTCAACTTTCCTTCTGATTGTCTCATTTTGAACAATTTCAAGGTATGTAGTTGTGTGAGTCAAATTGTTCCTTTGACCTTAAATATTACTTTCAAGTTTATTGTCTAATTATTGTATTCTTTTGTTGACAGAATATGGAGTGTTTGACTACACTGGATTTCACTGATTGTGAATATTTGACAGAAGTACCTGACATTTCAGGAATTTCAGACTTGAGAATATTGTATCTAGATAATTGCATAAATTTGATTAAGATTCATGATTCTGTCGGATTTCTTGGTAATCTTGAAGTGTTGGCAGCAACTGGATGCACTAGTCTAAAAGTAATTCCATTAGCCTTCAAGTTGGCCTCTCTTAGAGTGCTCTCTTTCTCTGAGTGCTTGAGGCTTGCGAGGTTTCCAGAAATATTGTGTGAGATAGAAAATTTGCATTACCTCAACTTGTGGCAAACTGCAATAGAGGAATTACCATTTTCTATTGGAAATATTATAGGGCTTGAATCTCTGAATCTAATGGAATGTGGTAGGCTTGATAATCTACCCAGTAGCCTTTTTACACTACCAAGACTAATGGAAATTCAAGCTGATTCATGCAGAAGGTTTGATATTTCTGTTGAGGGTGAAAACCATGGACAACTGAAATTAACTGCTTCTTCAAACAAAGTTTGTCTGTATCTGAGCTCTTGCAATTTAACAACTGAACATCTTGTTACATGTCTCAGTGGCTTTGCCAATATGGTATATTTGGACATATCTTACAATAATTTTACAGTCCTTCCAGAATGCATTAAAGAATGTGTTCATTTGAAGACTCTTCAGCTAAGCAATTGCAAGCAGCTTCAAGACATTTTAGTGGTCCCTCCTAAATTAAGAGACATTGATGCATTGAACTGCACATCATTGACATCCCAGTCATCAAGTGTACTATTGAACCAGGTTTTTTCTTTGTTGTTTCCTACTTGAACTTACATGTATTAGTTAGAGTCTATTTGGATAAATTCTTCCATTAACACTTGTAGAGAAGAAAACAAAAATTTACTTGTTTGTGTGATCAGGCATTCCACGCAACTGGGCAGAAAACTGTAATTCTTCCAGGTTCAACGATTCCAGAATGGTTTGATCATTATGGCAGTGAAAGATCCATAATCTTTTGGGGTCGTGGAAGGTTCCCAAGAATCTGTGTGTGTTTTTCTGTTGGAGTGCTGGGGCATGCACTGCACCGTCTTCAAGCTAGATTAAGTATAATCATCAACGGCTATAGAAGAATGCTGTCCCAATGTTGTTACAATTGGTCAATTGAGACAGATCACGTGTGGCTATTTGATCTAACTGCACTTGTTCGTCATGAAGATCTCACTGGAACATTTGTGAAGAGTGATTGGAATCGTGTGGAGATTGAAATAGAAAGGAATGGTTGTATACTGGGAGAGCATGGACCAACAGGAATAATGGCTTTTGTGAAATGCTATGGAGTTCACATTTACAGGCATGAAAGTAAAATGGAGGACATTTCATTCTCACAACCCAAGAATCTACTGGAAAATAATACAAATAAAAGGGTTGGTAATGAGGTTTTGGATTCAGTGAAACGCCAGAAGAGAACTTGGAAGCAAATTCTCAGCGGGATTGACTCCATTCCGGAAGATGAACAATAAATATTTCACAGATATTTTAGTTGATTAGGTTTTGTTTACTTAGTTGACTTAAACTTCATCATCCCTTATCTTTTGATTTGGACTGAGCTAGTCTTAGAAATATTCTTTACGAATATTCATAGTAGAAAAGGTTCTGAGATTTTTTTTTTTCCTTTCTCATTAACCTCTTTCCATTGCGTTTTGGATTAGCCTTACTAAAAAGTTTATTGAGGAGGCAAAAAGAAAGTAGGCATATAAATCTGAAAGCCCAGACAGAGAAGCATATGCTAAGGTCATTTCCAAATTTTAAGGTAAATTTAGTACCATACGCAACACAAAGAAGATAATAAGTTAAATAGTTATTTAAAAGAAGATTCTCTAGGAGTGTTATGATTTCTATCACAGTATTCTTATAATCAATTATCATCTACACTTTTGAAATTCTAGTAAGATTTTATTCATTAAAGATGATAAATTAAGGGTGTAAGTAAATAAATTATTATTGATCTTGGACATGGTCATGAATCATTCAAATTGAAGATAGAGTCTTGCTCTATTTATATTTTTATTGGAGATTTATTATTTTAATATATTTATAAATCTCTTATTAATAAGAAATTGATATTAAGAATAATTTATATTTTTTTAAAATCTATTAACGTGTTTTTTAAAATAAAATTATGACAAATTAAAATCTTAAAACACATTATATTTTAAATGTGATAATTAACTATAATAATGTTTTTATAATAAATAATTTAAAAAAGATAATATTTAAAATAAAATTATAATATTTTAAATGAAATTATTGGATTATATTTAAAAATATTATGTACAGATATTCTATCCCATGCAATGGTTTGGACTTTTGGAAGAAAAAGGAAAAGTTAACAGCTAAAATAATAAAACAAATCTGGCATCAAATAATGCTTGATAAAAAAATGCAGTAAATTGTCCTCGCCAACTTGCTTAATTTGGTTTCAACTTCATAGCTACCACTATCTCTAGAAAAAAGAATTGTACTTCGTAATTGAAAAGAATTGTCCTTATCATCAATATTATCATTTAATCATATTAGGTAAGTAAGATTTGATGAAGCATTGGTCAGTTATGAGTCATAATAAAGAAGGAAACAAAAGAAAAAATATATAAAATGAAACAGAAGGAATAATTTAAAATATATTTATGAGATTGATGATGTGATTATTAGTTTATAAAATTGTTAAAAATAAATATTTATTTAAAATTCTAAAAACTTAAATTTCATTTATTAGGAGAGTAGGTGTGACTTTTTTTTTATCAATTTAATAATAATAATAATAATAATAATGCAGTCAATTGTCACCAAGAAGAAAAACTGCTTTCAACTTCTCCAATGGACATTTGAGTTTCGTTGATGATAAGTGATTCATAAGTCACCATCTTTTTAACTTTTATATAAAATAATAATTGTATATTTTTTTAATATTTAGAAGCATCCACTTTCTTACATTTTTTAATAAAATGTTACGTTTTTATTATTTTATTAAATAATATGATAGATAAAATCCAATTAAAATTACGAAAATTTAAAAAATAAAGTTTTAAAATATAGGAATTAAATATTTCATAAAATAAAAATTAAATAATTTAACTACACAAAAATTACATCCATCCCTTCCATTTTTTAAAATCACATTCATAAACGTTTAATTTTAAAATAAACATTTATATACGTCATATTATCAATAAATAATATCATATTTATACTTAAAATCATAACATAATAATAAATAAATATATTTAATCATATATTTTAAAATTATTTATTTATTTTTATATTGAAACAATATTTTCTTAAAATTATATATATATATATATATATATATATTACTATATAGTTATAATGGAGTCATAATATATTTTTTAAAATATTATTAATATAATATAATTAGTTTTTAAAATTTATTATTTATATTTTAAAACAATTTTTAATTAACTTTAATTAATATGATATTAAAAGGTATAAAAAGTGTATATAATATTTTTGAAAATTAAAACAAATGTGATTATTAGTTTACAAAAATATTAAAAATAAATATCTATTTTGAAATTCCAAAAAAGTTAAATTTCATTTATTAGCACAGTAAATGTAACTTTCTTTCGTCAATTTAATACTAATGCAGACAATTCTAACCAAGAAGAGAAATTACTTTCAACTTCTTCAAGGGCCGTTTCAGCTTTCGTTGATAAGTGTGCTCCAATACGAACCCTTCTCCATTCCAATGTCCCATTCTATCAGAGTCGCCGTCATCGGCGCCGGTATCGCCGGCCTCGCCGCCGCCCGGGAGCTCCGCCGCGAGGGCCTCGAGGTGGTAGTGTTCGAGAAAAGCCATCAGCTCGGAGGCACCTGGTGCTACGACCCGCGGATCGAATCCGATCCTATCGGATCGGACCCGAACCGGGATGTGGTGCACACGAGCCTTTACCGCTCTCTCCGCACTAACCTGCCGAGGCAGCTCATGGCCTTTCTCGACTACCCGTTTCCGGACCGTCCGGATGGAGACGCGAGGGCTTTTCCGGGTCATGAGGAGGTGCTGTGGTTTCTGAACAAGTTCGCGGACGAGTTCGGGCTTCGCGGGTTGACCCGGTTCGGATGCGAGGTTGTTCGGGTAGAGCGAGTTGCGGGGAGGATTGATTCGTGGGTGGTTGAGTCACGGACTGGTGACTCCGTTTTGAGTCGGGAGATTTTTGAAGCGGTTGTTGTTTGCTCTGGACACTTCACTGAACCCAGGGTGCCAACGATTCCCGGTAAGTAGAGAGTAATGGCACGCTTATATGAGTGAAGTAGCTTCTTTGGCTTTGCGTGGTATCTTTGTTAAGTCACGTGACGCACAGTGATGCGAAATTTCATTGGTTTTGAATTTTTTACTTCTACGGTTTATATTATGTTACTGACAAATGCAAAATTCCATCAGCTTTGACTCTGTTTGAACGAGAACTTTTAGAAACACTTCAGACAAAAATAAAAAATAAAATCAGTTTCTCCATAAAATCTGATGGATAAGTTAATTTGTATAAACTTTCTAATTCTCTATTTATATATATATATATATATATATATATATATATATATATATTAAAAAATAATTTCAGTTTATAAAGAAATTTATTTAAAATTCTTTTAACTTATTATCTGTAAGAATTACTTATGAGAAGATTCTTCTTCTGGATAAATAATTTATATACTTATTTATCATTTTCCATTCGCATTTGTAATATTGGAACCCAAAACTTTATCAACATGATCTGAACCAAGTAAGTCTCATATTGGTTCATATCAATGATAAATTGATCCATACATTTAAATAGTATTTGGTAGAGGAAACCAAGATGAGGGATTCTTATAGTGGAATAACTAGTAGGAAAAAGATTTAGAATATTTCAAGAGTGATGACCAAAGCATCAATTCTTATGCTTTTGACAAATAAAATTATAAGGATATAAAACAAACAATTTTTAAAATTTCACTCATTTTTTTCCCTTGTTTTTTAATCAAACAAGAAAAGCGATGTTTCTTTTCCTCTATGACTATCTCCCCCTTTTCCTCTCATTTTCTTTTTTGAACAGTTTAACAATTATCAATTTGACGATTCTTAAAAGAAACATATTTTTTCTATAATCATCAATTGTAAAAAAAATAATAAGTCTCATGATCACATATACGGTATACCAATTATTTCGCTTCTAAAATGTCTTAATGTAATAGTATATCATGTTAGAGTCATGGTTGCGTGGGTGGTGAAGAAGACTATGCTGACGGAGATAAAACCTTCTTAGATAATTTCTACTCTCCACAAAGGAATCTTTGACTGTCTACTACCTTGGTATATATATATATATATATATATGTAAATGATTACGAATAAAAGATAAATTCTTGTCACTCTTTTATATGGTCTTATATAACTATTAACTAATTTTTAAAATTAATCATTCATATACGTTTTGTTTTATGATGATTTAAGTTACAATTTCCACACTCATCGAATAGACCATCATCTCTCTCTCTCTCTCTCTCTCTCTCTCTCATCTATCTATATATATATATATATATATATATATATATATAAATGAATGAGTGCATGAATTGGTGTTTTGTGTGATATATGGGTTTCTCATCTTCAAGGCTTGTGTTTCAGGAATTGAAAAGTGGCCAGGATACCAAATACATAGTCACAATTACCGAGTTCCAGAACCTTTTCGGGGTCAGGTGCTGTAAACAATATTAAATAAGGCTTTTCTCTATCTCAAAGTAGTATCCTAGTGTACCTTAGTTTTCTTCTAAATCTTTCTTTTCTAATGCAAAGTCGTATGAAGTAATCTTAACCATATGGGTAACTGCTTCATATTAATTAGTGAGTGTTGAAGCATTTTGGACGTGTAGGCTGAGCACTCTATGTCTTGCTTTCTTTCTCAATGTTAGAAAATACAAATTATTGGGAAAAACCCACACTATCATCGAACTAGAAATAATGTCAAATGCAGTATGGGAGTCCAAGTTGGTTTCGTAGGATTGACTTAGGCTTAAACTCCATCATGAGACAATTAGCTTTACTATGCTGATTTGGTATCTTCTGTTATTTACTGCATGTATTGATTTCAATTGATATTTTACTTCCATGCTCAACAATTAAAGTAATATCATAACTTTGTATGTGACAAAATATTAAATTCAATTGGATATATAATATATTACTAGTAGTTTGGATTAAAGTTAATTAGTAAATACTGATATTTCCCTATTAACAGACCGTGGTTGTCATTGGATTTGCATCTAGTGCCTTTGACATCTCAAGAGACATTGCCCAAGTAGCTAAGGAGGTTCATATAGCAACTAGAAGTCCAGATGTAAAGGTTATGAAGTTAGCAAATCATGATAACATGTGGCAGCATAAAATGGTACGCTAAACGGTTATCTGTTAGCTTCTGTAGTTGCCTTTTAATCGGAAAACATCTTATTTACATTTTTCTGCTCTTATGACATGAGATGAGGAATGAAATATTTATCTCTTAATCCATTGGTGTCCATCAGGAATGTTTTTACTTAATAATAACTAGTGTAAGCTGAAAGTACGTAGGCATACTGTGTAATAAGTTTCATACTAATCATGTCTGTACAGGTAAAATGTGTATCTGAAGATAGGTCGGTTGCTTTTGACGATGGATCCTCTGTGCATGCAGATGTCATACTCTACTGCACCGGGTATGCGTATAATATATTTTATAACATGAAAGGTGTTTTCTGGTCTTTAATTTTTAAAATATTGAACTAGGAAGGTGTTTCAAGAGAGAAAATAATAGTAGTATAATGATGTTTTTGAGTTATTGTTTCAGAAACAATAAAAAGACTTGGATAACACTGCTTCATTATCGAGCTATTTTGATGTAAAATACATATTTGATCTTATTATGGCCATGACTTTGTTTTTAACTTTTTTTACAAACTTTTGACCTTCAAACTGTTTCTGTAATTTTATTTTCAGAATTGATTTGAAAATAATACAAAAAAGAAAAACATAGCCAAGTATGACCTATATTCTGATTTTGGTGGCTTACTTTATCTTGGCAGCTTATCTAACGAATAAATGTGTGAATTACTTAGTTATTATCTATGGCTTAATTTTGACAGATACAAGCATCACTATCCATTTCTTGAAACAAATGGAATGGTAACCATTGAGGATAATCGTGTTGGCCCATTATACAAGCATGTCTTTCCACCTGCACTGGCTCCTTGGCTCTCTTTCATTGGTATACCTGAAAGGGTAATTGCCTTTTAGTTTTCTCTTCTTTCTTGTAATGCCATAACTCCAATGTGAAAACAATTCTTGCCATGTTGAAAAAGAGAGTACTGATACATAACGACAAAATTTTACAACGTTCTCTTTCCACAGCTCATTCTCTCTCTCTCTCTCTCTCTCTCTCTCTCTCTCTCTCTCTCTCTTTCTCTCTTCATCACACCAAGTTCAGTATAAAATTCATAGTTTATGTGGACCTGGATTTTTATCATCATAAAAAAATGTTATATTGGAAAATTTACCAAAACTATATTTTGCTTGTATGTTGTAATGTATATTATTTACTGCGTCAGGATATCATCTTTCAAATGTCGGAGTTGCAATGCAAGTGGGTAGCACGTGTTTTATCTGGTAAAGTTCTGTTACCAACTGAAAAGGAGATGATGGCTTATGTTGAGGAATACTATCAACAACTGGAAAAAGATGGATTTCCCAAACACATGACTCATTACTTGCATTTCAAAGAGGTACTTCTCTTGATCATTTCCAGCAACATTTGTGGAATGAATGCTGAAATTTCAGCATGCACATGTTTGAAAAAGTAATCCATGTAGCCTGTTAAGATTATTCTGTAGCTCCAGTTTTGTCATAAATTGATCTTCAAATACTCCAAATGTTTCATGAACATTGATTTGGTTGTTACTTTTACAGTGGAGTCTTGTTCAGTTCTAAAATATCACAAGTAACTTCTTGGTAGAATTCCAATACATTGGGAAATGCTAAACAGTAATAGATAATTTGTGAAACACGATATATAATTTTTCTTTCTTGATCATGTTGCAGTTATCTTTTTTTTCTTATCTTCACTCGCAAATTTTTGTTACCTATTGTTCTGTTTTTTTAAGAATTTTGAGAGTCAAACATTTACTTTCTTATTCTGATTATCTTTACACATTTTGCAAATTTTTCTTCTAGGTTGGTTATTGCAATTGGTTAGTTGCTGAAGCAGGTTTGCCTCCTATAGAGAACTGGAGAGAGGAAATGTATTTAGAGAGCATCAAACCATTATACCTCGGCATGGCAGATAATTACAGAGATGAATGGGATGATGCTCACTGGAACGCAATCATAAAAGATGCATCTCTTGCACAATGAAATAATCTAGTGATTCTCTGAAGAAGTGTCATAAAATAAGAGTGGTGATATATCATATATCCCATCAACAACCATAAAAAATATAATAATATTATATTAAGATATGTAGTCGTAGGATGAATGTCTTGTTAAAATTGTTGGCTAAATAAAATTTCTCATAAAATAATATTTTCATCATAAAAGAAATATTTGTTTAAATTGTATGATAAAATGTAGATAATGTCGAGGTTGCAATTTGCGTTACTGCATAAAGATTAATAATGAATATTATGGAGGGGTATGCAGGTCTGTTTAGGATTGCTTGCAAGGACCTGCAATTTCATTTGCAGTGGTTAATTTGAGTTAGTGGATTATTAATATGGTTATGTATTTGAAAGCTAGATGTGTATTTTGAAGACATTCAATGTCGGACAAGAAAATTTGTTTAAAAGGAATAATGTTTTGAAAATTTGTGTGAAAAAATAAGGTTTTTTCACAAAATAATTTTGAACAAGACTGTCACGAAGATTTTTGTAATTTGATATAGTTTTTAATGAAGTCACATCAGCTTATTTTAAACATCAAATAAAGATACTCATGCCATTTGAACACATTCTCCAAAGTCAATACCTACATATTTATAATCAACAATCAAAATATTTAATTAAGCTTGTGTTTGAATTTGAGAGATAATTTGAAGGAGAAGAATATAAAAGAAATAAAGTGGAAACTAAAGTTGTTTGAAAAAAAATAGAAATTAAAGAAAAATAAATAAAAAACATAAATGATAAACTTGATTTAATTAATAAAAAAATAAATAATGGAGTAAATTAAAAAACAAGAAAACAATAAAAAAAACTAAATTAGATGAATAAAAAGAGAAACGTAAAAAATGAAAAAAATAAAATAAAAATATTTATTTTTAATAATATTATATAATTATTTATTATTATTATTATTCAAATTAAAAAGGAAAAAAATAATTTTTTAAGTATTTGAAGTAATTTTTTGTTTTAATCAAAGATCAAATATTCACATATATTTATAGAAAGTGAAAAGTTATTTTTCTATATTGGGATTATAAATTTCAATGTTTTGAAAAATTATTTTCATCCCCACTCTCAATACAAATAACTATTCATGCAATCATAACATATACCTCATAATCAATAATACTAATATAACAGTGAATTTCTTTCCTCATATCAACCAAGTTCTTATATACAATTAATAGAACCTTAAATTATATTTCTCGATAATCTGTAACCTATCTAATACATAAAGAAGCCTACATCTAAAACAAGGATTGTGTTTAAAAAAAAAATAGAATTCTGCCAACGAAGGAGCATATTAAAGTCTACAAAAAAAACCCTCAGCATCATCATCACATTGCGTTGAATTTAATAAACAAAATCATGTTTTGCCTGTCTTTGTGTTTGAACGAGTAATTTATTTTTATAGAGAAATTAAAATATTTTATAGCAAACTATATTATTTTAATGATAAATTAAAAAAATTCAATAATTTATTATAATAATTTAATTATTTAAAATTAAAAAATTTCAAAATCCATCTAAATTAAAAAAAATTGAAAGTTTTTATAGTTTTTCAAATTTATGTTTCTCTTCTTCACTCGTCCTATTCTTCATAAAAATATTTATGATTTGATTTTAGTTGAGAGTTCCTAGATCAAGAAATTTTTTATTTCATATATTTTTTCGATTAATCTTAACAAAAATTTATTATTATTAAAGCATTTCTTTTTCGTCAATATCAATCAAGATGATATTAGTCATATATTTAAGTTTTTTAAAATAATATATATATATATATATATATATATATATATATATATATTATAATATTATATTTTTTAATTGATATGAAAAATTTTAATATTATTATAAAAATTATATTTATCTATATATTATAATGTTATTATATTTTATATTTTTATATTTTTAGTTGGTTTGTGATTTATCAATATTACTAGTATTATAAATGATAATTTTTTATTTAATTATTTTATTTAATAATAATTAAAATATTCTATTGAAAAAAATCAAAATTTAATAAATTTAAACTCTCTTATTCAAATAAAAAATCAAACATTTCTTAAAAACTTTAAAATTATTTATCGATTTTCTAACAGTGAAAAATATTCTTCTCATTTCATATTAATTGGGAGTTTAAATGTTAATTTACAGCTGCCAACAACATGGCTTGCGTCACTCAAATTCTTCCACCAGAATGATTTTTCTTTTTTCTTTTTCAAGTAATTTTCCTTCTTTAATTTTTATGCAAGCACCATTATTGAATTTTTATAAATACCAATTGATTAATTTTTTGTTTTCTATATTCAAATGTTGAGAACGACAATTGAAATTGGACCCTTAAATTGTATTCGATAGACACAAAGAATTACATATAGGAAATACATGTTAGTTTGGTTTAGAGGGATAATTTTTTAACTATTTCATAATTTTTAAATAACTTTTTTGAATTGGATCCTTTAATTTGATCTTTCCTTTTAACTATGGTAAAAAAAAATTAACTACCTACCTAATAAAAAAAAGTACAAGTTTAAGGACAATACCTAATTTACAAAGTCGAGTAGTTGGACCAACCTAATAAATTAAACTAATTAAATTACGTACTAACTAAACTAAACCAAGTGAATAAAATATAAATGTTCTATTTTGGCATTATTCCTATGGTTTGGAATCTATGGTATATCATTTTGATTAAAATATAGGCCATCAAATCAACCCTAATTAATTCGTTTTTTCTTTCACAACTAATATGCAATTAATATCATTTTTATGCAAAAGGGATAATTTTAATCCAGAATAATAAAAAGTATTAAACTTGATAAATTGAACAATTTTTGTTTTGTTTTGCACAATACGATATTATTTTTGTTGCAAGGATTATTTTAACTAAAAATATAAAAATATTGATTCCACACCTCATAAAGTGGTTGAACAGAGTCTATCGATTTCTCAGTTGAATTGATTTGTTATAAATTAAACTAAACTGAATCCATTTATTTCATAGTGTTCGGGAATTATGAATTGATATTTGTTATGAGACAAACAACTTTTGTCATCATGTTGGACTGTAATTAAAAATTTAGTAAACCCTTGTTTTATGAGTTTAATAGAATGGTTGGAGAAATAAAAATTTCACCTTTCATTACTCCGATCTAATAGCGACATGACAAAGTATCAAGTTACCCTACATATTCGTCTTGTATATAAATTGTATATGGTTTCATGAATATTTCACATTATTCTGTACTCACTCATAGTTTTTGTTTAAATAATTTATATACATATTTTCATAATTACTTCGTAATTTAAAGTAGAAGATAAAAATAATTTATATACATTCTTTTCTTTCTACTTATTATATTTAAAAAATATTTTTAAAGATAAAATTACAACGAACGAAATTTATAAAACAAATAAAATTAATTCTAACAATATTATCATAATAGACATAAGGTGATGTTCACTATAAGAAGTTTCACTTCACTCATATTTTTTAATCATTGTGAACCAAATATTATCGACATATTAAAAGAAATTACCTAAAATACCTAATATATACAAGATAAAATATTTTAATTTTAGGATATAATCTTACTCTTAATCTATAAAAAGTTTTATATTTTTTTTATTAAACATCTCTCTAAACATAAAAAAAAAACCTTTTACATATATTTTTTTCCTTAGTTTAATGCGGAACATAAAGTAATGTTCTTTTTTGTTTTTTCCTTGTATCCATTATCTTTGTTTCCATTAGATAGTATGCATTTGATTCTTGAAGTTTTCGCTGAATAGCCCTCGTCATTTTATTTCCGACGATGCTATAGAGTTTGCCTTAATCTCAATCCCACGTCATTTATTTGGTATGAACCTTTTTCCTTATGGACAAAAATTGGATTTGATTTTATGTACAGTTATTTTAAATAGAAAAAAAAAAATACCATCAACACTCAATAAAAATACCTTCACTCAAAATGTTGATTTAGGAAAAAAAACAAAGAAAAATCACGTTACATTTGTAAAAAATGGTTTTAATTTTGTGGGAATAATCTCACAAAATAATTAGGGTTCTATACGGGGTTGAATTAGGTTTAATTTGACTAAATTCATCACTCATTTCAAATCTACATGCACTAATATAAATTAATTATAGGCAAAAACAAGATTAATGTAGCCACAACTGTAAGATATGATTGCAAAGGTTTCCAAAGAAGAGTATTATGGTCACAACACGTTTGAAACTTCAAACAATTCATAACCATGGCTCAAACCAATCCATTATACTGATTGAGATATTCAAGTTGCCTCATATAACAAAGATCACTAATTAAAAGGGTTCTCTTCAATCCATTACATGTGTGTTGTATAGTATCAAGTAAATCAGTCTTCTATGCCCATCAGAGTGAGGAGGAACTTCTTGTACTCTCCTGAAGTTTCCTTGGCCACTACATGCTCAAGATGAACACTGTTTCTCTTGTAATACACATCTTTGATCTCCTTCAGGTCCTTCTCAGCCCTTGTGACAATCACACGTGTGATTGCTTCCTCATCAGTTCCAACCCTTTCCATGGCATTGCGCAGAACCTGCATATAATGGATTCAGGGTAACAATTCTTTCTATGACAAATGTATTTCATATCATGTTCAAAGAAATAGAATTTCTCATGTTCTAATTAAGGGTCAAATTCAAACCTCTCCCATAATATATAGAAAGGAAGTGATATATCATGAGCAGACACAGGAATTTTCACCTTTTCATAGTATTTCTTATGATCATTGATGCAACTAATAGCTAAATTGGCTGCCTTATAAAACTCATCAGACCCTTCATCGGACAATTTCTGCAGAGGGAGAAAGGAACAAGTTAAGAAAACTAATAATGTATCTTCAATTTTTTTTCTTGTAAGGTCTATACATTTTTGTTTACACCATCATTCAAATATAAGTTGTGATGGTTAACTTTGTAACAACTCAAAAATCTATTTCACTAGATGATTTGTTATCAGATGATTGTGTAAAAGTTTCTATACTGGTATCAGAAATAAAATTCTTAAAAGAAACAATCAAGAACGGAACAAGTAGTTTTCAAAGGTTATAACATCTGAGGATTAATAAAGCAAAGAAAAAGAGGATCTTCCCTTGTTGTACCTTAGTAATGGCAATGCCATGATCATCCCTGTACCGGTTGAAAGTTGCCACAAGTTGAGTCTTGCTCCTAGTGGTGAGGATCCTAATAATATCTTCGTTACTTTTGCTCTTGTTCTTGTTTTTGATAGCCTCATGAAGTGCATCAGCTTCAGATTGTGCTAATCTTGCATTAATTTCACTGCCACCATACCTAAATGAGCTCACCAATCCTACTAATAGCTGCAAAAAATTAGCCAAAGCAAGGGCTAATTAGATCAAGAATAACCACTGGCGTTAGGTAGTGTAATTAAATTACATAGGACAAGACTTACCTTAAGTTCCTTTACTACTTCAGGTGTTGTTTCCAATTAAATTAGTTTCATTTAGTTAATCATAAAGGTTTGCAGTAAAAGTCAACATAAATTAGGGTGGTAAAACTCAATTATGATGGAAGAATGACATTAAAATTATCTAAGAAACTGCATCTAAATTTTGTCCAATTATATATCTCATGCCTGTCGATGATGGCCACTGGTATTAACGGCCACATCTTCCTCCAAGGAACGTTTGAATCTGTTATGGTAGGCACGCCTCATAACAAAAAGCTCTTCAGGTGAAAGAACACAGGAAAGTTCCACAATCACTTGGTAGTTTTTGTCATCACTCTTAAGGGCTATATTGGCCAACAAAGCCTCACGTTCTGCAGGTTCCAATATCCAACGATACATTGCTCTCTGTTGGGTACATAAAACCCCACACAACACCCCAATTCATCAGTGCATCATCATCATCTATAACATTGGCTCATAAGAAGCATTTTCTGAAATTATCAGTGTACCTCAAAGTCACCAGAGAGCTCAGACTCAAGGCGTTTGATGAGATCCTCTTGGAAGAGATTCTGGTATGCTTCTCTGATGTGGGTCCTTTGTGCAGCATTTCTATGGCCTAGTATTGATATAATGGCTTTTCCATCAGCTCCCCAACCTACAAAGTTTCCAAAACTCATCAGTTTAATATTTATAGTCTTCTTCTCTTTTTTGTAAAAATCACAACTTTGAAAAATGACATACTCGTGAGCTTCTAATTTCCTAACAAATTTAAGGTCTTTTATATGAGGAAAAGCCAATTTACATGAAGAAATGATTGCTGTGTGAGAATGAATTAGGATTGGGAATTTGATCATGGACTTTGAATATGAAAAACTTGTGATCAAATGAATATTTGAAAAGGGAATGAAAAGTTGGATCATGTGGTATGTGACCTTTGACAGCCTTTCGGAGAGATTCTGCATCTTCCACAGGAGAATGGTTGGGAGGAGCAATCAACGTAGCCATGGTTTGAATTGTTTATTTTGACTCTATGCTTCTGGCTACTCATACATATTAGATTCTGTGTTCACAATGCTCTCTGTTGATACTTGATTGGTTGAAACGTCAATTTGTTCTTTGATTTTGTTAAGGTTCCAACATAAAACCAATATATGGAGTAGCCTAACATGTATTTAAACCATACCAAATGACATGAGGTAGGCGATGTGGACCAGGCAAAGGGTACTATTGACCCAACTAAAGGACAATTTTTGACCCATAACAATAACCGGAAATATGTTAGGTTTTGACTTTGATACCATGTTAAGGTTCCAACATAAAACCAATTGGGAATATGTGGAGTAGCCTAACATGTATTTAAACCATACCAAATGACATGAGGTAGGCGATGTGGACCAGACAAAGGGTACTATTGACCCAACTAAAGGACAATTTTTGGCCCATGACAATAACCGGAAATATGTTAGGCTTTGGTTTTGATACCATGTTAAGGTTCCAACATAAAACCAATTGGCAATATGTGGAGTAGCCTAACATGTATTTAAACCATATCAAATAACATGAGGTAGGCGATGTGGGTGTTTCAACACATTTTATATTTGATTGGTAAAAGGATGCATGAAAGTTACATTTTACACTATAATTCTCTGTATATTATATATTAAATTTCAAACCCTAAACATTTTAAAGGTATAAAAGATCATTTAACCTATTTAATTCTTTTGATGAGAACTATTCTCGTCAAAATTCTAGAATGAATCCTATAAATATATTTTAAATGTAAAATTCCTTAAATATAATCTCTTTTTAATTTATTTACTTAATTAGATGTTTATATTATTCATAATAATTTTTCTTTACTTTTTTTTATAAACTTTTTTTCTCTTTCTTTATTCATTCTTTATTTATTTTTTTCCTCTTTCACTTATTCTTTTAATTAAATTACTATATTAAAATTTAATAAAAATATATTAAAAATAGATATTTTAAAATCAATAATAAAACTAAAAAATATTAACTAATTATTTAAAATTATGATGACAATAAATAATTTTATTTATTTTGACAGCAAATAATTAATTTAAAATTATTTTATCACAATGAATAATTATTCATCTAATTAAAAAATAAATATTTATAAGTTAAATGTATTTTTTATTTAATAATTTCATCTAATTATAATTAGATTAAATTATGATAATTAGTTAGGTTAGATAATTTTAAAAAATATTTATTAAAAATTTATTTTAAAATAAATATTTAATATTTTCTTAATAATTATAACATAATAATATTTTTAATATTTTAAATTTATCATATAATATTTTTTAAATATAATATATTAAATTATAATATTTTTGGATTATTTAAATATTTTTATTTTTTAATGATAATAAAATACTGATTTTATCAAATTTAAATCTATTATTTTTAATTGAGGAATAAAATGGGATGAGAGAACAAAGGAGAAGGAAAGGAAAAAAAAATACTGAAGAGACACAGACAAGAAGAATAATAAGTAAACGAAAAAAGAGAAAAATTAAGAAAAAATTAAGAAAAAGAGGAAAATAATTATATAATTAAGAAAAAAATAAAAAAGAAAATAAAATATATTATATTAGACGAATTTATCTCGTGTTGAAAGTCCCACATCGCCTACCTCATATCATTTGGTATGGTTTAAATACATGTTAGGCTACTCCACATAATGCCAATTGGTTTTATGTTGGAACCTTAACATGGTATCGAGAGCCAAAGCCTAACATCTTTCCAGGTTATTGTCATGGGCCAAAAGTTGCCCTTTAGTTGGGTCAAAAGTACCCTTTGCCTGGTCCTGCAGGCTTCGTTGGAGGGGTGTGTTGAAAGTCCCACATCGCCTACCTCATATCATTTGGTATGGTTTAAATACATGTTAGACTACTCCACATATTGTCAATTGGTTTTATGTTGGAACCTTAACAATCTGGTTTAGTTGGATAAATAAAATTTAAAAATATTTTATTTAAAAATATTTTTTCAAATATATTATTTATATAATTGATTTCAAAATTCAATGCTTCATTAGAAATATCAAAATTAAAAAATTTTATCAAAAATAACATCTCAATTAATTAAAGAATATTTTTGAAATATATCATCAAACTTTTTCTTAATGATATCACTAAATAAAACAAAAAAAGCTAAAACTACTATATTTCAATTCATTAATATTTTTTTCTTATGGCTATCACTGAGTTTCGAAGAAATACTTTATTTATGAAGGGTGTATTTTTCTTTTTCTTTTTTTTATGGAATGTAATGGGTATCTTAAAAGTATTAGTTAATAAATAAATATCTTTATTAGAAATCATCATTAGTAGAAGTATTAATATATAGAATAATAATTTAAAGTTTATTATTTGATTTTGATATTTACTTTTTTACCATTTAATGATTAAGATAAAATATTATTTTAAATTATTAGAAAAAAATAATAGTTTGATTGAAGGATAAATTTCTAACAAGTTTCTGTTAATATATATAAATTAATAACTTGTTTCTAATTTTTACTATTGAAGAATGTATATATATATATATATATATATATATATATATATATATATATATATATATATATATATATATATATATATTAAAAGTTATGGTAATCGAACCACCTATTAAACATTTATCTTATCTAATATTCATCTCTTTAAGAAAAAAAAATACACATAGAAATATAAATAAGTTTTCTTTATATTATTTCTTAACTTTCCAATATTAGAAGTATAATATTTTTTCTTATTTATGATGAGTGTATAAAATACTTAAGAATTAGTAAATAAAGATATACCAGAAACACTAGCAAATATTATTGTTTTTAAACATTTAAATTGCAGTAAAAATTCAATATTAAAATACATAGATAAAAGTTTAGTATATTTTTAATCACTACAATTAAATCGAAACCTATGCTTTGTTCCCTCACTACTAAACATTGATTTTTTCTAAATAAGGTCTATGATTTACATTTTTAGAGTGTTTAATTAAACTACTTAATTAGGTAAAAATTCTACACAATATCCTTAAAAATTCTAATAACACAAATATTTTTTTAAATATCTCATATTTAACTAAAAGTATTTTAATTGAAGTCTCTAAAATTTAAGGACTATGGAATAGAATACTTTTACAGTCTTTTAAATATTGACTAAATATTGAGATCTCAAGAAAGTACTTTTGGTTAAATTAATGTAACATCACATCACATTACGTTTCAACATCATCTGCTACACAAAAAAAAAGAAGAAAAAAAATCTTTTGAGAATTTCAAAGACTAAGAAAGTACTTTTGGTTAAATTAATGTAACATCACATCACATTACGTTTCAACATCATCTGCTACACAAAAAAAAAGAAGAAAAAAAATCTTTTGAGAATTTCAAAGACTATGGCATGACAAATCCGTTCATATTTGGCATATCTAGGGTATAACACATTTTACAACATTCTTTTGTTATGTTTGAATGGTTAATAGATTTTGGAATGTTCTAAACAAAATATATACACTGCTGATCATTATTATTTTCATAGTTGTGCCAATCAAATTTTAAATAGTGTCGAAATAAGACTATTTTAAATTGATAAAAATATTTTATCAATTGTGTTAAAATATAATAAATAAAAAAGTTAACCATTTAATATTTATTTTATAAAAAATGTTATATCACTATTCATTAAGATCTTGAATAACTTGTTCATCTTTATGTTTTGATGATAATTGGACTAACTTTCCTTTGTACACGCATTGCTGAAACAAGATATTATTGCAAGTAATAGCTTCTTTCTGGAGTCTTCTCACTTGTTCAATGAATTGACTAAATGAGTATGAATAATTTTAAAAGAATATAAAATTATTTTATCCTCATTTTTACTCAAATAATAGATACTTGCTTAAAGAAAAAGAGATTTTCAAATAAATAAATAAGCACTATCTCAACTTAATTTTATTCAAATGAATATTAATAGCATAAAGTAGGAACAATTAGCTCAAAAGATAATATTTTACTCGAACGAATATATATTTTTTAATTTGTACAGTTATCAATAACTTTTAATCAATAATAATAATAAAAAAGGAACTTCTTAGAAAGACAATGTATTAAAGAGTGTATATTCTCAATTGCCACCTTGGTAAGAACACTACTATATAAGTTTTCTAAGAAACATAACTTATATATTAATATTTTGAACAACTTTCTAGAAACCATTTTTTCCTTTTCTTATTGAAATTATCGATTTGATTTAGCTATGAAAATGAAGAATTTGATTTTAGATTATAAAATAATATCATTGTTATATATTAAGGGTAACAAGTTCAAACAACTAGATGAAACAATTGCACTCCATTTTTATTTAATTTTCTACGTACTTGTCTTTTTGTTAGGTTATACAACCTCCCACCTCACATAATAATATAAAAATGATACCTTTTAGGCAAAATGTTCAACTGACCCATCCGACCTAATTTCCCAACTAAAATATTTGTAAATTAAATTTTAGAAAAATAATACTGAAAAAAATGATAAAATTAATTTTTAAAATGAACACTGATATTTCTAAACCAATATTTTGTATATAAAATAAATCTGTTAATTTAAAATGTTAATTCCGACAAACACACAATGTTTCGATATATATATATATATATATATATATATATATATATATATATATATATATATATATATATATATATATATTTTTTTTTTTTTTTTTCTTAATCTACCAAAATATTTTTAATGACAAAATTATAAAGGAGAATTTCAATACGGAAAATATCTCAATTATCTTAATTGAAGCTAATAGTACTATGATAATAAATAGGAGACACTCTCTTAACCAAGAACATAACTCAAGGAAACAGTAAATTCTCTCAAACAAGAACACGCAAATCAAGTACCAACATATAACCAAAAGAAATAACTAATGATGAACCAACACAATCAGAAACCAGTACGAGAAAAATCCATTTGGAGGTATGCCCTTAAACAGGGCAAGTTCTTCAGTCTTGTTAACCCAGCAAAGTGAGGATGAACTTCTTGTAGTTCCCTGATGTTTCCTTGGACACTTCATCCTCAAGGTGAACACTGTTCCTCTTGTAGTAGAGCTCCTTGATGTCCTTCAAATCCTTCTCAGCCCTTGTCACAACCACACGACTCAGTCCATCCTCATCAGTTCCCAACTTCTTCATGATATTGCGCAAAGCCTATAGATAACGGAAAACTTTTAGGGTGCTTGATTCAACACATATTGACTTCAACTTTAAGTCAAAATCATATTAAACTGTTAATCAATTTAAATAAATATTAATTGAGACAAAATCAACTTTCACTTTTATATTTTCAATTGAGAATGTTTGAGAAATGTTATTTTGAAAGACTAAACTGTTTTGAAGAGAAAACAATCTGTTATTTTTCAGCAGTATATTTGTATGCTTGGAACCTGACCTTCTCATAGTACTTCTTGGGGTCATTGATGCAGCGAATAGCAGTGTGCAACACCTTGAGAAAATCGTTAGATTTCTGATCCACCAATTTCTGCATGGGAAAAAAATAAATCTATGTTTAGAATACAAAACATTATTTTAAATCATTTGTATTATTACATATATATCATCCTAAGTTTCTTTCTAGAATGAGGTTCTTTCATTTATTTGTACCTTACTGATGGAGATTCCATGCTCATCTCTATAGCTGTTGAGAGTTGCAACAAGCTGATTTTTGCTTCTTGTGGTAAGGATCATGATGACTTCTTCATAGTTGGCTTTCTTCTCCTTGATTGATTCATGAAGAACATTAGCTTCAATTCGAGTCAATTTTGCATTGATCTCGTCACCCTCATATCTGTATGAGCCAACCAATCCAACCAACAGCTGTTCAAAACCAACCATTAACTTTCAGCATTAGCAATCCTCAAACTCATAAAAAAGTTTCATTCAGGGACTACAAAATTAACAATGCTTATAAAAGTGTTTGTATGACAAAACTTGCCTGGCGAAGATGGCCAGTGGTGTGACTTGCCACATCTTCTTCCAATGAAAGCTTGTAGCGGTCGTGATAGGCACTTCTCACTGCCAAGAGTTCTTGAGCTGAAAGGACACAAGCAATCTCTGCAATCACGTGATAGTCTTTAGGACCATTCTTGATTGCTTCATTCATCAAAACAGCATCACGATATGCAGGCTCCAACATCCACAAGTACACAGCTTTCTGATTTGTATATACATAAACCCCATCATTTACAAGTCATCACAATATAAAAGTAAACAAACTACGTAAAATAGTTGGTAAAAGCTATGAAATATCTAAAATTCTTGCATAACTCAAACAATAATCATTTTAGACCCTCAAAAGTTAGAACTAAAATAGTGTTCTTATGATACCTCAAAATCACCAGAGATCTCAGACTCAAGCCGTTGGATGAGATTCTCTTCGTAAATATCCTCATAAGCCTTCTTGATTTCCTGTCTCTGATCAACATTTCTGTGACCCAATATTGCTATGATGATTCCATCAGAACCCCGTCCTAAACCATTAAAGGCAGTGTCATATTCAAAGAATTCTTAGAGCAAAGAATAAATTTTCAAATAGATTGTAAAAATAATAAAGCAAACTCATAATATCAGTCAGTCAGAACAAAACAATCTTCTAAAAAATTGTTAGTCAAATAACATAACCTTTGAAATTATTTTGGAGAAATTCAGCATCCCTAAGTGAGGAATAGATTGTAGGAGTAATAAGGAGTTGAATATATTTTCTCTGGTGACTATATGGTGTTTGGTTATGAAGAGGAATTCAGCATCCTTTTACTATGGTGTTTGGTTGTGAAGTTTAATATATATATATATATTAAACAATTAGTTAAATTACCATGTCTTTAATGTGCTCACAAGTTGCTCAGAACAAAAAGCCAAACAAAAAATTGTTGGAAGAATATCACACAATTTTTTTTCATGGAAATCTAATATAATACCATATTAACATTGAAGATTCTAATTACTATATTAATACCTGTGTTTTCGTTTAAAGTATATAATTAATCGACTTATATCTATATATTATTATTTAACTCAATGTTTAAAAAATTAATAAAATATTGATTATAAATATTATACTAATATAAAACTTTTATGCTATAAAACCATTTTTCAATTTTTTGTAATCAAATAATTTTAATATTATTCTGAAAGACTCATTTATTTATCTCAAGCTATTATTTTTAGACAAATTAAATTATTCTAAATTTAAAAAGAATTCATACTAATCTTAATCAATATTATTAATAATATTTTATACATAATATCTACATCTAGAAATTAATTTTAAATTTTTTACATATTATATATTTTTTTTGAAATTCTATTTTTTTATCTTCAAAATTATTTCATATATTATCAAATTTAGAAGACAAATCAACTTTGTTAATATAATAATATTGAATAAATTTTAAAAATACATTTTAAACTAGGGAATATTTTTGTAAAGTTTTATAAAACTTGTAAAAAATAAATTTTTTATAAATTAAAATAAACTTTTACAAGAAAATTTGCAAGAAATAACTAATTTTTTATTATTGGAATTAGTAAATAATTTTTATTTATGTTCTTAAAATAATTTTTTTATTCGGTTTTATTACAAGATATTGGTTTATCCTCTAAGTATAAAAATAATACAATTAGTAGGAAAAAAAATTAAAATTATATATATATATATATATATATATATATATAAGTGTGCTGTATAAGTATATATAGTTATTTTTTTAATAAAAATATTAAAATTAAAAATAGTAAAAGAAAATAGTTTTATAAAATAAGTATAATTTATGACTACATCTAATAATAGTAAATCCTGTAAGAAAGCATAGAGTATGTGAAGTAGGTATATCAACTTTAGTTATTTTATTAAAAAAAAAAAAAAACTTAGATGAGTTAGTTTATGTTAATCTTTTACATGGGAGGAGGGAAAAGTAATAAAAGAGTAAAGGAAAATATATTTATTTATAAATTTTTTATTTTGTTAAAGATAAAAAAATAAGACAGAAATAAAAAATGTAGGTCTCAATAATGTAGTTAGAAACATCAAATATATATATATATATATAATGTAAGATGAAGATAAACTCGTAATCACATTTTGAGAATTTAGGTTTGATTAGCAATTGCTGAGAAACATCAAATGTAAGCATGCAAACGAACAGTAGAATTATAAACAAAACTTAAAAACAAGATGTGGCATGAAGATACTTGGAAACATAAACTATAAACAGACAACTAAAATTATAAAAATGTATGCAGGACCTTTGAAAACTTGACCAAGAGCTTCAGCATCTTGTGCAGGAGAAGCTTGAAGATCAAAAACACAAGTCGCCATTGGAATATTGCTTCGACTAAGTTCGAGTGTACGAAGATGTTCGACACAATTTATAGAAGGGATATTTTCTTAGGAATTAACGCTCTCACGTTTTTTTTTTTTTTTTTTTTTGTTATAATGACATTACAACCATGCATGCACTCTATTCGATAAGAATAGGTCGACACATCACCAAGGAAAGGGAAAGAAGAGTAATGATTTCTACAAAAACCGAAAATTAGCTGGCTTTCGTGGTTGAAAGCATTGTTTGCTAGTAAATGTGCGCCTATGTACAGAGCCTCTTTTGTGTTTTCTGTTTGCATGTTCAACAAATGGCAAAATAATTAGGTTTGATTATTTATGTAATTTTTTGTCTTTTTTTTTTTTACTCCTCGCTGATCAGTTTTAACTTTAAATATGTTTTTTTTTTATAACTATCGGTTATAACATATACTAATTCTTTTATTCTTTTACTCAATGTAATTTAAACTAAGTTTATATAACTGTTACTTTTTGTTTAATTATTAACTTTTATTTTTCATATATAATTTACATCTGTGTTTTTCAATTGAAGATGTATGATTTTTCTTACTTTTACTATTGAGTTTTTTTTTTCTTTTGTTTAATTTGGGCATGACAAATATTTTATTCTTTCTATTTTTATTTTTTTAATTCTAGTTTCTAATTGAAATCACTTTTAGTTTACCAACAAAACTTTTGATAAAACCTAATACTCTTCTATTTCACTTCTTGGACTCTTTCCACCTTCAATCAGTTCACCCTTCTTCTATCTAAAATATTTTTTTAAATAGATAATAAAATATGAAAAATTAAAATTAAAATTAAATATAATATATATATATATATAATTTTTTAAAATAAAATTTATAAAAAAATTAAATAAAATAGTTTTAATCACTAAAAATGACATTTACAAATTTTTAATAATAAACTTTTAAACAAATTTCTCAAAACAAATATTTTTTTTAACAGCACATCTAATCGCTAATAAAATATGTTTAACATAAATAAATAATATAAATAACATAGAGAATAAAAATATATCTCATATATAAGAAATTTAGTAAAAATAAATATCATTTTACTAGTTAATCATAAGCTTTTTTTTAATTAACTTAATATATTAATATCTTTAATATATATATATATATATATATTTTTTTTTTCTTTTGAGAATTAACGGAGAAAAGATAATATTAATAAGATATGTCTAATTGACACACTCTTTAATTTAAAATTTTAAAATATTAAGTTCTTTTTATTATTTAATTTTCATATTTTTTTAGTATAGGAACACTTATCGGATTATAAAACTCCTATTAATCCACTGATCTAAAATAATTTTTATGTAAAATTAACTCTTATTAATTTTATTCATAAACAAAATGTTTCTTTACTTTAAAACTTTAAATATTAAAATCACTTAACTCTTAGAATATTTTATAAACTTTGTTTGATTTAAGAAAAAATATCTAAAATTACAAAAATTATGCAACATGAATTTCTATGTTATTTTAAATTTATAAACGAGATAAACTGAAATCTAATCCCATTTTTAATTCTTTTACTCTTGACCTTCAATCATTCATTCCTCAAAGCGACAACTTGATAGGTGGTGTTCTTCACTACAAATATCAAAAGTAGAAATAAAAACCTACCACATAATTTGTTGAAGTTTTCAACATTTTGTCCTTCATTTCATGATCTGGTTTGGTTATCATTAAACCAACAACGAATTGTTGGTGCAGAGTTTCAGTCATGCAAGATCTGATGTTTTATAGAAATGAAAATCTAGTATCCATTTTAAGAACATTTAATAGTCACCAAATTTTCACAGTCTGTTTCATGATTTGCACTTCAGAGATAAAATTGCGGTCACTAATTTATTTTCATGGAATAATTTTCACTACTTTATTTTTTTATTTAAAATTTTTAATATTTAATATTGTCTTTTTTTAAATTTTTCATTCTAATTTATAATATAAAAACTTTTTTACCACTCTACTGATTATATAGAAACTAATAAGTGCAAGATCTTAATTATTAGAACATAGAACGAAGAACTCAAAACCCATATTTATTATTAAATTTAAACAACATATAACTCGAATGAAACAACGTAGATAGATGTTCTCAAAGGAAACAAGATAGATAAATGCTCTCAAACAAGACACAAGCCTTACTAAAGATAAGACTCTTGTAGCATACTCTTACTGAAATATTAACCTAATAATGATAAAACAGCACAACCAGAAACCCACGTATCTGAAACCCATTCCTAGGTATGTCTTAATGAAGGAAGGTTCTTTAGTCTTGTTTCCCTAGTAGAGTGAGGAGGAACTTCTTGTAGTCCCCTGAGGTTTCCTTGGACACTGCATCCTCAAGATGAACACTGTTCCTCTTGTAGTAGATTTCCTTGATGTTCTTCAAATCCTTCTCGGCCCTTGTCACAATCACACGACTCAGATCATCCTCATCAGTTCCAAGCCTTTTCATCGCATTGCGCAAAACCTATGCATATTGTAAAACTGTTAGGGTAAATCATCATATAAGAGAGTAACCTTTTCTTCATGTTGTGTTTTCAAAATTCATTAAGAAAATTTAGAATCTGACCTTCTCATAGTACTTCTTGTGGTCATTGATACAGCGAATCACAGTGTGCAACAACTTGAGAAAATCTTCAGATGAATTATCCACCAATTTCTGCAATGAAAAAATATATTATAGCTAATTTTGGATCAAACATGTAGGAATTAATTAATTAAAAATATAATAAGAAAATGTTCTTTCATTTATTTGTACCTTACTGATGGAAATTCCATGCTCATCTCTGTAGCGGTTGAAAGTTGCAACAAGCTGAGTCTTGCTTCTTGTGGTAAGGATCCTTATGACTTCTTCATAGTTGGCTTTCTTCTCTTTGATTGCTTCATGAAGAACATTAGCCTCAGTTTGTGCCAATTTTACGTTGATCTCATCACCCTCATATCTATATGAGCTAACCAGTCCAACCAAAAGCTGCTCAAAATTAACCACAAAACTTAACCATTAACATTCTTCAAAATCTCAAACAAAACTTCATTCAGTTACATCAAAGTTATTTGTAAGAAAATAACTTGCCTGGCGAAGATGGCCTGTGGTGTGAGCTGCAACATCTTCTTCCAAGGAATGCTTGTAGCGGTTGTGATAGGCACACCTCACTGCCAAAAGTTCTTGAGCTGAAAGAACACAAGCAATCTCTGCAATCACGTTATAGTCTTTAGGACCATTCTTGATTGCTACATTCATCAAAACAGCATCACGATCTGCAGGTTCCAACATCCATCTGTACATAGCTCTCTGATTTGTATACACATGCACCCCATCATTATTACAATGTAAAAGTAAACAAACTATATGAAGTAATTGACGAAATTTATGAAGTACATAGAATTAGTTAAACTCAAACACTAATGATTTGTAAACACTCCAGAGTCATGACAAAGTCATGATTAAATAGTATTTTTATGATACCTCAAAATCACCAGAAATCTCAGATTCAAGGCGTTTGATAAAATTCTCTCCATAAATCTCCTCATAAGCTTTCTTGATTTCCTGTCTCTGATGAACATTTCTGTGACCCAGTATTGCTATAATGGCTTTGCCATCAGATCCCCATCCTAAATCATTAAAAAAAAATGTCATACATACTTTTTGAAGGTATGGTGTAATTATATTCAGTAATTATAGTAGACAAACATATTACATCAAAGCTGTTCAAGCTCACAGCCAAACTTTTGTCAGGAGAAAATTGAAGATTTTGTAGTAGAACACATTTCTTATGTTGGTACTTTAAAACAAGGACTAAGTTCTTTTCTTCTTACATTGTTGAATGAGAAATCAACAATACCAATGTCTTGGAAATGTAAAGGAACAGAAGGACTTAAAGAGACATGTTAAAATTGAAATTGTATAAATGTAAACAAAACCTTTGAAAGCTTGATGAAGAGCCTCAGCATCTTGAGCAGGAGAAGCTTGATGATCAAAAACACAAGTCGTCATTGGAATATTGCTCAGTGAACCTTTCTTACTCTCTCAGAGTGCTTGTGAGTGAATGCAATGTGAGGATGTCAACATGCTTTCATCATAATTTATAGCAACATGATTTCCTTGGATTTAACGTGTTCACATTACCTTTTTTTTTCTACCATTTATGCACTCTGTTCAATGAGCATCTTTGACGTGTCAAGAAACAAAATCAAAACAAATGAAAGAAAAATACCTACTGCAAATAAAGCTACTTGAAAAGGACACGGCTTTAATGGTTGAGAATTGCTTGTTTGAAAGATTGGTCGGAAGGGTCCATTATTAATTTATACACCGATGTGGTTCCTTTGTCCTTTTCATTTGCATGTCCAACAAATGGCAAAAATAGGTCAGATTCTTGATTTATATAAAGTTCTTTTTTTTAGTTGGAACAGTAAGTTTTAAAATTTTTATTATGGGTTAAGAATTTTCTTTTTACAGGGATGAAAAAGCTTTACTTTTAATAATAATAAACAGTTAATCTTTGTTAAGCTTGATATTATTTGATCTATTTTTATGTAATCATATTATTTTTATTCAATTAATAATTATTATTTTTCTCTCATACTTAATATTTAAGTTGTTTTAATTACAAATTTAATCAAGGATAAAATAATTTTAAAGGATATAACAAGTATTTGAAGTGTCTCATATCTTCCTTGTTTTGAACTCCATTAACCCTTGGATTAATTAAATTAAACTCATTTTATCCATAATTTTAAAAAATTTAAAAGTTTCAACACAATCATGCTCAAACCTGTTGTGAATCATGTAAGAGAATAATGATCCATGGTAAAAAAAAAACCCCAAGAATCAAACATTCTTAAATCTTTCAAATTTGATATATGAAATTGATGAACTGATTGAGCCAAGAACAACTTTCATTTGTATTTTGTTTTTCTGTTGAGAATTATTTGAAAGACTTAACTATTTTGAAGATTAAAAAAATTGTTAACTATTTCAGCAGTATATAGGATATATACTTGAAACTTAATTACCTTCTCATAGAACTTCTTATGGTCATTGATGCAGCAAATCATTCTGATCCATTCACTAATTTCTCTAGGGAGAAAATCTATATTTGGAATATTTCATTTTATATTTACAATGATTTTTGTGATCAAGGTGAATATTATTCTTCTTGTAGTAATTAAGATATTTGATGTTCTTCAAATCCTTCTCAGCCCTTGTGATAACCACACGGTTAAATTAAATCCATCTCTAAAATGATATCAAATGTTTGCATGATGAAAAATGTCAAAAAAGAAATTGGATTGATTAGTCTAATACCAATAAAAACTTATTTCACTTACACTGAGATGAAAAAGATGTTTTTCTTTTACACATTTTTTTTAAAGAATAATTAATTTATCTTCTTTCAAAATCAAACACGTATTTAGTAATTCAATATAATAATAATATGATTTTTAAATTGTAATGTTTATTTTATATTTATTATTGTCATATTATTTATATTATTAAATAAGAAGTATAACATATGCCTGGGTATAACAAAATATTATTCATATAGCATTCTTTCCGGACTACAAATAAAAATAATAATATTATTATATTTATTTTGAAAAAACATTAAAAAGCTTTATAGTAAAAAAACAAAGATAAAAATTGTAAAGCAATAATATTATGTTATTAGTAATGTTAATGAGAACAAAATTGACTTAAAAGTATAATTGGAAAGATAAATCTTGAAAATGACATATAGATATATAATTTATTTTCAAAATTTCAAATTGTCATTATGTAAATTTTATATTTTATTTAAAAGTTTAATAATTTTTTCATATAATTCCAAGTCATAGTTAATATGATTTCAAGATATTATTATTATTATAAAATTTAATAAATGTACACACGTAATAGTAATATATATTATATAATAATGCCTAAAGTGAACAACTCAAGTCTATAATAGTAATATTAAGCTTTTATTAAAAGCAAACCAAATAAAAAACATGATTACCCAAACCAAATAACATAGATAGATGCTTTCAAACAAGAGCATTTATAACAAGTAACAACATAATTCTAAGAAATCGGGCACATGTAGGAATGGCAAAACGGGCCAGCCCGCCCCGTCTTTGGCCCGCCAAAAGCGGGGCGGGGCGGGCTGGCCCGATATAGTCATGACGGCTGTAGACCTTAGCCGCCGCCAAGGGCGGGTTAGGCTAGTGTGGCTGCCAGCCATAATTTAAAAAAATAATTTTTTTTAATAAATTTAATAATAAGATTATTATTTGTTTGTCAATAATTCAATATATATATATATATATATATATATATTATTTCAATTTAATAATATAAATCAATATATTATTTTAAGAAATTATAATTTAGAACAATAATAAAATTTACATAATAATAAATAATAACAAATATATATATATATATATATATATAAATAACGTTAAACTTATAAAATTTATATTTTTTATATTGAAAAATTCAAATACCTATATCTCTTTTATTTGATAAAACTTCATATTATACTTGGTTGAGTAATTCTTATACCTTTAATTCAAGTAATAAGGATAAATATAATCAAGTACTTAGGATAAATAAGGAGAACAGGAGAGAAGGTTATATTTCAGGAAGAAGAATATTTTCCGTGAGAATGAAACTTTTTAATTCTCTTTTTAAAATTTTTAACTTTATTATTATCTTTATAATTAATTTTATTACAATAAAAAATTATTTTTTTATTAATTAGGCGGGCCGCGGGCTGGCCCGTCCCGTCCCGCAGGTTGGCCCGATGGGTTGGCGGGCTTGGCGGGGCGGGCCAAAGCGGGCTGGTGGGCTGAAAACACCAACCCGCGCCCGCCATAGCCAGCCCGCTGGACCTAGCCCGTTTTGTCATCCCTAGGCACATGGCCTCTAAAGACACAACATAATTTTACTCGAGAATTAACCTAATGATAATACTACACAACAGAAACAAATATATCAGAAACCAACCAAAGAGAAACCAACACATGAAAAACCCATTTCTAAATATGTCCTTCATCAAGAAAAGTTGCTTAGTCTTGATTCCCAGCAGAGTAAGGATGAACTTCTTGTAGTCCCCTGAAGTTTCTTTGGAGATTGCATCCTCAAGGTGAACATTGTTTTTCTTGTAGTAAAGTTTCTTGATATCCTTCAAATCCTTCTCAGCCCTAGTCACAACCACACGACTCAGTCCATCCTCATCAGTTCCAAACTTTTTTATTGCATTGCGCAAAACCTATGCAGGTTGAAAAATTGTAGGATGAGTCATTCTATAAGAAAATGACTAATTCTACACATATTTGTCAACTGTTTCAGCAGTATATCAGTGTGCTTGAAACCTGACCTTCACATAGTACTTCGTGTGGTAGTTGATGCAGCCAATAGCAGTGTGCAATACCTTGAGAAAATCATCAGATATCTGATCTACCAATTTCTACATGGAAAGAATCTATATTTAGACTACCTTATTATTAATTAATTAAAAAACATGATAACAAAATGTTCTTTCATTTATTTGTACCTTACTGATGGAAATTCCATGCTCATATTTGTAATGGTTGAAAGTTGCAACAAGATGAGTCTTGCTTCTTGTGGTAAGGATCCTGATGACTTCTTCATTGTTGGCTTTCTTCTCCTTAATTGCTTCATGAAGAACATTAGCCTCAGTTTTGTTAGGTAAACCTTAAATGCATGTGGTTGAAAGGTAGTTGTCATAGAGGTAGTAGTTGAGAGGTAGTAGTTATATTGAATGTATGTAGTTGAGAGATAGTGGTTGTATTGAATATATGTAGTTGAAAGGTAGTAGTTGCATTAAATACATGTAGTTGAGAGGCCATATCCAAAGGCCTATAAATTGAACATGTATCACTCATTGCAAAAACATCAAGTGATAATATATAGAGTGCTTTATTTAGATACTTGTTTGTCAACAAATTGACATCAGAGCTTGAGAGCCTGAGTGTCTGAGTGCGTTAGAGAGAGTGTTTGAGAGTTAGGGACTTTGTTCGAGATGGTCAACTTAGCTAATAGCATGCCCCTGCCAAAGTTATCAAAAGGCGTAAACTATGATAACTGGAGCCTGCAAATGAAGGCTCTCCTTGGTTCCCAAGAAGTATGGGATGTGGTCGAAAATGGGCACCAAGAACCAGAGAATATTGAAGAGCAGACGATTGCTCAGCTTGCTGCATTGAGAGCAACACGAGTAAAGGACAAAACGACTTTGTACGTACTGTACCGAGCTGTTGATGAGTCCGGCTTTGAGAAGATAGCAAATGTTAAATCTTCAAAAGAAGCGTGGAATATTCTGGAGAAGGCAAATAAAGGGGATAATCGCGTGAAGCAAGTCAGGCTTCAAACTCTTAGAGGCGAGCTTGAAAGCATGAGGATGAAAGAGGTCGAAGGGTTTGCCGAGTACATCTCCCGTGTTGAGACCGTGGTGAATCAACTCGGAAGAAATGGAGAGACGCTGCCCACTTGCCGAGTGGTGGAGAAAATCTTAAGGTCGTTAACTAACGATTTTGAGAATATCGTTTGTGCAATAGAAGAGTCCAAGGACTTGTCGGTGCTTTCGGTGGAAGAGCTTGCCGGGTCGCTTGAAGTGCATGAGCAGCGGAGAAGGAAGAAGAAAGAGGAGTCCCTTGATCAAGCACTCCAAGCAAAGGCAACCTTAAAGGAGAAGAAGGTTCCTTATGCTCAGAACACTCAAGGCTGAGATTGTAGAGGTAGAGGAGAATATGAAAGAGGCAAGGAGCAAGTCAGTCAACAAAACTGGCGTGGCCAAAGACAAGGTAGAGGTCGTGGCGGTAGAGGCCGAGGTGGTCAGTCAAGCAATTTTGGAGTTGAGTGCTTCAAATGTGGGAAATACGGTCATTTTGCTAAGGACTGTTATTCAGGTATCAAATGTTATAATTGTGGGAAGGTTGGGCATTTCGCGAAGGACTGCCGATCTGAGAGGAAGAAGGAGACAAATCTCCTCTCTGAGGACGCTGAGGAAGAAGGAGTATTGATGATGTTGAGAAGTTCGGATGTCGAGCTAAGTCCGAGTTGTTCTGACAACTCGGTTTGGTATCTTGATACAGGAGCAAGTAACCACATGTGCGGGGATAAGAACCTTTTTAAGGAGCTCACTAAAGTTGAGACCGGACACGTGTCACTTGGAGATGCATCAAAGGTGGCAGTAAAAGGCAGAGGTATAATCTGGTACCTGCAGAAGAATAGCCGAGTTGGAGAAATCAGAGACGTGTACTATGTACCCGATCTCAAAAGCAACATATTGAGCATGAGTCAGTTGATGGAGAAAGGCTACTCGGTTCTGATGAAAGACCGAGTACTATACCTGAAGGACAAGTCGGATCGTTTGATTGCCCGAGTAGAAATGAAGAAGAACAGAATGTACAAGCTGGACTTGAAGATAGTCCAAGAGAGGTGCTTGAAACTTGACGTGAAGGATGAAGCAATGATGTGGCACTTTCGGTTTGGCCACTTGCATTTTGGCGGGCTGACCGAGTTGGTAAAGAAAGAGATGGTGCGAGGACTCCCGTCTATGGAATTTGAAAAGAAATTCTGTGAAGAGTGTGTGCTCGGGAAGCATCCGAGGACCTCATTTCCGAGGACGGCCGAGTACCGTGCAAAGGAACCACTCGGATTGATTCACACAGATCTTTGTGGACCGATTACCCCTGAGTCTTTCAGTGGAAAAAGGTATTTCATTTCTTTTATAGATGATTTTTCAAGAAAAACCTGGGTATATTTTTTGAAGGAGAAATCCAAGGTGTTTAAGGTGTTCAAGAGATTTAAAGCAATGGTTGAGAAAGAGACTGACATGCTTATCAAATCTGTTAGGTCTGACCGAGGAGGCGAGTTCATTTCATCCGAACTCATGAAGTATTGCGAGGAGCAAGGGATAAGGAGATTTCTGACAGCACCATACTCACCCCAACAAAACGGAGTTGTCAAGAGGAAGAATTGAATCATTCTTGACATGGTTCGAACAATGTTGAGAAGTAAAAACGTGCCAAAGGAGTTCTGGGTAGAAGCAGTGTAATGTGTCATCTATGTGCAAAATAGATGTCCACATGCTAAGCTGAACGAGAAGACACCGCAAGAAGTCTGGAGTGGAAGAAAATCGAGTGTGTCTCACCTTAAAGTGTTCGGTAGCATAGCTTATGGTCATGTTTCAGCTCAACAGAGGACCAAACTCGAATATAGAAGCAAAAAGTATGTGTTTATTGGGTATGATGAAAAAACCAAGGCGTACAGGTTGTTTAACCCAATAACTAAGAAGGTCATCATGAGCCGAGATGTTCAAATTGATGAAGAAAGTGAGTGGAGTTGGAACAACTCGGAGAAGGAGTCCATAGGAAGTAGAAGCTCGGAAGTTGATACACCACATACTGTGAGAGATCACGAGACTTCTGATGAAGAAGATGAACCTCTACAGCCCAGAGCGCGAAGTTTACAAGATATATACAACTCCACTGACGAAGTGCATGTTGTATGTCTCTTGGCAGATTCAGAAGACTTAAGTTTTGAAGAGGCCGTGCAGGAGAAAATGTGGAAAAATGCAATGGACGAGGAGATCGGGGCAATAGAATGCAACAACACATGGGAGCTGACTTATTTGCCCAAAGGAGCGCGACCTATCAACATAAAATGGGTGTACAAGAAGAAGACAAATGCTGAAGGAGAAGTTGAGCGATATAAAGTTTGACTCATAGTGAAGGGGTACAAGCAGAAATAAGGAATAGACTATGATGAAGTATTCACCCCAGTGACGAAAATGAAAACAATTAGGCTGCTAATTTCCTTAGCAGCTCAACATAGATGGACAATCTTGCAGATGGACGTAAAGTCGGCATTTCTGAATGGAATCTTGGAGGAGGAAGTATATGTTGAACAGCCACTCGGATACATGCGAAGAGGAGAAGAGAAGAAAGTGTTGAGATTGAAGAAGGCACTTTATGGCTTGAAACAAGCCCCACGAGCATGGAATGAAAAAATTGACACTTACTTCAAAAGGAATGGATATGAGCAGTGTCCTTATGAACATGCTCTATACATAAAGAAGAAAGGAGAAGATGTGATGTTTGTTGCCCTATATATTGATGACCTTATCTTCATGGGGAATAATGTCGAGCTGATTGAAGAGTTTAAAGAAGTGATGAAGAAGGAGTTTGAGATGACTGACTTGGGTCTTATGAAGTATTTTCTTGGCTTAGAAGTTGTTCAGGGAAAGGATGGCATCTTTGTGTCGCAGGAAAGGTATGCTGAGGAGGTCTTGAAGAAGTTTAAGATGACAAGTTGTAACCCGGTTTCCACCCCTATGGAACCTGGTACAAAACTTTCTAAGTATGCAAATGGAGACCGAGTTGATGTAAGCAAATACCGAAGTCTGATTGGAAGTCTTAGGTATCTTATAAATACCAGACCAGATTTAATGCTAAGTGTTGGAATAACAAGTCGGTATATGGAGGAGTCAAGGTATACTCATTGGAAGGCACTAAAGAGAATTCTAAGGTATGTGAGAGGAACAGCGTCACTTGGCCTAATGTATACTAGGACGGATGATTACCGACTAGTAGGCTACTCGGATAGTGACTAGTGTGGAGATGTTGATGACCGGAAAAGCACGTCTGGATATGTATTCTTCATGGGAAACACATCATTCACCTGGCTTTCAAAAAAGCAGCCCATTGTAATGTTGTCAACTTGTGAAGCCGAGTACGTTGCAGCATCTTGAAGTGTATGTCATGCAGTTTGGCGTAGAAACCTTCTAAGCAAGCTGGAGTTGAAGCAAGAAAAAGAGATTATGATTCGAGTTGATAACAAGTCAACCATTGAATTGGCAAAGAACCCGGTCAATCATGAGAGAAGCAAACATATTGATGTTCGGTTTCACTTCATCTGAGAACAAGTGAAAGGAGGAAATGTGGAGCTAGAGCACGTCGGAACCCGAGCACAAGCTGCAGATATGTTCACGAAGTCACTGCCAACCACTCTGTTCGAGAACAGCAAGAAGATGCTTGGAATGAAGGACAAGAAAAACATTTAAGTTTATGGGGGGATTTTGTTAGGTAAACCTTAAATGCATGTGGTTGAAAGGTAGTTGTTATAGAGGTAATAGTTGAGAGGTAGTAGTTATATTGAATGTATGTAGTTGAGAGATAGTGGTTGTATTAAATATATGTAGTTGAAAGGTAGTAGTTGCATTAAATACATGTAGTTGAGAGGCCATATCCAAAGGCCTATAAATTGAACATGTATCACTCATTGCAAAAACATCAAATGATAATATATAGAGTGTTTTATTTAGATACTTGTTTGTCAACAAGTTTGTGCCAATTTTACATTGATCTCATCACCCTCATACCTATACGAGCTAACCAATCCAACCAACAGCTGCTTAAAACCAACAACAAAGTTCACCATTAGCACTCCTTGCAATCTCATAGAAACAGTTCATTCAATGACTACAATCTCATAAAAATTGTTTGTATGACAATCACTAGTGAAAAAAAAGGTTTTTACGTCACCCAATTGTCGTCGCATGTAAAAATATTCGACGTAAATAAAACGTGGTGGCAATTTTGTAAATAAGAGACAAAAATTTTACGCTGCGCACCCCAGCATGCAACGTAAAAAGCCTCTTTTACGTCGCAGTTACGTGGCGTGACGTAAAAGAAGGCTTTTTACGTCGCGTGCTGGGGTGCGCGACGTAAAAAGTCCCTTTTATTTCCTCCCAGACCCACTCCCTGGTCTCGCGCAGCAAGGGTTTTTGAGAACGACGACAACAGCTACCTCTGCACAACATTTTCGATCAGTTTGACAGTGAAAAACATCAACATTGTGTGTCATTTTACGAACTTGATATTTCTCCCCGATTGGATTCGAGTTTGAAATCATTTTTCGTCTACACTCGAGGTTAGTGTTCTATGTCATTGTTATATGTTTAAATTGAATTCGTGATTATTTTTGGGGATCTCAATCACGTTATTGTATGAATGTCTCCACTGGATTGTTATTGGAATGTAATTATTTGTTTGAGTGCATTTTCGGTTTACACACTCCATTTACGTGTTTTGTTGTTTGTATATTAATTTCTTTTTACATATAATTTTTAAATCTCTAGGTGTGACGAAACTTTATAACATAATATGAATCGAAGTTGGATGAATGCACGTCGTATTAGTGAAGCGTACGAAAAGGGAGTTAAGGAATTTTTGAAATTTGCTAGTGAAAATGGAAAAGCTATGAAAGGGACATATTATTGTCCATGTGTTCGTTGTTTGAATCAAATTCGTCATAAACTTGAGGATATACGTGATCATACGTGAAAATGGAAATTCGTCATGATGAAGGGATATGGGAAAACATACCAACATAATAGGTGTTTATCTTCACATTTTCTAGTTCTTTTTATTCAAACTTATAAAGTATGTTGACTTCATATTGTTTTGTTTTTCATGATATGTCAGATTCCACATCTGGTACTGGTAGTGGTAGTGGCAGTGGCAGGAGCGGAAGTGGAGGTAAAGGTAGATCTGTCACTCGGTTAAAGGGGTTGACAGCAAGGAGGGTAGCTAGAGAGAAAACTCAAGTTGAAGTTGATCCACGTTCTGGTAAGGCATTTGGCCCAAATGCTGCTAAGTTTAAGAGCTATTTGGGACTACTAGCTCGACATCATGTTCCGATTACTACTCCATCTTGGGATGATGTAGAGGAAACCGAGAAGAACCTCATGCGACAGGATGTTCAGGTATTTCTATATTTGTTGAATACTTTATATATCATTATTAATTAAATTTAATATTTATTGGTCATTTCACAGCAAAATTTTGATGTTCCTAACACTGAGGTGATGAGGAAGAAGGTTTTATCCTCCATTGTCATTAGATGGAGGGACTTTAAGACTTTCTTGACACGGGAGTATGTATTTGAAAAGTTTCAAGATGAATCTCCCTGTCTAAAGTATCAAATTAGTGAGAAGGATTGGTTACAGTTTTGTGTCAGCCGAATGGACCCCTCTTGGCAGGATAAAAGACGTGCTGCCCAACAACGTCAGAGGTTGAATGATGCATCCCATGTATTGTCACGAGGAGGGTATGCATTATTGGAGCAACGTCTCATGAAAGCTAGAGAAGAGTCAGCAGGAGTTGAGTCTACTGACCTTGCATCTCCACCCCCTCGCTATGAGATGTGGAAGGCAGCCCGGACAAAATCTGATGGACAAATGACTTCTGAGTCTGCACGAATCATTACTTAGAAAATTGTAAGTTATAATGTCAATTTGAATTGATTCTAATGTGAAAGTTAGTGTATGACTTAATTATTGTTAATGTGTTGTAGGATGATTTAGTTGAGCAGAGCACCCAAGGATCATTTATTCCTCATGGTCGACAAGATATATTGGCGACAGCCATAGGAAAATCAGATTACTCAGGACGTGTGCGTGGTATTGGTGGATCCTGGGGCCTTCGTGATTACTTTGGTCCAACATCACGAAGGACCACTACTGACTCTTGCAGCCATGAGGCCTTGCATAAAATGGAGATGCAGTTTGAAGAAAAGTTAAATCAAATAAGACAGTCCTTGCAGCAAGAGTTTGATGAGAAAATTGAATCTCTCGCCCGCTCTCAGCAACAGACTCAAGGAACACCTCAAATAATTGAACATGATGTTGTTCGAGTCAGCACTAAAGGGAGTTGTGCTGTTATTGCTGCTTATCTTTCAGGAGAATATACTCAGACTGATGCATCACACCAGTGTGAGTTATATGTTGAAGATGATCCCCCGCGTCTAGTGGCTATTGGTCGAGTTTTTTAAGGTGGTTTAACCATCCATGGTGTCCCTCTACAGGCAGACTGGACACGAGTAGTAGTTGATGAAGTTCATGATGCTAATGCTCCAGTGCCTTTTCCTAATTAAGAGATTCAATTAGTGGGGCAGGCAAGCGGAACATTCTTGGCTTGGGCAAGACGTTTGGTTATGCCACTATCGCACGACCAAGGTAATATATATATATATATATATATATATATATATATATATATATATATATATTGTCTATTTTCTCTTTTCTAGTATTATAATTATATAAATGTTTGATTAATTGTTATCATTTGTTTATGAGGACTTGCATCGTGCTAAGCATAAAAAACAACCTATTATTGATGAGAATTTGACAGAATGTGATTATGATCCCATCTCTATGTTGTTGACCATATTACCACGGTTGAGGAAGAGACCGTGTCAGATACAATGGGATGTTAGAGTGTTTGGAATTGACAATTCCAGTGTTCCATTATACATTTCCTTGTCCGATGTTTTAGAAATTGCTTGGGGAAATTGCATGTTAAACATTTCCATCATACAATTGTGGGCAATGTAAGTCATTCTCATTTATGTTTCTAAGATTATAATAATTATATTCAACTTATAATTAATTGTTTTAGGTACATTGACAAATTGAGTGTGGAACAAGAAAAATTCGAAGTATACGAATTTATTGAGCCTCAATCCATCCAAAAATCTGGAAATACAAAGGTTGGAATCCAACAATATATGCAAACATGGATGAGTGACTCAAAAAGACATATATATTTGGCTCATTACATTGAAGGGTTAGTATTTTAATTTGTATTTTAATTTATATTTTTGTAACTAATTTTTATGTCATACAATGTAGGTCCCATTGGCAGTTAATTGTAATCATACCTCGGGATTACACTCGTGGTGTGGTTTTGTTCATTACATCGGAAACCGATTCAATAAATGAAAAGCTTATTACAATGATAACTTTATCTTTTATTCATTAATTATGTTTTTAAATTGTAAATACATATTGAATAATATATGACTTTTTTTCACTTATAATCATGTCTGGAACTAATGTTCTAAGTGGAAAACCTAGAACAAAGACTTTGCAGTTCATTTATCTTAAGGTTAGAAACTTATTTATATAAGTGAATACCATAATTATTGTTTGTATTTAAATTTTGAAAATAACATTATGTTTTTTTCATCATTTCGAGTGTAATAAGCAAACAAACTCGTTTGAATGTGGTTACTATGTTATGTATTGGATGAGAGTCATAGTTTGTTCGGGTATAATTGATTCTTGGACGAAGGTAATTGTTTTTAACATTAGTTAAGTTTATTTAACTTTATTCATGTTGCATGTTTACAAGAGTCAAATTAATGTTTCAGGTATTTCAAGATCTATCTCCATTACCAGAATATGATATTACACAAATTAGAGAACAATGGGCAAAAATTTTTGTTCAACAATTCTAGTACATAATTTTTTAAGTTCTTGTTCATATTATATTGTGTGTATTATGTAGTTTAGGTAGCTTAGTTTGTATTAACTTTTAGTTTGTAATAGATTTTTTAGTTTGTATGTTTGTTATATTGTTTTATTATGTAGTTTGAATTATATAATATTATATTTTTAATTTATTAGCTAAAGAAAATTGAACCTCTGGACTGTCTGGTTGTAATATATATTTACAGGTTTTAGTTGTAAAACAGAATCAACCCAATTAAAAAAAAAAACAACAAATAAACGTCGCATATGGTATATGCGACGTAAATTTGCTGTTCTTTTTTTTTTAATTTCCGAAAGTTTTTACGTCTGTTTAGTGGTATATGCAACGCAAAATTATGTCGGGTCTTGATAAATGACGTAAATTTACGTCGGGATAAAGGGTCCGACGTAAATTTACGTCTCCCATTTTAACGTCAATCTTAAATACAACATAAAAAGTCCTAAATACCTTACGTAAAAACTCGTTTTTGCACTAGTGAGTACTTGGATGTCGAAGATGTCAAGTGGTGTGAGTTGCCGCATCTTCTTCCAACGAAAGCCTGAAACGGTCATGATAGGCACGTCTCACTGCCAAGAGTTCTTGAGCTGAACACAAGCAATTTCTGCAACCACATGATAGTCTTTAGGACCATTCTTTATTGCTACATTCATCAAAACAGCATCACGATCTGCAGGCTCCGACATCCACCAGTACACAGCTTTCTGGTTTGTATATACACAAAAATCATTTACAAGTCATCACAATATAAAATAATTGGCAAAATTTATGATACCTTAAAATCACCAGAGATCTTAGACTCAAGGTAGTTGATGAGATTCTCATGGTAGATCTCCTTGTAAGTTCTTATAATTTCTCGTCTCTGATGAACATTTCTGTGCCCAGTATTACGATAATAGCCTTGCTTACTGAACCCACTCCTAAACCATGAAAATTCAATGCAGATGATAAAACCATTTTGTTTGGAGAAAATTTCATTGGGTTCATGGTTGCTCAAAGCAAAACCAAACAAAAAGATTTTTTCAAGGAGAAAAATAAAATATTGTAGTCACACCTATTTTCTATAGTGGTATTTTAAAAATAACTTAATAAAATATTGATTATAATTATTATCCTAAAACTTTTTATGTTATAAGACTATTGCATAATCAAATAATGCTAGTATTATTCTTAAAGACTAATTTATTTAATATATATATATATATATATATATATTTACTATAGCTTTTAGATATTATCAATGTTCATAGCTTTCTCTATTATTATGTTTACACAATCAATAGTTTTGACATATATCAAGAAAGTAAATGCAAATAAATATACAAAAAGTAAAACTCTCCTAATAAAAAATAACAACAAAAGTTAAGATAAATTCAAAATCATATATTGAGAATTAGTTGAAAACATCAAAATATAAAGGAGACAAACTAAAATTGAATGGTATAAAAGCTTGGTGAAGAGCCTCAGCATCTTGAGCAGCAGAAATTTGATCATGAAAAACACAGGTCGTCATTGTAAAATTTCTTACTCTCTGAACTGCGCTTGTGAGTGAATGAATGTGAGGATTTTGATTTCCTTTCATCCAAACTTATAGTGTGAATGATTCCTGGAAACTAACGCCTTCATTTACTTGTTCATGATTTAATTACATTGCAACCTTGCATGCACTCCATCTGTTGACACACTGGTCAAGAAAATGAAAGAAAAACGACCCTTCAAAATTAATCGTATCAACGGTTAATTAATAATTTATATATGGAGGTGATTTTTTTGTCCCGTTGCATTTGCATGGTGAACAAATGGAAAAAACAACAAATTCATTATTTTGTGTAATGATTTTTTATTATTCTTGGATCATATAAATTTTGAATCTTTAATGGTTTGTCTATTTAAAAAGGGTTTCATATTTATGAAACTTCTTTTTCACATAATGTCGTAACAGTGTCATGATTCGATTTAATTGTTCATTTTAATATAAAATTTAAAATAAATCAAATAAATAATTGTAGTTCATTTTGGATTAAATTTTTGTTTTTATTTATTATAAAAATAATGAATAATTGTTTAAAAATAAAATAAAAACTTGTCAAAGAAAAAGATATATATTCTAAATTTTATGATAATTGTTATATTTATAATTTAAATTTCTTTTATATTTATTAATAAATAATATTTTTTCCTTTTTGATGTTTTCTCTTTTGATATATATATATAGAGAGAGAGAGAAATACCAGAATTTACTATGTTTTAGTTGTTTATTTCTTTTATAATATTTGTGTTTTTTTTTTTGTGTGTGTGATGGTTTAACGAGAATCTAACATAGAATTATCCTTATTTGTTTTCTAACTAAATTTGTTGTTATCTAGATAGTTAGACTGTCTATCCTTCTTTCTCATTCTTTAGGTATGATTATATCATTGGAACATATTCAAATCGAAATTAGAATTATATTTTAAAATTTTATATTAAGTATTTTAAACATTTTTATGCATATTTTTCTATTAGAAAAATAATTGTGGATTAATTCTTATTAAGTATATTTAAATATTTTGCAGGTGATATATTATACAATATATTTTAAAAATTGTTGAGTGTTTATAATATATTATGAATTAGCTTATAAAAATGTGTATTTAATATCTATGGAAAGTGACATGATGTGTTTATGAACGGAATATAATGTATTTAGAATGAGTAATGACTTTAAGAAAATATTTTTATAGATTATGTTGTTTATAACTGACAATTGTGTTTTTATGGAGAACAAAAATAATATTTACACATGTAATTCAGCTAGTCTAAAAAAATTTAGACTTTAGACTAAGAATTAAAACTAATTCGGTATATTTTATACATTCAGAGGAGTATTTTTATGTTTCTTCTTTACTAATATGATATTTTTTGGGCATTTCTAATAATATCAAGTTTAATTCCTATTTTGGCATTTCTAATTTCTGAAATTTTAGCTCTGATTAGTAAGGGACCTGAAAAACTTTCTAGTTATAAATCCAGAATAGAACCAATAGACGATGCTTGATTACAATTTGGAATTCGTTATTATATATTTCCTCTCATTTTTGTTGTTTTTATTAATTGGTAAAAATAAAATAAGATACAACAATATAAGAATGCAATTATACACACTAACTATATAACAATATAATATTTGCTGCAACATATGATAAAAGAAGTAGGACAAGTCACAGAGATAACCGGGAAGTGTTATCATGATTTTTTATTAATGGTTACAAGTTTATCTGAGAACGTGAGAAAGAAAGTTTCACATGAACAAAAATGTAAAAAAAAAAAAGAATTATATGTTAGTATTTATTTTTCTGTTATAAAAGAAATATATTCTTTGTATTTTAAATTTCATTTTTTTCTACTATTTTATTGTATAATTATTATATAATGATTGAGTTATCTTATTTTTTTAAAAATATATTATTATTGATTTTTATTTAATGATGGTATTATAATTTTCTATAATAATAAAATTTTATTATTATTTATTATCAATTTTATTTTTTTCTTATATTTTATTTTAGTTATGAGTTTTTATGTAGTTATTCTCGTTTTTAATTGTTTTTTTATTTGTTATTAAATAAAGAGAAAAAAATAATTAAAAATAAAATATAAATTAAAAAAATAAATACAATTTTAAATGAGAAATCATCAATAAAATAGAAGGTGTAGAAATACAATTTTTTTTATATATAAAATAGTATTTTTATTTAAACTGTTGATTCTAATTTATCATATTGAAACTTTTTTACTTCTATTTTATATCTACACAGAAAAAAACAATATTTATTCACTGTAATAGTTTATTAGCAAAAGTTATATCCTTTTTTTCTTTATCTTTCAATTTTAATATCTGATTTAAATTAATAATTCATTTTAATAATGAAATTATATATATTAAGTATCAGCTAGAACATAAAAGGGAACCACTCAGGTGTATAATATCAAGTTGTTATTAAAAGCAAAAGTAAAAAACATCACAATCCTAAACCAAAAACATAGATACATGCTCTCAGACAACAAGAGCATAAATAAAGTACATAATAATTATAAGAAACTGAATGTCTTCAAACAAGACACAAGCTTAACTGAGATAAGAATCTTATAAGCATACTTTAAAGTGATTAAATAGGAAAATTACTCACAAGTTAACCTAGTGATCAAACAACAGATCACAACCAAATGTATCAGAAACCGACATAGGACAAACCCTTTTCTAATTATGTCTGCAATCAGGAAAATTTCTTTAGTCTTGTCTCCCAACAGAGTGAGGATGAACTTCTTGTAGTCCCCTGAAATTTCTTTGGACACTGCATCCTCAAGGTGAACATTGTTCTTCTTGTAGTAGAGCTCCTTGATGTTCTTCAAATCCTTCTCAGCCCTTGTCACAACCACACGACTCAGTCCATCATAATCAGTTCCAAACATTTTTATTGCATTGCGCAAAACCTATGCATATTGAAAAATTGTAGGACGAGTCATTCTACAAGAAAGTGATTAATTCTACACATATTTGTTAACTATTTCAGCAGTATATCAGTGTGCTTGAAACCTGACCTTCTCATAGTACTTCTTGTGGTCATTGATGCAGCGAATACCAGTGTGCACCACCTTGAGAAAATCATCGTATGATTGATCTACCAATTTCTACATGGAAAGAATCTATATTTAGAATAACTTATTATAATAAGAAAATGTTCTTTCATTTATTCTTACCTTACTGATAGAAATCCCATGCTCATCTTTGTAGTGGTTGAAAGTTGCAACAAGCTGAGTCTTGCTTCTTGTTGTAAGAATCCTGATGACTTCTTCATAGTTGGGTTTCTTCTCCTTGATTGCTTCATGAAGAACATTAGCTTCAGTTTGTGCCAATTTTACTTTGATCTCATCACCCTCATACCTATACGAGCTAACCAATCCAATCAAAATCTGCTCAAAATCAACCACAAAGTTTAACCATTATCATTCTTCAAAATCTCAAAAAATAACTTCAAAAAAACAAAAAAATTGTAAGAGGATAACTTGCCTGGCGAAGATAGCCAGTGGTGTGAGTTGCCACATCTTCTTCCAAGGAACGCTTGTAGCGTGCATGATAGGCAAGTCTCACTGCCATGAGTTCTTGAGCTGAAAGAACACAAACAATCTCTGCAATCACGTGATAGTCTTTATGACCATTAATTGCTGCATTCACCAGAGCTGCATCACGATATGCAGGTTCCAACATCCACCAATACACAGCTCTCTGATTTGTATACACATACACCCCATTATTTACAAGTCATCACAATACAAAATAATTCGCAAAATTTATGATACCTCAAAATCGTTAGAAATCTCAAACTCTAGACGTTTGATGAGATTATCTTGGTAAATCTCCTCATAAATCCTTATGACTTCTTGTCTCTGATGAACATTTTTATTGCCCAGTATTGCTATCATAGCCTTACTTACAGAACCCCATCCTAAACCATGAAAATCCAATGTTATATAATACAAAACGTTATCATCATATTTTCATCAAAATTATTAGAGATCACACAACAATTTTTCAACAAATAATGCCAAATTGTTATTTGATTTTCATAGTAAAAAAAATTAAAAAAAAATCATAAAACCAGTTGGTCAAAATAAAGCAATGTCCTTTTAAGAAATGTTATTGAAATAATTTATTGGAGAATGGTTGCTGGGAGTAATAAGGGTAGGCATAGTTGAATATATTTTTTATTATTATTCTGATGTTTGTTGATTTTTCTGTATATAAATAATCTAATTAAAAGTTAAAGTCAACTATACAGATTTTGTCAGGAAAATATTTATTTGTTGAGAGCAAAGCCAAACAAACACACTTTGTCAGAGACAATTAAAATATTTGTCGTGACATGTTAATTACAACACATTGAGTTACCTATTGGATATAAAAATTAAAAAAATAAAAAATAAAATATATATATATATATATATATATATATATATATATATATATATATATAATGTCTCTGTATATATACGTGTACATATATTTATATTATTTTATTAAAAACAGCTCTAAAAATAATTAGTTTAATATGAGTAGGGTTTATGCTGAATTTTATATAAAAAGAGGGAAGAAGTAAAAGAGTTAAGGAATAGGAGAAGATAGTAATATTATTCAGAAACTTTCTTTATAAATGAGAAGAGTGAAGACAAATTCATAATGACACCGAGTTTATGTTGAATTAAAAATTACTTAGAAACATAAAAATATAACAAACTAAAATTTATTATACAAAACCTCTGAAAGCATGATGAAGAGCCTGAGCATCTTCAGCAGGAGAAGTTTGATGATCAAAAACAAAAGTGCTAATTGGAATATTGCTCAGTGAACCTTCCATTCTCTCTCTCTCTCTCAAGTGTGTTCTTGTGAGTGAATGCAATGTGAAGATGTTCGTTCCTCGCATCACAATTTATAGCGTGAATGTGTCCTTCGAAGTTAACGCCTTTGCATGCACATAGTTTGACACGTTAACGAAGAGAAGGAAAGAAAAACACATCAACCCAGAAGAAACTGGCTTCACATTTGTCTTTTTATAATAAAATTGTCTGAACGGTCATTTATTAATCTTCATATAAAGGTTGTTTTGGTTTTGTCTTTATATTTTTGCATGTTGAACAAATGGCAGAAATAACGTTCATTATTGTTTTATTGTAGGTTTATTTGAAGAAGGTTTCATATTTATAAATGAAAGTGTTTATAATTATTTGGTATGATTTTTTATTAAATAATTATTTGAATTAATTAAATATAAAAATTAAAAGTTGTACTGTGTATATGAAAATAAATATTAAATTCTATCAGCATCATAATAATGGAGAAAGAAAGCATGTGTCAATGTTATCCATCATCCATGACCAAAACTCACTCTAGCTCTCATATACATCAGGCAATGTTACATACATATATATGTACCTCATCTAACGTAACGCCTCGTCTTCATAGCGCAACAATATTTTAATTAAAATATAATAATAATTATTATTTTTATTATTATTATTATTATTACTTAAATTTGTTCATTAAGTTATTTATTAATTTTATTAGTTTTTATTGTTATTTATAATATTTAAAAATTTGTAACTTATAAATTATATTTGGGTTACATTTTATACCTATAAATAATATCTCATTTAATTAAATACAAATAATTTAAATATTTATTATTTTATTTTCTTGTCTTGAATTTTTTTAATATTATACGTATTAATAATAATCAGTGCGAAGATTATAACATATTGAATAAAATAATTATCTATCTATTTTTATATATTATTTATTATATCTTTTGTAATATATGATATTATTAATTTAATATTTTAATTCTATATTATATTTATTATCATGTTAAATCTTTTATTATTTGAATTTTATGAAAAAATACGTTTTTAATGACTCATGAGATTCACAATTTATTTTGTTTTATTCTCAGAAATTAATGTGAAAAATATTTTATTGTATATTTCATTCTCTCTAAAAAATCTTTATCATCATATCTTTCACCATGATAAATACTATCATATTCACAATCACATTCTCAGAAGTAAATATGTTTCATTTCTAAAACTGAACTCTTTCTATCCCACAAATGAATACCAAAAAAATATTTTATTGTTATGTTTTGTTTTCATAAGTAATTGTAAAAAATATTGTATTAATAGTCATGATTGTAATATTAAATGTGATTTTGAATGTGATAATACTTATCATGAAAGATATGATGGTAAATAATTTTTAGAGCATAACCAGATATAAATGATGATAGTAAAAAAAATGAAAAGATTAAATAAGAATAACAAGATGTATTATCTTTGTTGTGATAAAGACTAGTGGTTTCTTATTTAATGTACACTAAAATATCTTATTTAAGTATTCAAAATAAAAGAAAATAAATAGTTAAATAAATATTAATTAAAATAACTTATCATTATACATGTTAATCTTCACAAAATAATAATGTGAACTAAATATTAAAAAAATAATTTATTTATAAAATTTAATATTTTATATATATATCAAATGTATTTATTAACTTAGAAATAAGTCATATGTATCCATTTTTAAGGTACTAATGGTCAATATTTCATTTTTTTTTACTAAATAGGGTAAAAAAACTTTGATTTTACGTAAAGGAGTTGAAAATAAAATTAGAAAATTTATTAAAATGAGTTAAATCGTACGTGGAAGAATGATTTTGACATAATCATGTTTGAAAGTGCGGGTTTGATAGTCAACACTGAAATCGCATAATTTTAGTTTGTTGTTAAAAAAAATAAAAATCATGCTAGATAGCATGAGTTTTGCATTAATTTTCTTGTATTGAATTCGTGTTACCTAGCATAAGTTTCTTCTGTTGTCTTTTTTTTTTTTTGGAAAAATAGGATTTTTTTTTAATATATTATTTATAAATAAGTAATTTTTTATTTAATTATTAATTTAATAAAAAATGAAAATATTTAGAGAAATATGAATAAATTTAATTGAGTACAATTATATTAAAATGTTAAACAAATATATACATTATTACATAAATCAAAATAGAAAAAATTTAATGGTGAGACACTATCCTAAAAGATGGTCTTCTAATTTGTTGTCTGGGTCTACGTCGTTGGTCTTAAGTAGACATTTGTTGTGTTTGTGTAACATACCTACCATGATGGTTGTGGTTGAATGTTTGTTGACCTATCATTATCATCATCGTCGTTTTTATCTTCTTCATTTGCATACTGCATAAAGGACATACGAAGTATCACAGTCATAAAAGGTATTTGATTGTATATGGTATCATGGAAGAGGTGGAAAACATATTTATTTAAGATAAAAATGAAGTAAATGTATAAGGAACTTGTACTCAAATTAAAATTGAGTAGGTAAATTTTGAAGTTGACCAACATATCCATAAAATGGATAAGGGTATTGATCACTGACCAACATCACTACAAGAAAAAACCGTTTTAGTGACTGAAAAAATCGGTCCCTAATCAGTTAGCGACCGAAATTAATATATTAAAGCAGTCGTTAAATCGATGACAAAGTTAATTATTTACAACCCCTCTATTTGTGCTATAGTTTTATTATTCATTACATTTTTTAGAAGTTTAAATTATTATTAGATTATTGTCAATTGAAAGATTCAAAATTCGAACTCAGTACCTTAGAGTTGGAGAATGAGACTCAAACCGATTTCTTAATAATAACTTACAAATAAATTATATTTATATACAAATAAATATATATCCGTATAAATATATAAATATAAAATCTATAAATATAAATATATTTATATATTTAGATATATTTATATATTTATATATCTATATATAGACTTATTTATATATATATATATATATATATATATATATATATTTAGATATATTTATATATTCTTAATGATAGACTTATTATTATTATTATTTAATTTTTGATTCATATAAATATGAATTAGTATAGACAGATATTTTTGGTAATAAACTTAATCGATGTTAATAACTTACAAAAATTTGAAAAGAAAAAATAAAAATAAAACACAATTAAATGAACCAAATCACTTATAATTAAATTATAAGTTGACTCATTTTTCAACTTATTTTATGATAAATTAACCAAGATCAACTAGTTACTACCTTGGCTATTTTTCTAATTTGAATAACTAGTTAGTGATTTTGCTATTCCTAAGATCAACTTAAAATATATATATATATATATATATATATATATATATATATATATATATATATATATATATTGATTTCAATCCATCCAAATTTTTAATTTTTATATTGTTCTTAGTTAGAATTTAATTTTACTATCAACACTAACAAATAGAAACAAATATTTCCTAGATTAATGAATTAATTGATTAAATTTTACCATCCATATTTGACTTGATAAATAAATAAATTGAAATTGAATTATAACACACATAGCCTTGAAAATTTTGGCAAATATAAGAGAGAAGGAGTAAATAAAATAGAGAAACAAAATCAGATGACACAGAGGGAGTTATAAATAATGAATAAAACTCACAAAAATTGTGAAACAAACGTTCGTATGTATAGCTTCTAAGAAAGACTTACGTGGTTGTATCATGTAGCTTCTAAGAAAGACTTACGTAGTTGTATCATGTATTTATGTACACGTTTGAATGTAACCCGAATGTTGGGAGATTCAGATTTGACATAATAGGACACGCTAGGTGTACAGAGACCCTACAGCCGGCATTTCAGCATGCATGGGAAGATACCATTGCTGAAAGAGGCTGGAAGTTGGTATTTCCTACAAACCAATAGAGTGCCCATTTCAAATTGCAAAGAGTGTACTTGAGAGATTTTGTCCAATTTTCCTGCTTATTGAAGCTTTGAGTGATGGAATAGTTTTCCACTTTGTCATTCTCAATCCTACAAAATCACCCAAAAATGTCATTCTCAATCATCGAACTAATGTAGGATTTTAACACATGTAAAATCTATATATGATGATCTTCTCCTAATGTTTTGGTAAGCATTGCAGAAAATTGGGTATATTATTTCAGCAAAACCCATCATACTAAAAGCTCATGAAAGCATAACTGTTGATCTGTTAGTGCTAACTCGATTCCAAACCGAGCATAGTAAGGCTTGGGTCATCCATCACCCACCATTCTACGTGCCATTTTATTTTTTAGGTTTTTTGAGAGAGGGAATGACCTGCATGTGCCCCAGAACAAATAATGGAAAGCTTGGCAGGCTTCATTTTTGTTTCTTTCTTTGCACTCCTGTGAGAGTATGGGAGGGTTGTGAATCTCATGCATTAAGTTCAAAGGCATTATAAATTCCATTAAGCCATGACTAAGGACACAACATGCTCTTCAAGATCTTAAGTCATGTACTCTATTACCAAAGCGCAGGTAGCAGTGAAACCACATATACTGGACATCCTATTCTATAGTCTCTCCTCCATCAATTAGCCAAGGGACATAATATGCTTAAATTCAAAAAGAGTTTAGTAGTAACAAAGCAAAATTCCTCTGCATCCAATTCTCACACAGCACCAGAAGATAAAAACACTTATCATGAACAACAAGTTTCATAACTTACTTGGACATTTATGATTTTGATTCTCCAAACTTAATGATTATTAAATATATCTACTTATATATTTATAATTTTAACCTCTCATCTTTCATATTTTTGTATTCATTTATTGTTTATAATAAATTATTTGGTCCCCTAAATCATTAGTCAAAATTAGTCCCTGGCCATGTATAAATATATTATACGTATTAATACTTACTTATAAGGCAGTTTGAAACATTTCTCAGGTGGAATGTTATTCTCTTGATCCTTAGACTTGGCAAAGTCCGCAAAATCCTTTAGGCAAGCTAAAAACAATGTCATTGCTTTGTCATAGCGAGTACTCCAGAACAAGTTGACAGGACCAAACCTGAAAAGACCATACCATCTACTAATAATGATTAAGTAGACAGGTTTAAGAACAAATCTTAAAACACAGAAAGTTTACTAAATTGTTGTTTAGAACTTTTTACACAAGTATGACTCATAACACCAACCATAATCTCAGCGTGCATATAGAACCTGGGCCAACTGCCAAGGCAATGGCATGACCAAAAATAGTGTAAAAACATGGCTCCAAGGTTTATACTAATGTTTACACATATAAACATAAGTAATAAAACTAAACCACCGAACAATTTGAAATCGCTACAAATCAATCAGCTAGTAGATCCTATTTCCTTCACATATTACACTAATGATTTTGACTCTACTTCAGACAGCATCAAATTTTACGTTACAATTAGAGTAGAAAACCACAGATACAGATGACCACATATGTAGAACCATGAAGCATACTTACAACTCATAGGTACTGTTATTGGTGTCAGTGATACGAGGGTAGCTACCCATAGGAATTATCTTTATTCGATATCTAAAAGTTACAAGTTTAGGAGTTACAAGTCAGCAAAGTAACAAAAATCTTATTCCCAATAGGAGAGGTTGCTACGTGAATAACAGTTTCATATGATGCAACTGGCAGAGAGTATATTTTGAGTCATTCCAATAAATAATTTTAAAACTGACAATAAAAAGAAATTATTAGCACACAGCGCAGGCAAACAGGACCTTGAAAATTTCAGCTTGCTGTAAAATTTGAAATCAACAAGAGGCCATCTTGTATCCCAACTTAGAAAGTAACAAAAGATCACAATAAAGCAGGAATCTTTCCAAACTAAATGTGATTCGAGACCTATTTTCTCTCTGTCAATGCATCTTCTAGACATCATCTAGATAATCATAAATTCAAACTATAATGGCCTGGTAGTTCCAATTCAGAATAAGAGACAATACTCAACAAATTTTGGTTTGAATTCCATACAAGCTATTAACAAGTAACTATATATGCCTATGAAGACAACTGCCTTCGTCTGCTTAAAATCATCCTTTTGATGTTTTGCCCTGCAGATATCACTCAGAAGAACTTGAGGAAAAACACACAGTAATTAGCAGATGGCTTCAATAGCTGTTAAGTAAAATCCAGTTCCTAACTAGATTTATCACTACACGCACACAAATACACATGGAGAATTATACGAAATTTATAATAGTAACTACACTTATCCAATATGCTTATTGACAAAGGATACTGAAACTTCGGTCGGAAATACTGGCACATAGTATGAAGAAGAAGGCAAGCTTGGCCCCAGGCAGCATTTATCTCGTCCCATTCAACCTAAACATTTGATAATCAAAAACTATTCAAAGGAGAAAGAAAAAGAATTTAAGATTAATAAATTCTCTAGGATAAAAAACTATAACATATTTTTCAAATCACCAAATGTGGAAAGGACACATGCAACTACAATATTTTATATTATGAAGGAACCACAGCAAAGCAAAACACGACTGCATGCACCACAAAGTTGAAAGAATTAACATCATTATTAGTTGTCTGGTTCAAAAAGCACTTCACAACACAACTAGAAATATAATATTTTGTTGCAAAAAAAATTAAATGAAAGTAGCTACTTATCAATATCTATTACAACTTCTTTAGAAATTCTTGATCAAGAAAGCAATATTGTAATAGCAGGAATCTCTAGATTTTCTACTACTAGCAGCCATGGGTGTTTTTACATTTATTTTATTTTATGGTCAACACATTATATTGTGCTTTATTTTAGAACTACAATTCCCAAGTTTGGAATGCTAACAGCAGCACATCGGATTACAAGTTTTAACCTAGGATGATACATGTAAATGTGAATACATGGGTATGGACGCAAAAATGTAAGTTGTTCAATAACCATATTGTCCCTAAAGCTTAATCTGATACCAAACAAAACTATAGAAAATACTGATTAGTAATTCCACTCGTAGAGGAAAGCTGAGCAAAGCACAGCAAAAACAAATAAAAACTAATCAAATAATTACAAAGACTCAGAGAGTAACTTATACATCATCTTGCTTATACCGCAGCTTATCAATTATTTTAAACTTTAATGAAGGAAACCAAGCATGAATATTAAGCTAAATACCACATGGACACAATATTAAAAGACCGACAGCTAAGCATCTTACTGGAATTTTAGGGAGTCTTCCAAGTCGAAAATTGTTAATTGTTCCAAACTCTCCATCGTGAGAAATGGGGAAGGCATCGTTGAGCACATTTGTTCGCTTCAATAATTCTAAATGAGCTTGTGAAACTTCAATCTTTGCCAAGATTGCATCTCTCTCCTCCTGTTAAATGAAGTATTATTGGTTATTTCTCAGACTTGGATGTTATATTTTTCAGAATAAGGAGGCAAAGTTAGCTGCAACATGCTTAAAATTCGTACTACAAGAGTTATCAAAATAAGTGAATCATTTTCTAACATCAAACAAAATATAAGACAAATGCAAAATAGGGTCGAAAAGAAAAGTTCATATATAAAGGATGATCCTTTGAAAATCAGTTTTATTCCCTCTATGATATCATTGACCAAATTTCATCAATGAGGTAGAAGTGAAAGTAGAGCTACCAATTCAAAAAGATGAAGCCATTTTTGTCATTTGAACCAATGTCAATGATCCTTTAGAGCTCGACCAAAACAAAACACTTGCCGGAACATTTCTACCCATCAAGTTGGTATGTGAAGGGAACAATAACAAACCTGATGAGAAATTAATTGAAACTGAAAATTGTTGAACTCATGCCAATACCTGTTACACATTTAAACAAGTAAAATCAAACATTGACATCAAGCATCGGAAGTATCCACATAAACCAAATAAGAAAAGCAAAAATTATCTATGTTTTTTGAAATTTTATTTTGGGATTATGGCCTTTTTTATCAGGAAATATCATGTGGTCAAGGTACAGAGAAAAATGTACCTCTCCTCCAATTCTTTAAAGCGACTTGATTTCAACTCTAGTTCCTTCAGTTCAGCATTTACTTCAGCATTTTGTCTCTCAGTTTCTTCAATTGCTGCTTCAAGTCTTCGTTCTTCTTCCTCAATCTTGAATAGTATACCAAGTAGAAAATCACTGATTAGGCTTTGGAAGAAAGTTTGATGGTACAACCATGAAAATCATCTTAATCAAAGAGTGTTTTTAAGGATAGAGACATTTCCAATGAAAACTCCGTATTTCAACTAAGTTTATTATGCCTTATCCATCTACCTCTATCTCAGAAAAAACTAACATAGCATTAAACGCAAACCGGCCATAGATTCACATAATAGTCAAATGAGGTTATGAAAACTCTGATTTTCCCCCATAATTAACACCACTGATGGCTTAAATATTAAATAAATGGTTATTTAATACACAGATTAGGCTTGGTAAACCAGATGAGCACCTTCAGTTTCTCCTTAAGAAAATCAGCCTCACTGAGGACATCTCTAGCCTCTCCCTCCAAGCGTTTAAGACAGGCTTCGTACGATTCAATGTCCCTGTTCACATCTTCAACCTCTTTATCAAGCTTATCCGACAAAATCCTCATGCAGTCAAGGCATAGAGGCTGTTCAACCTGTAATCACATCCAAAAAACACACAGATTATGACCCAATAACCTAAAATCCCATCAAATACATTACACATTTACACGTTTCAGTCCACAACAAACCTGTGTCTGTGTCGTGGCAATCTCAAACGCTCGAGTCAGGACAGTAATAGTGGAATTAAACCCAGAGTTATGAGGCGGCAAATGGCCACTAGAATCAGCCCCGGTGCCTGACAAATGTGCACCGCTTCCATCCGTCCCCGATTCGGATTTGTACACAACCACAAACGACTCCTCCATGGCCTTTCCAGGCTGTGCGGCAGCGGCAGCGGCAGCAGCAGCAGCAGCATCACCACGCGGCCGAGGAGCACTTCCCTGAGCCTGAGGTCTCTGCTTGGGCAGCACAACATACGAATTGTCCATTTTAGTGGAACTCAGCACACTGCTGGCACCATGAATGGACGAACCTTGCATCCCTACACTCACTCATTCATCCATTATCTCCTCATCAAAAATCAAATTACCACAACACAACTATTCACTTTTGAATAATCTCAATTCACTCAAAACCAATACCGACACAAACATTATTTCAAAACCACTCAAAATAATCAACGTTTTAAATTGGCCAAAATCAACAAGTATCAATCAATAAAATTAATAAATTGCAATCAACAAAATAATAATAAAACCTAACGGACCGGAGCGTGAAGGATCGTTGAAGAATTTGTCGGCGTAAGAGTCGACGCCGACGATGCAGAGAGGATTGCGGCAGTTCTGGCAAACCCATCGGGGGACGTTCGGATCCACCGGGAAGGTCCCAGTCCGACCTTTATTATCGCCCTTCTTCATCGCTTTCTTTCTTCCTTCGCTGAAACCCAATTCGTGAAAGATTTTTTATTATTTATATTACGAAAAAGAAAACGAAAACGGATATTATGGTGCTTGGGTGAGGTGATTTAGGTGACAGACAGTAATCTCGGGCAACTGAAAAAAAGAGACTATATTTCGGATGAAGCAAGTAACTGACTCTGAACCCAAGCGCAGCACAAGTTCCGACGGGTTGATGGGTTATGTTAGGATCGGCCTATGTCCGGGTTTGGGTCGGGTTAGAGTTAATTCAATACCGCAACAATAACCCAAAAAGTGTTTGTTTTGTTAGATAGGATTATGCCCAAAACTTTGGGTTCGATGGATTCCAACTTTGGACGGATATCATAATGTGTTGAAATGAAGATGGGCTAAATTTTAATTTGTGTTTTAAATTTATAGTTATAAAATTTTAATACATTTTAATCTAAATTATTTATTTGATTAAATTTTAGAATAATAATAATATAAATAGTATATTTACAATTTGTAAGTGTGAAGTTAATATTTGTATCCCCGATTTTTTCCTAATTCAATTTAATTAATTTTATAATTGTAGATAAGTCTTTAAATTTTTCTAAATTTCCAGAATTTTATATATTTTCCATTAATTGTAATTTATCCTTAATTAAGTTTATTATTTAAATCTGTTCCTTTAATACTTTTAATAATTATGATTTAGTCTCTGACTAATTTTTATATTTATAATTATGCCATTGAGAATTAATTTGGTTGATTTTGCAACACCTTGTATTTATATATATATATATATATATATATATATATATATATATATATATATATATATATATATATATATATATATATATATATATATATAATGCGGAGTGATTCTCATTTTAGTTTCCCAATATAAAAAAATATTTAAGTCTTTCAAAATTAAAAGAAAAACATAATTTCAATCTTTAAATAGTAAATTTGAAAAACTAAAATGAATTTATTAAATTTGTTTTTAGTAAAGAAACTAAAATCATATTTTATTTTATTTGAGGGATTAAAATAAATTATTTTAACTTGGAGACAAAAAAAATATCTATCTCAAACTTTTGTAATTAAAATTATAATTAAATCTTATTTAATAGGTCCACAATAACTAAGTTTGTTGTGCAGTTGGTGTTTGTTTAAACAGAATAATTTATTTTTTATTTTACTCTATAAAATCAAATATTTTTTTTCATAAAAATTATATTTAATTATTTTAAATAGTGATTTAAATATATAGAATTTATTTTAATGTAAATTTTTCGAATTTATGAGCAACTAAATTCTGGTGTCAAATTCAATGCAAATATTGTAGCTAATCCATTGTTAATATGTTGTTAACTAATATTTTGCTTATTGATATGTTATTAACTTCGTTTGATTATATGACTAATGATAAGTTTAAAAGTAGTCTAATAAACCTACAAAAAAATTAGCCTTTGGTGTTTAAAAAATAAATTATATTATGCTAAATTAAAAATTACATATACCTTTGTTTATTATTTCAAAAATAATACTTTAAATATTTAAAACAATACTCATTTAGATACTAAAATTTAAATTTATGCTGAAAACATCGAAAACTAATTATGTTTGGTGGTTAAAATATTGAATATATATATATATATATATATATATATATATATATATATATATATATATATATATATATATATATATATATATATATATATATATATGGTAAGACAGGACATTTCGTTCGGTGAAAAAATTGGGTGGAATGGGGAGGTATGATACAGCAACTACAAATCTTAATTCCTCTTATAAAAAAAATTGGATTGACGGGATAATGGATAGTTATCCATTTTTTTATATAAATTTTGTATATGTATATTTTTAAATTTTTAAATTTTTTTTATTAATTAATATTTTTATTAGATAAATTAAAAAATTATTATATGTTATGTTAAAATAAATAATTATAATTAATGTTTTTAATTTAATTAGTTGATATTTATAATTTAAATTATAATATATTTTTATATTTGAATAAGGTAACATACAAAATGGATAAATAAACTAAAATTACTAACAATCTTGAAAAGAATTAGAATACTAACATGTTATATCTAACCTATTTTTTATCATTTTGCATTTATGTATAAAGGTATCAAAATAGACTTAGTTCAATTAACCGATTCGAAAGACTCAAGAAGACTAGGTTAAAAAAATTGTAGTTTAAATTAAATCAAACTTATTTTGTCTTAGTCTATTTAAGTCATAGACTTAGGTCAGGCTAGTCCATTTGCTTATGGATTGATCCGATTTATAGAATAATAGTTATTTAAAAAAAATTATTATTATTATTTTATTAATATATATATATATATATATATATATTACAAATTAATTTGGTAGAAAAGTCACTTATTCAAAGTTTATAAACATCAATTAAATTATAATTAATATTTTAAATTTAATTAATTGATATTTATAATTTAAATTATAATATATTGTTGGGAATATTACTTTGTTATCTTTTATTTAAATTAGGTATTAAGATATTTTATTATCTTTTAAGAGAGAAGATAAAAAGATATTAGGTTATTATTTTGATTTAGGCAGTTATGATTGAGATATTATTAATATTTGATCTTTTGTAATATTTTTACTTTATATATACATATGGTACATGAATAAAAAATATACTCACATGATATATAAAAAATACACATACACAAAACCCTAAAATTTCTCATCTCTCATCAGTGGTATTAGAGTTTTTGTTCCATACAATGAAAGGAGAAAGAAACTTTTCATAAGTCGTTATTCCAATTTTTTATGACGATAGTTATAACTTATAGGATGTGAGAATGTAATCTTATCTTGAAGGATTGGATGTATGAGAAGTTGTGAAAGAAGATTATATTGTTGATCCGTTACTTGAAAATTCCACCGTAACTCAAATGAAATTTCACAGAGGAAGAAAAACAAGGAAGAAAAAAGGTAAATCATGTTTGTTTGTTGATGTTTCACAAATGATCCTCACCAGAAATCATAACGTTAAAGTCACCCAAAAAAATTTGGGATTATTTGAAAGATCAATATGAAGCGGACGAGAAAATTCGAGGTATGAAAGTTCTAAACTTGATAAGGGAATTTGAGATACAAAAGATACAAGACAATTAATGGATACTAGTCAAATAAATTATTACAGAATAATTGAGAAAATTCTGGTAACTGTGTTAGAGAGATATGAAACATCTATTACTTTATTGAAAAATACAAATGATTTGTCTAATATTACTTTGGCAGAAGTGTTACATGTTTTACAAACACAAGAGCAAGAACAACAAATGTACTAAATCACAAGTTTTTTCTGTGTGTCCTTATTGCAAGAAAAATAATCACACATAAAAAAGTGTTGGTGGAAGCCTGATGTGAAATGTCTCAAATGTGGTCAATTGGGACATATAGAAAAGATATGTAAATCACAACCAGAAGAATATAGAAAATATATGTAAATCACAACCAGAAGAAGTCATCAAGGTTATATTGTGGTCAAGGCTTTATGGAAATTTTTAGGGTTTTGTGTATGTGTATTTTTGATATATTATGTGAGTATATTCACATCAGGACTCCACCAACACTTGTTTTTGTGTGTGATTATTTTTCTTGCAATAAGGATTGACAGAAAAGACTTGTGATTTGATACCTTTGTTATTTTTGCCTTGGAGAAAACCTTCACCATGGTATAGTAAAGAACCTTCACCAATGAAGCATGATCTTCTCTCATCAATCTTTGTTGCTCTTGTAGCACTTCTATCAAAGTAATATTAGACAAATCATTTATGTTTTCCAATTAAGTAATAAATGTTTAATATCTTTATAACATAGTTACTATAATTTTCTCAACTATTCTAGAATCAGGAAAATTTTTTGCTTAACAATTTTATTTTGTTAGCAAATAGACATGATTTAGCTTTTGTCTTCCTCGATTTTCTTTCTCTGTAAAATTTTATTTGAGTTATGGTGAAATTTTTAAGTAGTGGATCAACAATGTAATACTTTCCATATATTCAATCCTTTATGATAGGATTGCATTCTTACGACCCATAAAGTCATAACGTTCCCCATTAAAGATTGAAATAACGACTTGTGAAAAACTATGATACCATTGATGGTAATTTTTAGGATTTTGTATACATGTATTTCGATATATTATATGAGTATATTTTTATTCATGTAATCTATCTATGTATAGAGTAAAAATATTACAAAATATCAAATATTAATAATATGTCAATTGCCTAAATCAAAATAATAATATAATATATTTTTATCTTCTCTCTTAAAAGATAATAAAATATCTTAATATCTAATTTAAATAAAATATAATAAAGTAATATTCCCAACAGATCAAGTAATCCGTAGACTTATAAGTTTATAAAATAATAGTTATTTTTTAAATAAAAATAAAAATAATATTATTTTATTAATATTATATATATATATATATATATATATATATTACAAATTAATTTGATAAAGAAATAACTTATTCTAAAAATAAACATCAAAATAAATCTTTAATAATCATTTATTTCAAAATATAATAATTAAAAATAATTATTATCTTAAATTGATAAATAATTAAAAATAATTAATAAATTTATAATTCTTATTTTGAAATTAAATAGATGTATCAGCTTATAATTTATATATTAAATTATTATATTTTAAATAAAAATTAATTTTATTAATTAAAATAAAATTTAAAAAATAAAATTTTATTTTTATTTAAATATTTTATAATTAATTAATTAATTTGGTATAAATATATTAATATTATTTTTAAATCCAAACAAATCAAAATTTGATTTATTAATCCATTAGCTAATATAGGGTAGTTAAAGATTTTGACCAATTAAAAAAAATAAAAAAAAATAAGACGAGTTATCAAAATTTGTTAGGTAATCCATAAAATCAAATCAATCTAAATTGGACGATCCGTTTTCACAACGTCTTACTTTGCTCCCCGCCACAAAAACACATGCATATAATATATCTATGTCTATTCCAATGTCACATCTTATTGTTGTCCACCAAACTATAAACAACCAAACACCTTCCCTTCATGATGGTTTATATATATTGAGAAATTCTATGATAGTCTTTAAATTTTAAAAGTTTTGGGTAACTTACTTCTTTTACATTAATAATGATTAAATTACTGTCGTGTTGTTATTATTTTGTTTAATAATAACGTCAATAGATATTTTAATCTATCTCTAATGGACTATATTTTTTTAAATAATAAGTGAAGTAATTATAATAATAATAATAATAATAAAAAAAAAACTTATGCTTAGTTTGGGACATGCAGTGGTACGTAATTATGTTGCGAGTAATTATGTAAATTTCTTGCGGTTTCTCTTGTGTGACTCACTTGTCTGCAAAGTTGTTGGTGATGAGCTTCTTCTTGGGTGATATCTTGATGACCTTTTAAGTCAGTGATGGTGGCCTATTATGCTTCCTTTGTCAAATACTAACTTTTGCATTGTTTTTTTTCTTTAATGAATAACTTTAGAAAATTGGTTGGTGCCTTACCTAAAGGGAGGATGCTTAATAAAAATATTAAGAAAACTTTAGAATCTGTAATATTTTGATTATAGGAGCAAACCAAACAAAAGAGCAGTCCGGGTATTTAACATTGATATTAAGATAGTCAAATAATATATTATTAATAAATAATAAATAAATATAAAAAAAAAATAAAAGATGAAAGGATAAAATTATAGATATATACTTAAATATATTAAATAATCATTAAGTTTGAGGGGGACAAAATAATAAATTAAAAGGGACAAAATAATAAATTATATAAGAGTTACAAAACTGAAGGGGATTAAGAAGATAAAATTGTAAATAAACAAATAAATATATTAGAACATTAAGATAATTATAAAAAGATCCTCACTGTAGAAGACTCTATTGTATATGTAAATTTAATTTATATATGTATATGTATATGAACTTTTAATTATTTATTAAAGATTTATTATTTTAGTAATTAAATTCAAGTTTAAAAAAATTTTACATGTTGATAAATATAACAGAAAATTAAAATAGTAAATTAAATGAAAAATCACATTATATATTAAAATAAATAAATAAGGATTTAAAATTTTTAAATGAATTAGTATATTAGAATTATTATGTTTATAATATGAAATATAATTTTAAAACAGAGAGAAAATAAACAATTATATTTATTGATTTCATGAAAATACCATATTTATAGTAATTAAATACAATCCATAAACATATAATTTAAAAGTTGTAAATTTTTAAAGTATAAAAAATAATAATTCATAACAATTTATTAGATTTAAGTGGATTTCATATGAAAGTCCACCTAACAAGTTCAAAATTACTTCTCTCATTAAGCTTTTTTTTTTTCAAAGAACATATCAAATTTAATTACTCTTTCGTGTGAACGAAAAAAATTAGATAAATTGAGTTTCCAGAGTTCATTGAGACCAGAACAAACCTCAGTCCCAACTTACCAAACAGAAACTTTTGTTCACATTCACAAAAAATGAAAGCAGATTTGTGTTACTTTAAAAACACTAGTGTGCAACATCCAAACAGTCCCTAAAGAGAAACCTGTTTATGTTTTGAATTTCATCTTGGTCATTGTTTGACCGTAGTTGGAAATTTAACGTAAAATCGCAGAGTTGAATTTTCTTAACGGATTATACGGACACAGCCGCGCCAGGTCATTCCGAAAGCGACCCCTGAAGCAACCCAAGCCACCAATCAACCCCTTAGTGGGGCCCACCCAGCTCACGAGGGTCCCGGCGAAAGAAAAACCCCAAAACGACACCGCAGAGCCGCGAAATGCGAAATCGGAAGAGCGAGAAAACGTAGCCAATGAAGTTGGAGTATTTGATAGGGCAATTCCTGGCCACTACTTCAGATACGTTCACATTCACACGTGGCGCACGTTGGGACCCGCACTCCCATGCTAAACCATTCGCCTACCCACGTGACGTCACGTGCACTCGACCCCATACCATACCCTTACTCTGCTTCTTTCTGTTTCTTCTTTCCCGAAACTCCGCTACAGTTTTACTTTCGTGAGCTGCTTCTTCTTCGTCGTCTTCGAATTCTCTTTTTGCATGTTCGTTTCTCTGTCGATCATTGAAGTGTGAAGCGACGCCGTTTCGTTCTCGACTCGGTTTGATGGAGTGCGTTTCTCTGTGATCTCGAGGGGAATCCGGCGATGATTGTGTTAATTTGGTGGCTGGTGTTTGATTCTGGTTTCGGTTTTGCGGGTTTGTTTCCTCGAATTATATGAAATGTTTGATTGGAACGACGAAGAGGTGTGTCAATTTTTTCAACTTTTTACTTTTTATTTTGGAATTTTTAGTCTAATTTTTGGTTAGTATGTGATCCAGTTTTTTTAGTGTAATTTTGTTGGTATTATTACACGTGCTGAGGTTCTTGTTGTTGCAATGAATTTGATGATTTGTTGTGTGTGTGTGTGTATGTGTGGCTGTTTGAACATGGAGTATTACTAGATTGAGGCGAGGGATGTCGTCTGTGTAGGTGTAAAATTACTTTTTCTTTTTGGTTGAAGGGTGGTGATACATATACTGACACCCCGAACAACCCTTCAACAATTATAAATATTAATAAAATAATAAATATTATTATTATATTCAGCTAATTAGTTGAAGTTTGATTGTTTGTGGGAAATGGAATTGTCAAATAAACGTTGTCCTTGGTTAAATGCTTATGTCGTGCACATATTGGGAACTGTAACGAGTGTCCGTTATTGTTTGTTGTTTGTTATGTCTTGGAGGCTTAATTCTCAGCTAGAGAGAGAGAAAAATTGCTTACTACTTAGTTTGTTTAGATGGCAATAGCATTCCTTGCAGTAGTGAAATTGGAAAATGACAAAGTCGTGATATGGTCAAATACATGAGATGACCTATTAGCCTTATGTATGAAGAAGCCTCGGAAACTAAGTCATCATAATGGGCATTTAATAAGAGATTTGGCACCAAAAAAACCACTGTCATTATAATCAGGGGACTAAGCGCACTGGGAAAGGCAACTGATTTAGGGTGGTGCATAGCCATAAGAGCTGCTACTATAAACATCTCATCCACAATCTCACTGACTATGATCATTGATAGACTGGCGATAAAGCATTGAAAAGTCCTGGACTAATGGAGTCCAAGCCAAGAGAAAGGATGAAATCATTCTCTAATTGTTCAATGTAATTTTGCTGTTAACTGAGACCCACTATTAATTGTTCTTGAGCGAAGGCCAGTGACAGGTTGAAGTAGAAGGAGAGGAAGAGGAAAACTGAAGGGCAAGAAAGATTCTTTGATTGTTGAAGCTTGGAGCCTTTGTGAATTGGCAGCAGTTGACAAAGTGGGGGAGAAGAAAGTTGTGGAGAGAATATTGACGGAACAAACAATTTTCTAGGGAGGTGGAGGGGAATTTTGAGTAAAAAGAATGAAAAGTGAGGTGAAGAGAATAGAGATCTCATTTAGCAGGATCTGTGGTGGCTGAGTAGAGGGATTACTGATGGAAGGTTCAGGCATAGGCAAATGTAGTATCAGGTCTAGGAGTGAATCCAAAACTGTTTGTTGTGCAGGTAATGAGTGGTTCCTAAATCATAGATGTACATCTTCTGAGATCACTAATGTGGTTCCTAATCCAACTGTGAATAAACAATAATCGTGCTTAGATTGGTTGAACCCATTGGCAGCTAAGGTGGAAGATAATTGTTAAACACTGTTGTGAAGCTTGCCTTAAGCCATTGAATGACTTATTCAACTTGCAAACAAGATTTTTATCGTAAGTGGGATATCCTAATGGTAAATGTGTGTAGACTTTGTCAAATAATTCTCCATTTAAGAAAGTGTTGTTGACAGCTAACTGTAAAAGGTGCCATTGTTTGACCAATGCAACAACTAACAAAACTTGAACAGAAGTTAGGTTTGTAACAGGTGAAAATGAGTCTGAAAAATCAATTCCAGCTTGTTGTTTGTACCCATTCACAACCAAACAGGCCTTATAATGGTCACTCTTACCATTTAATTTATATTTCAGCTTATATATATCTAGTGTCATCCCCTTTGCATCTGCTATTACCCGACCACTACCCCTCCTTGGTTGGATAGGTAACCAAATGTTCTCCATATCCATATGGTCTTACCTCCATAACAGTCATTAGTCAACCCATTTAGCCAATTTCTCTTATTAACTAGGCCTAATTAGAAGGCCCATTGAATTATATATGTTGAGGGTCCCCTATTCATGGAGCACAACTAAACAATGGATAATGAGGAAAAATTCCATTTATCAAGGGAGATATAATACCCATATCTCGGGTCCATGATCCTAATATTCCAGGGTCCATAATCCATATATTTTGGGAATCTTCCTAAGCAAGGATCATCACTCATAAATAGGCTCTCAAACATATAACAAAACAAGACCGAAAATACACGACTATTTGATTAATTGCTCTAGTAACAAAAGAGACCTCAAATAATCTCAAATTATTGGAACAATATCTCAAGTTGGAACATTTATATTATATGCATCTAACTTGTTACTTATATAGTCAAAATTTTAGGATAGTGAGGATATCAACAATAGTGGATCTAGACCATTGATTTTGGGGAGGGGGGACAAATAATATATTATTAATAAATAATAAATAAATATGAAAGGGTAAAAATAGATGAAAGGGTTAGAGGACAAAATTGTAAATATACAAGTAAATATAATTAATGATTTGATTGAGCTTATTGTAATTTGTGCGTATTCAACCTTTTCCTTGATTAGATGATAATGTACCTCAATATTTTTTGTCCTCTCATGGAAAACTAGATTGATTGTCATATGTGTAGAATCTTTTAATTTAATTTCTCTTAGAAAAAACTTTAGCCATATGAGTTTGCAAGTAACTAAACTCATAACTCTATACTATGCTTTAGCATTAGATTTTGCTACAACAATTTGTTTCTTGTGCCTTTAGGATATCAAATTTCCTCCAATTGGCATAGTACCTTGGGGAGGATTATCTATTCCTTGGTGAGCCACCCAATTAGAAAACCCAAAAATTCAAACATATCTTTTGTCTTCATAGATGAGATCTTTGTCTAGTGCATTCTTAATATACTTAAATATGTGAATCACAACATCCCAAATAGTCTTGGCCTTGTGAAAGAAATTGAATTACATAACTAATTCCAAATCAATATTTGGGTGAATAAGTGTAAGGTAGTTAACTTTTCCAACTATCCTTCTATATATACTAGAGTCAAACAAAACTAGGGTCCATAGGACTATCAATTAGTTTGACATTTAGAAGGGCAATTTCTTCAAGAATATTAAAGGCATATTTCCTTTGGGAGATCACCAAGCCATACTTGGATTGAGGAACCTTGATGCCTAGAAAGTACATAAGTCTACCATGGTCTTTAGTTTGGAATTCGAGGGAGAGCTTAGGTGAGCAGTGCCAATTTGATCACTATATGTAATGATAATATCACCCATATATACAATGAGGTAGATGCATTCCTAGGGTGAGTTGTAATAAAACACAAAGTAATGTGCTTCATTGCAAATCATGTCGAAATTGTTGCACAATTGTATGAAAAGAACCAAACCAAGCATGGGGTAATTGTTTTAGCCCATAAAGGATCTTGTGAAGTTGACATACCATGGTTGAGGATTCGACAAATGGAAGTGGGACTACTTCTTACCCCTCCTTTGAAGTGCACACATTTCATCAATTTTGTTTGTATCTACTTAGGGTGGGAGAAGGCATCACCATGAAAGTTAGGAATGGACACTAACAAAATAGCAGAGAGACAAGTATAGTGCAAAGGAGAAAGACATTAATAACCTAGAGTAACAAGTGATGAGATTGGTGAAGACTAGATCAAATACCTTTTTGCAAAGAGATGGGCCAATGATGGTGTTAGGGTAGGTTTGGATTTGATAAAGGAGATAACAACAGGGAAGAGTTTGGCAAGGTTCACTACTATATCTTTCTACTCCATATTAGTGGTTGGTGTAGGGCATGGGTGACAATTATATGTTTGTAGGGTGTACCTCCTATTATTGATTAAGGAAACATCTTTGTGCATTGGATAATCACTCAAGTAATATAAGGAAGAGGAATAAGAGAAATGTACTTGTTTGGGATATGCAATTTGTGATTTGTGACTCAACGTAAGGACCTATCTTAATAAAGATACATTAATAGATTTAACATACCATTGCAGATTAGGTGAGGAACAAAGATAAACATTTTGTTACTAATGGTAGCTAAAGAAGATTGTTAGCAATTAAGAATTGAAAAGTGAAATTGAAACTAAAGTACTTGGATTTTGGTGGCTCTTAAAGCACTAGACTAAATTTTTGTAGGTAGTAAGGGTGACACGATGATGATCAATGAGTGACTGGTCTCTATCAGAGGTGCCAACTCCACGTTAGCAAGACAAAGGGATTTCCCATGCAACTTTCAACAATGATCAATGGTAAGGCCATGGTGGTGACTATGGTCACCCTTTTGACTGCTCGTGAATTATGATGTACCAGTTGGAGAACGTTCCAAAAGTATTATTTTCAAAAGCTAGAGTAGATATATCATACATGTACACCATAGTAGTGGGGTTGTAATGGTATCCTTGAATGGAATCCAAAGTGATGCATGATATAAGAATATGGTCACATTGAAGGGCAATACATCAATCCAAGTATGAAAAGTAGCTTCTCAACAAATTTAAGTTGGACTATGTCAACTTTTGTTCTTGGATTACATGAGACTTCATTGTCAAGTAAGGCAAATCATAAAACAGTAGACACTACTTGACTTGCATGAGAATATCTAACTAATATTATAACAGTGTAGTATTGAAGTGATGTGACGATCAGTCTAATATCCACTAGTCATAACCAATTTAATATTTGCATGTGATAATACCAAATTAGTTATTGTTTTTAACTGAAATACACAATTAACTAGAAATTATCCTTTCATTAGTTCAAATGTTGAGTGTAGTTGATAATAAAGTTCTTGTAAATTTTGTTATGTCCTGTTCTCTTGCTTTGTAAATTTGTATTCTTCCTGGTATGTATTGATGTTACGAATGCCAACATCTGAAGTGTATTTCTATTATTGTTGGTTTCAAACTTATCAATAATAATAATAATAATGTTGTTTAATGATGGATTCTTTTCAGCTAGCTAACATACTATGGGGTGAAGGAGGTGAGAGTGATGATCATATTGTGCCTTATCCAGCGGTAAGTGAAGATGTTAGAAATAAGAAAGAATTCAATCAAGAAGCTGCTACGACTAAGCTCCCTGAGCTAAAGAGACTAGAGGCTAAAACTGATTTTCATGAAAGAAAGCTTGGAAGCCATCCTGACCTTGACAATAGTGTAGAACTACCTGCCTCAGGATATGAAACACATGCCTGGCCTGATTTGTCTTTATCCAGTTCAACTAAAATTGATCAAGGATCCCCGGGGACAAAAGTATCTAAAAATTCAAGAGAACTTGATAAATTTAGTTCATCAAGAGATGGTAAAATTGCTAATTTCGTGGAATTTTGACTAGATAATCATTGTATTCATTTTTGCATTTATGGAGGCCTCTATTGATATTTTTTCTGCTTGTGAAACAAAATAATTAACATGCATGATATGTAAATATGTGGCCATTTCTAATTGTACTAATGTTTGACAGAAGAATCTATACAACATGAAAAGGATGCTGAAATTTTCCAAAATACTCAAGAAGGTAAAGAGCAAGGTGATTTTGTTGATTATGGATGGGCCAACATAGGAAGTTTTGATGATCTTGATCGAATTTTTAGGTAAAGTAAATTATCTGTCACATTATATAATGTGTGTATGATAAGATTATGTTACTAGTGTCTTTAATATCATTTCATTCTTTTTACTAAATTACTGAAGTCTAAAATGGTATAAATATTTTCCTCTCTTGTCATCTTATTTATAAGATTTGTGATATTCATCACTTCTCGCAACTGCTCTACTTTGCTCAATCTTAGTTTTAGTTTCTTCAATCTAGCGTGAATGGAAAAATGTGCAGCAACACATTTAAAGGTTTGACGATAAAGTAACATCATTATAAGTGAAAAAGTGGAATGATTACATTATGAATTTAAAATTTTACACTTTAAACTAGAAAAAACTTCATTTTCCAAAGTTTGAACGTAGAAATCTTGCTACTTGATAGTTTTACATCCCATGGTTTTCATCATATGGTGCATGTGATGGATGACATGCATTTTTTAAAAGTTCTGATTGACAGTGAATATTTAGACATACATCTAGTTTTATAGTTATTAGTCAATTATTTCACAATAGCATCTATCTGACTAAATATTCTCACAAGTGATGGTTTTGCAGCAATGATGACCCTATATTTGGCCATGTAAGTCTTGATAATTCTAATGAACTTTGGTCCTCCGAAGATGTGAGTAATAACAATCTAGCACCTTTACCATTAGACACGCCAAATTCATCAGGTGCTTTGAGGAATGGAACTGATCCTTTGGAAATCAAAGAAAAGTATGTTCAATGTAATGACAAATCGTTGGACCTTAGCTTTGAGAAGATTGGGGATCTTGCATCTCAAGTTATACAAAGTTCATGCACAGGCACAGCTAGTAGGGGAAATGACAGGGTTAGAAGTAAGCATACTGGAAAGGAACAACAAGTATGTCAATTTTCACAATGATCCAATCGTTTTATTATTTATCTATCAATTTATAAAGTAGACTAAATAAATAATTGTTTCACTTTTGTCATTTATTTAGACTATATGTTAGATAGTTGTTTGCTGTAATTTCTATTGGTATTCTGAGAAATATGGCAACAATGGGTCACTTGGACAATTCATGAAAGAAATAGAAGCTGGATTAAGTTTATTGGGACACCTTAGTAGGAAGAGAATCCTTTATGTTGAATGCATCTACAGTGGATGATCTTGTTTTTCTTTTACATAAATAAATAGGCAATTTAGGAAAAGTTTATATATGTTTGCCTATAGCAACTCATAGTTAGACTATGTCGATAATTTATGTTTATCAATTCAGTATAACACCAACATACATTATATATAGCAGATGGTTTGCCATGAAGCTAAAAACTTGGAGATAAAACCATGAAACAAATCCCCAAACATTAGCTACATACTAGATCATATAAAAAGGAAACAATATTCCCTTCATAATTACAAATATACAGCTAACCACTCCTTTACTATTGGGATTAATAATGCATCGATTTTAGAACCATTTAAAAAACATAAAACATTCCCCCTCAAGTTGGTGAATAGAGATGTCAATCATTTTTAGACTGCAAATATTTCTGGCTTTGGGAATAACTTTGTAAACATATTAGTTTCTTGTGACTGGGTTGGCACATAGTGTAGGTTGAAAGTTCACAATTCAATCTCTAACTTTATATAGTTGTCAATACTCACATGCTTTATTCTATCATGTTGAATAGGATTGTGAAATATGCTTGTAGCTAATTTACTATCAATTACAATAATCAATAATCAATAAAACTGCCTCTAAACTTTCATTCAGTCTTGCTCCATTGCCAACTATCAATCATAATCGCAATGAAAACTAATCATAGAGGCTCATCTAACAATATTGTATTCCATAATTCTAACACCGTTGATACTCCTCCTACCTTGATGGTTGAATCTCCATCTTGCTTCGTGAGCAAGTCTATATCGGATCATCAAGTAGAAAACCACCTTTGTAACTCACATTTTTCATTGTTCACATTTAGCATAAAACTTCACATTCATTATGTTTCTCCCTCTTCATGGAAATATCAACTCCTTGTTCCATCAAAACTTTTTCAATCTTTGTTCATGTTATTTTTCTTAACCATTAAGCAACCCTTTTAACCAACTAACTAACCCATTAATATTCTATCTTAATACCTTACATCTGATAAGACACCTTGAGCAATTGCTCAATATTTTACTTTTTCACTACTCCTTGCAACAACCATTTGCTTCTTGTCCATGTCACAACATTTCCCCACTCTTTTGTGTAATACCTTATAGTTGACATTGCATCTTCTATTGAACATGCCTAATATGCATAGACAAAACATTCAATTATTTGATGATTGTTTTGCTTTGGAACAACCAATAGGAGCACCCACGGGACCTAGCTCCCAAAGTTCCCAAAACAGAAAAATAAGGACACCATTGGACTTGGAGGACATTGACGAGTCAACTGGTTGTGATCGGCCTTGAGTTCGGTCACTGGAAGGCAGCGCGTGAGACACACGTGCCTGAGAACAGCTCCTAGGAAAGCCGTGCATGAGGCAGAAGATGGAGGAGTGATTTGTGGAGGTGGGTCACAAAACCCCACCTTCACAAGACCAAACAGAGACGAGCATCGGTGGCAGCCCACGGTAGCCCGAGATGATAGGGTGACCGGAAATTAGTGCGGGATCTTACCCGCTTTGATACCAACTTGATAAAACTATTTAGGGTTCAATATAGTGAGCATAGGCATTGATACAACTATATTTATAATAGAAGGGATACAACAGATAGAATATGGGCCTCAACCCAATCCCTTAACCTAGCTTAAGGAACTTACAAAGAGAATAAGTAATAATAGGCAAAACAAACATGTCTCAACTTATGTTATTAGCTTAAAATAGGGAAACTGAATATTCTTTAATTATGTTCACTCTCATATAAATTGAATATCTGCTTTGTGGTCTAAACACACTAAATTCATCATATCCCTTCTTGTTCTCTCTTCTCAACAAAGGTAATAAACCCTCTTGTTCTAATAAGATTGGATACTTTAGTAGGGTCCCTTATGAATGAGGTGAAACGGTTTTAAACTTTGATGAGAGTTCTCTGGATGAGGTTTTCTTGACTGTTTCGCATTAATATAGTAATCACATTGGAAAGAAGAAACATCATTATTGATGAATACTTTGGGATACAAGATTTTGAGATAATTGAAATTCAGGGTGCTCTAAACGTTCGTACCAGAGCATGAAATCAAAATTTGATAAAGTAGACAGCTGTACTCTGCAGATTCTCAAAACCAGAATTATCATGGTGGTTGGAATAGTCATGGCAGAAGAAGAGGAGGCTGCAGTGGCCGTGGTCGTGGCTGCAGTGACAACTGTACTATGTTGAGTCTTTCAGAAGATTGGGCATGAGGCCTCCTTGTGCTATCATCTGTGTTATCCAAATTATATGCCCCCAAAATAATCAGTACATTGGATGCAATAACAACTCTGGTTCTTTCCACCAGATTCTTCTCCACAATATTTCCGGCCTCCTAGACCACCTGCCCAACCAGCAAATCAGTCTCAATCTGCTCCTCAAGCCTTTGTCATAAGCCCCACCAATAATTCTCAGTGGTGGTATCCTGACTCAAGCATCAAATCATGCAACTCCTGACCCTTAAAATATTCAGCAACCCACACCTTATGAAGGTCCAGAGCAGATTTTGGTCGGCAATGGGCAGGGTCTTGCCATTTCTTCTTCAGGATCCTCTTATTTTGCCTTCTCCTTTAATCCCAATGTTAATCATGCTTTTCATAAGTTGTTACATGTTCCTTGCATTACAAAGAATATTTTCAGTGTCAGCTGCTTTGCCAAAGACAAAATATTTTCTTTGAATTTCATCCTCGTATGTGTCTTGTTTACTAATGATATTCTTCTTGGACGCAAGATTGGTGCAGATTCTCAGCTTAGGAGCAAACTCAAACTGTAATAGTATAGAGTTAAAAAGGAAATAATTAAGTTTAGTTACATTAAAATTTATTAAATGGGCGTAATTTATCAATTCAAGTATTATTTGCTACTAACTTTGACTTTAAATATTACCTAAACAACTATCAATACTGGTAATCAAATATTTAAATTAAATTTAAGTATAATTTATTTTTAAAATGAAGATTTTTGTTTTAAACTTATGTAGAGAAGTAATTTCATCAAGGCATTATAATAAGTTGGGCTTGATTTGAGGTTGACAATCACGATGAATTTGTGTTCATAAGTTATAAACATATGTACTAGGGTTAGTGATAGTGACCATGTTCCTAATGGAATGGACAACTGGTAGTTGTAAATAAAAAGAAATGATACATGAGCAAATGAGACAGTTCATTTATATTGTTGATTTCATCCATAATATTGCACCGTACCAACCAACATTCCTGGTTAGATTTCTCTAGTCCTTTCACATGCGAACTAAATTTTGGTTGTTTTTGTTTCTGGAACTTCTCGTTTTGGAAGCTTAAAGCTGAAGCTCCAACCCTTTTGGCAATATAGGTTTTGTTATATCCAAAAGAATTTATATTCTTTAGGAGTTTATAGACTGGTAGATATTTCCCTTAGTTACTAGGTTGAGGAAATTTGAAGTATGCAATTTAGCACCTTTAGAAAGCACTGGTTCTTTTCATGATGAATATCTTTGTTTTTTGAACTTTATTTCTGTGTTTAGGACTGCACTTTTATTGTGTCCTTTGATGTATGTTTATTCTGATTGGATGTGTATGTCTGTCATACATGGCTGAATCCCTAGGCATAATTATGTGCTACAGCTCTAGCAGAAGATTTATTTCACCTGTTTCCTTCTCAAAGTCAAGTAAGTATTTGATCTCTGTCATTTCATATATATGCAGGTTTTTAGGCAAAAGAATCATTTGAAAAGTCGGAAAAAATCACAGGTAAAACAAGAGGAGAATACCTTACAGGATTTTTATGGTAATTGGTCTCCTTCAGCACCGGCTAAACAATTTGAGAATGAATTGTCGCCATCTGTCATACAATGTTCTCCCTCTGTGATTCTTGGTCAACAAAAGCAGATCCAAGGGGCTGAAACCTTATATCACAATGTCATAAATCCATATGTGGTTTCTTCTGTGTATGAGAACATGAATAGTACATACCCTGCGATGCCAATGCTATCGCAGACTCAATCAGGTGATATTAGGAAGCAGCCAATGCTTTCTGGGTTCGAAGTGCCTCCTGGTATAGTGAATCCTGTGAAAAATTATGTGGACTCGGTCAAACCCCAAAGCATGACTCCTCAGGAGAAAATTGAAAAATTGAGGAGACGGCAGCAAATGCAGGCAATGATTGCTATTCAGAAACAACAGCAACAATTGGGCCATCAAGTTCCTAGCAAATCAATCACTCAAAAATGTCTCCCAGAAATTCAAAGCCATCTTAGTGATGGTACTGATGAAGATCTAAGAACTCTTCCTGCTCCAGATCCAACTATTGAACAGGATGATTCTAATACAATGTCAGTGGCAGTTGGTAATGATTTCCTTGAAGAAACCACATTGTACAGGCTTCAGGATATTATATCAAAGGTATGGTTGAATCGATACTTGCTAATAATATGCACTATATATAATTGTTTCCTTGAATACTAATCTGGACATGGCTACAATGCCGAGGTAAACTTTTTATACAGTTAGACATCCAAATAAGACTCTGCATCAGAGATAGTTTGTTCCGGTTGGCACAAAGTGCAATGCAAAGGCATTATGCTAGTGATACTAGCAGTACAAACAAAAGCAGCAGAAAACTTGAAGTTGCAGCCCGAGAAGAAAGCAATAGCCAAAATAGGTAGGAAAGCTACCATAATGCACTACAACTTTAAAGACCATTACTTATTTTTTGTTTTTTATACAAGCACTGATTATTATGAATTCAGTATCATTCCATCATGATTATCATCAAAAGCAGAAGAAAGATGGTATAGATTTATGTGAAAATTTCTGGTGCTACTGAGATCTTTATATTCCTTTTTTCCTCACTGATGGACAAATGGGCAAATTAAAATACAGGAAAAAGTTGGAATATATTATGGTATATACGCATCTTCTGCCACAACTTTATGAGTAAAATATCTTGTGCTTGAGTTTCTTGCTACTATATTCTAGGAAGTTCAAATCTTCCTCTATGGTTAAGTCCATTTGTTTGCACCAAAGTTCTCGATATAGCTAATACCAAAGACATGTTGCAGATTTGTAAGCCAATCAAATCTATTTCCCTCTATATGCCCCTTTTTATGGGTGAATGAAGTTCAAAATCAGTGTCGGTTCTTACATTGTTTTGTATCTGGTTCTTTGTGGTGTTCTTTTAATATTTGGGTGTGCCGAGTGAGTGCTCCTTGAACCAATTTTGGTTTACTAACTTTGCTGCTTTTGGTAGAAATAAACAAGTTGAAGAGAATACTCTCCTAATCTTTTTGTTTTCTATCTTTGTACGTTCACTGTATTTGTCTTTCTTTGGAACTGTCCCTGTCAGTTAAAATTAACAATTTAAAGAGAACACTCTCCTTTAGTATCTCCGTGTAATCCTTCTCTTTATTTCCTTTGTGCATTCACTGTATTTGTCTTTCTTTGTAACTGTCCCTGTCAGTTATAATTGTCAGCTATAACTGACTCTGGGAAGTATAGCACCTTTACTCTTAAATTGTAGCTAAATAGTTAGGCCAAGTAAATTGTTGGTTTGTGCTGCCCAGAATAGACACGTGCCTTTGTTGTTCAACTGAACATTAATTCATGGCTTAAGTAGGGCTTCTATGTCATAGTTTACCTTATTTGAGATTACAGTATTATCTCCAAACTCCAGTAAAATTATAAGCATGATTATCTTGTAAAATACAACGATGAATGTTAGATCTGTCATTCGTTTTTACCGTATGAACCGTGTTGGTATCTCAGGATGTTGATTGTACTGTAAAGATTCTATGTATTATCGTGTTGATTAACTGTAGATGTGCTATGTTGCTAACTATTTTACTGTATGAACCATGTTGGTATTACAGATATGCCAGAATGCCTGATGTCGAAACAGAAACGAATCCCATTGACAGAACTGTCGCCCATTTACTTTTTCATAGGCCTATGGAGTTAACCCAGAATTACTCTGACAAGCTGGAGTCGCCTGTTTCTACCAAGGTGAAATGTGAAAGCAAAGCAGCTAACCTGGTGAACTTTCCCGTGAGTTGCTTACCAAATGAGGACTCAAAGAACAATCAACGGCTTTCTCAGCTTGGATTTAAGAATTCCTGGTTTGATGCCCAATCTATGGATCAAATTAAAAATAGTCCCTGCATAGACACTTCTGAGAATGCATCCAATACACAGGAATTTCAAGCCTCTCAATGAAGAAGATGGTTCTCCAGATATCTTAGGGGAAATCCTTCCTTATTACATCCATGCTTATTGGTATGCTTTCCACTTTCAATTATATATGGATGTACTGGTCATGCAAATGTTTTATTTTATTGTCAGCCATTCAGATCATCAGCAAGCACACATATCGCTGTAGAATCCTCGGAACCAGTTTCATGGTTATCAGTATTATTAGCGTTTCTTCTGTTTCAAAACACGACGGAATGTGTATATCAGTATCTGACCATATGTGAGGTCGTGAGTGCTATGTTGTTTTTTATCATAACTACAAATAAAAGTGTCTCGCAAAGTCACTCAGATGTCGAAGTTAAGTCTTTAGATGACTGACTTAGACCAGGCTTTAAAGTCGTATTTCTGTCACCGTTTGAGATTGAAACATAAACTTGCGATTTTTTATTTGAACTTAAGAATGTTCACTGTTTCTGCCAAAAAATTAGCAGAGATATACACAACCGTAATGTGTTCATCTTAATTGAATTTTCAGGTTGACTGGCATTCTTATATGGGACAGTTTACCCGGTTAGTCTTCCCATAGTATTTCAAGTGGATGCTTATGTTTTCGCATGCTTTAGAAGACAAAATAGATTAGTGACATTCTGATAGTGTACTCAGTATGTGCTGTAAAGATTAATTACCTAATTTGAGTAACTATTTTGGTCCTTGTCGGCAATGAGCTAAGAAATCATCTATTTAATTCTCAGATTTTGGAAGAAGTTGTAACCGTTTTTTCTGTTGTCTGACGTTGAAGACTGTGTTCTTGATATGAAAGAAATAAATTATGAATGATAATGGCGATGAGGACGTGGTTAGGATTGCGTAACGATTACATCACGAGGGCGTGGCACATCACATCATGTAAATTCCTTCAAGCGTCCTTCGTCGCTAACAGCTCTCACTAAAGTTTGAAATTGAATGTGATCTCTCACCACAAAACACTGCGTCTACTGAGTATGTATCTCGTTCGATAATTTCCTTTCATTGAGGTTTCCACAATGAAAACTGATTACGCAAGCGTTAGAGTTACAGTTAAAAAAACTGAAGTTTGGTTGAGCTCCACATCGTAACTCAAGTATGATGGAAAATGTGTTTAATTAAACTTTATGTTTAAATTGTTTTTGTTATGAAGTACAGTATGAAAAAGGAAACTTGCGGCATTAATATCCCGCTTATTTGTACTGGGAATTCTCTAACTCGTAACAAATTCAAATATATTGGATTTAAATTATTTTCATTAAGTTTTTTAAATAATTCATTTGGATAAGAAATTTTAAATTTTTTATTTGAACAAAGTATTTTTTTTTATTATTATTAAATATACAAATTATCATCATGAGGTTTGTAATATGTCTTGTCCGTAGTATTTGACTTTGAGTTACATGGGTCCAATTAGGCTTAAGTGTATGATGATGGATTGGATTAGGATAAGTTACATCAATACGAATTGGACTACTAATATTTGGTCAAGTTGGGTTGTACTGGTTAGTAAGGAAGGATTGATTAATGATGAGTTAGCTAGTGTCGATACAAGTCAAGCTGATTTGGATTGGGTGTGATGGGTCTAGTTGTAACAATCAGATTACGTGGATTTGATTGAATAAGAATAAGACAAGTTTGATTGAAACAAATTTCAAAAATAAAGTAGAGATAAAATAGGCTTGGGTTAGATTACGACATAATAAGTTGGGTAATGTCAAGACATTGGGTTGAGGGAAATTAAATTAGAATGAGTTATGTCGAATCAAGATAAGTAAGCCTGAATAAAATGGATTGGGATATGCGAGTACGGTTGGACTGAATAATTAAATTTAATGTGGAACTTAATTAGAAAGAATTGAATTTGATCAATAAAAATGAATCTTAAGAAATTATTATTCCAAAAAAAGATAAAAGTAAATATATATATATATATATATATATATATATATATATATATATAATCGGTAATATAAATGAAGCATATAATGATGTTTTATTTTAATGTACAATTTTTTTTTTAGTTTTAAGACATTATTTGAAAAGAAAAATCTTTTAAGAAATATGATTTTAATTTGAATAACTATAATAAAAATTATCATCAATTCAGTGATTTTTTAATTAAATTAGTGTTTATGGACGTGAAAAAAATCATTTTATTTTAAATCTGTCTACAGCGTAATTGTTTGATATGAAAAAAAAAAGTTTGAAATTGAAAATTTTATTTTACATGTTTTTTATCATATTTTTCTATATCATAAAATATGTGAAAATATAATTAAAAAATTACTATAATAGAAATATCACGTTACTTTTATTAGAATATCTAAAGCGATAAATAGAATATTTTTCTAAAATATCAAATTATTTATTCTTCACTTCTCACAAACTTTTATATTAATTTATTTTAATAATTTATAAAAACGATGATATGACAAATAAAATTCTTCTATTATATATATTCATCTCACTTTAATAAAATATAATTTAATTTTTTATTCAATTATTAAAAGATAATTCTTGTTTACATCATATTTTTCAAAAACAGTAGATATAACTAAAATTTATTATTTTATATTTTATTTTTTAACTTAAAATCATTAAAAATTTAAAAATATATTTTAATTAAAATAAATAATAATAATAATAATAATAATAATAATAATAATAATAATAATGAAATGTACTACCTCATTACCGAATTAAAAAGTTTAGAAAAATATTCTTTTAAACTAGTCTAATCTTAAACTGAATCACTACTAACCCTTCTCTTGCAACACTCAGCTATTTTTAAACTGACCCACTCAGATTACTACACCACGTACCGGTAAGTGACATGAGAATCAACCATTGGACCAGTATGAGTGATTTTAACCACTTCTCCTTTCTCCCAAGCATAATACCGAGCTATAACATCAGTTTTTAACATATAAGGAAGCTGAAAAGAAAAAGAAAAAATAACATTTATTTATATCACAACCAATTTTATTATGTAAATAACTTTCATATCTTCAATGACTTTTTTTTAAAATTATATATCTAATAAATTATATAACTTTTAAAAAATAAAAATGAAATATTTATTTATAGTTATTTTACTTTAAATCCTTAAAATATTTTTTAGTCTCTCCAATATATATATATATATATATATATATATATATATATGAATATAGTTTAAATTAGAGAATGATATATCATATGTAATAAGATTTTTTTTTTTTGTTGTTGAAATTATGTGACATGCAAGACAAGTGAAAGAAACATAGGAATTTAAATCAAGATAGTTTATTTATTGAGTATCTAATTTGAAAAAAAATTATAAGTATTTAAAACAGAAATGGATCATATATATATTATAGATAGAAAACTTATTTGAATTTAGATTTTTTTAAATTAAATTAGCATTTATAAGAAATCACTAAACCAGATAAAGTAGTAAATCTAATTCATAATTCTATGTCGAACCACAAAAATATGATGTTTTAATTTATTTTTAACTTTAAGTACCATAATATATTATTATTATTATTATTATCACTTGAAGTTTTCTCATAACAATTGTTTTTTACCTGCTTCTCGTCCAATTTATACTTTGTGAGCAACGCTTTCTTCTCCTCGTCACTCAGTATCTCATACTTTGGTTGCAGCACATGCTTTGTAATGTTCACAAACAAATCCTCAATCTAAAGCAAAGGAAATATTAGGGTTTCGTTCACATTTGATTCTATGTCTCTTTACTAATTCATCAACCATAAGATGAAGATCAGATTTCAAACAATAGGATTACTTATTCTTACTTTCATTTTATCATTGTATTATTAAAAATCATTAAAATAACATTTAATCTTACAATATATATATATATATATATATATATATATATATGTTACAGAAAATATAACTAAGTATTGAATTGATCTTTCTTAATCCACTTAATTTTTTGATGTTTCATATCATGATTTTAATTAAAGAAAGATTAAGTTAAAAAAATGTAGAAGATGAAATTAATAATTTCTAGAGTTGTTTACCCTGATCATCTCAACTTTGAATGGCAAGTGGTTCAATTCTTTCTTTGCGAAGGAAGTCATTTGACTCTCCACAATGAGTATGAGCGATTTCAAGCTTCTTCTATCCACGATCTGGCTGCATATATTCATCACTGTTACCTTTTTTATGTTCTCCGTTCCTGCAAACGCAACCTGAACCTGCGCGCCAAAACGCTGTGGTTATTGAAATGGATGAGGAAACATACGGAAAAGGAAAATAGAAATAAAAATGAAAGGTTGAGTTGAGAAGAGAGAAAAGTGTGTACGGTGTTGGAGGAGTTGGAGAGATGCGAAACGCAGAAACCAAGGGTTTGAGGGTTCGGTTTTTGGCCGAAACGGGAGCGGAATTCAGCGAGCGAAGGAGTGAGGTTGGTGTGCTGAACGACTTCGTAGCCTCTGTCTCCGAGCATCTCCAACACCGTGCGACGACTCAGGAAGTACCGAATGCTCTCCTTGCTCTCGTTGTCTGTCAAGCTCGCCACGCATTCCATTGTGGTTGCTGCAAAATGCAAATGCAAATACAAATACTAATGATTATGTATCTGATTCCGTTTCCGACTTTTCAGTTACTGTGATGAGCGATTGAGACAATAAATACACATTCATGGAAGTTGAAAGAGCGTTTTCAGACAAATGCGAATGGCGTGACTTTTACTCTCTTTATAGAAAAATAATAATAACAAGGAAGTGAATAATATAAAAAATATATGCCTGATCTCAAGGTGTTGTTTAATGATAAAAGAAATTTTTGAAAAAAATTTGTAAATAATTACAAATATTCAAAAAAGACCTTAGGCCAGAAGGAGAGCATGTAAAAGATATATAAATGAAGGTTTCATTCTCAAGCCTACAAAATAGAACACTATATTTTTAAAAGAAAATTTCGGCAACATTTGTTAGCACAAAATATTTTTCTCACTTATTGTTCTAAGATACTACATTTATATTTATATTTTTTATGTATAAATAATTATTGTTATTCAAGGATTATAAGAGTTGATTCTAACTGGTATAGATTATAAGAGGTCTAGTAAGTTTTTCAAGGATGATTTTTTACTTTAAATAATGAGAATAGTTATAATTTATGAAAAATGTTTTTACATCATTCTACTTTATATATGATTTATTCTTAATATATTTTAATAAGAAAAGTTTATTTATGTTTAAATATTATCTTAAAGTTTTTGTTTAATTGAATTCAAATAATATACAACGATTTTGACTAAACATTAATTGAGTTGACCTAATTGAAATCAATAGTTAATGGGAGTGAGTAAACATTAGTTGATTTTGATTATTATAGGATAATTTACTATTAGATGACACATTATAGGAGTCAACTTGAGCTTTTACTGGTAATATCGAGTATAATCATAGGTTGATGTGTTATGTTCATCAAATGGCATGCCATATGAATCCACTTAAGCTTTAACCGTTTAGTGTGATTACTATATATAAAATGATACGTTATGTTATCATATGACATATAGTATCATGATTATAAGTTCATATGTTTTATCATTAATTAGATTATTACACATTGTTTAAGTTGAGTCTCTAAGACTATAATTAGTACGTTAAGTTAGTTTATCATATATATTATATGACCATTCATTATTTTAGCATATAATAATTAAGTGTGGTTCATATATTAATTCTCAACATAAATATTAAATATTCAAAACTTAATTATATTTATTATCAGGTAAGTTTTTTTTTTTAATTTAATGACTTGTCTTCATATTAATGTGGGTAGAATTGTTAGTTTTTTATAATTTATAGGAAGATAAAATGGTGTTGAAATTAAAATTCTAGTTGGGATGACTAGTACATATATGTTCATATTTTAATTTTAAACAAAGTATAGGTCCTCCAAAAAATGTCTAATGTATAATTTTAGTAAAAACAATATGATCAATTATAATTTTAATAATATATATTATTAAAATAAATATTTTTGTAAATAATTATTTTTTAATATAAGTTTTTAATATAAGGAACCATTATTAGACAACAAGAATAACTTAAAAGCTTGTTTAAGTATAATATGATGCATCATCATCTCTCATAAATTCCACATTAGTAAAAATAGATGTAGTTAGGTATATGAAATATTTGTGGACACTAAATATAATCTAATACTTTAGTTTGTGTAGTGTACATTATAAATTTATATTTTTATATAACTAAATTTTATAATTAATAAATACTTTTAATATATGACATATTTTTTAAAATTATAATAATTTATTAAATTGTCATAATTTAAAAAAATGTCAAAATATAATTTAGATATAAACATAGAGAAAAAAAATCAAACATAAGAGAGAGTTTAAAAAATATTTAATGTAAGATTTGTTTTTCTATATTTTTATGGAATTTAATTTTAGGTAATGTATTTTTAAATTGATAATAATATTTAAATTAATTTATGGTTAGAAATAATAAATTATTTTTTATAATCAAGATAAAAAAATAGATTTTCATTATTTATGATGTTATATAAATTTTTAGGGTAGCATTGATATACTAAACTATATATTGGCTTTTTAATGGTTAAAAATATGTCATCTTATTTTAACATGTGAGAAAAATACATATTTTCAGGCCTTTTTCAGTAGAAAGTGAAAATTTTAGTTAAATTAAAAAATAAATAATGATTTTTTAAATTATATATATATATATATATATATATATATATATAATTGGTTATTTTAATTTTAAGTTTTTGGGTACTGTTTATTTTCACCCAGTTATGCAAATAAATAAAAAAGAGTATACATTTCACACTTTTTTTTTGCTAGTATATTTTTATCAAACAAATACTTTTTTCTTTCTTTCTTTGTGTTACCATGCAATGACGTTAAGATTAAAGAAAATATTTCATTAACCTTTTGTTTATAATTTTATTAATTTTTCTATAATCATATTATTGATACAGATTGTTCATTAACATAATTATTAAAAAAAATCATGAAGAAAAATATTAATTAAATATTTTCTAAAACTTAACGTATTTTGAACTACAATGAAAACATTAATTTTATTAATTTTAAAGTACACAACCTAACATCATATTTTTACATGAACTAAAAAAAACATATTTTCCTCGGAAATAAAAAAACTAAAATATCAGGTTCGGTTCGGTGGAGGCATAAAAGCCAAACAGGACCTAAGTAAGAGGAGGGACATGGAGTTGATTCACAGAAGAACACGAGCCCAATGATGGAGGACCAACCACAGAAACAACACTGGAAGAGGTCGCAAAGGACAAAGTCCTCTTCTTCTTCTTCTTATTCCCACATCAGCAATCTCGATGATGGTTGCCTTATGCACATTTTCAGCTTCCTTCGCCCTATTCCAGGTATAACCCCTTCTCTCTCCCTCTCTCTCTGTCTCTCCTTTTATTTTATCCTTTTTCCCTTCTAATTTTTTCTCTAAAATCTCAATCTTTTCGCCCAATTCAACAACACCCTTGTTTTTGTCTGTTCAATTTTGTTACTTTGCTGTGTCTTGGTGGGATTTGCGGTGGCCAATCTGCTTTTAGACTGGTAATGAGCAACATGAACTAGGTTTTGTTTTGATTTCTCCTCTAGTTTGTATGGATTGTGATTAATTGGCGTTTAGCATTTTATTTTATTTTATTGTGTTATGAGAATGGAAAACTTAAAATTTTATGCTTGAACCAAGTTGGGTTATGATGTCAAAATTTGGAGCCTTAAGTTCATTATTAGTTGCATGTTATGCAAAATTTTAGTGAAGCCTGTAAGATGAATTTAACAACTTAACCATCGCCATCCTTGTTCGCATGATTGTAATCTATCCATGATTTGCTGTCATTGAGCTGTTTTTTCTTTAACTAGTAAACTGGAGCTGCATCTGTGTTTGATGCTGAATGCCCTCATGTTGGATAGTATTTTCTTGCTGATAAATATATTTTTGCACAATATTGTGTTTTTATCTTCTCTCTCTGTTTGGTTTTCTAGTTCAGCCCTTACTTGTATTAAGGATATTATATTATTATTTGTAAAGAGATTGGGCAGGTTAAAGCCCTGCTGCAATGATAGTTTTTTCTTTTGCCCTTCTGTTTTGTCTCTATTGTTTCTACTTGTTTTAGATGATGTTATATCCTTTCTTTCTTTGTCCTCACACTTGGATCCTCTCTTCAATTAATTTTCTTTCTATGAAAGAATAAGGAGAAACTAATAACATACTGCAGAGCATTCAGTATCACAACGTTGCTATTGAGTTTGCAGATCGCTTTAATACCGCCCTCGTTTGCCACAGATGGAATTACTTGGCATGTCATCCTCGCTTGTGGCTTCGGGTAGATCGATCAGTGAAAGACTCATCTGAACCTGGTGTTTTCCCCAACATTGAAACTGCTGTTTCTGCTTCAAGGCATGTAAAAAAATGATGCTATTTGTGTATGATTTTAGATTTTTCTTCAGGATATGTCTTCTAACTGTCACTTTCTTTCTTACAGACCAGGTGATACCATTTTAATAGCAGCTGGTGGAAGTCATAATGTCGCAAACATTCAAATAAGGAAACCACTTTGCTTAGTGAGTTATCCAATTTGTGCGTGTGTGTGAATTATTAGATTATTCTACCTTTGGTCAGACATTTTCATCCCATCCAGTTTCAGCTAACAACTATCCTTGAGATTAGGCATTTGGCTTTTACAGTCTATCCAAAATTAAGCACATGGTTTAATGGGGTTTGACTAGTTGAGATATGATAGGAACTTGGGTAATATGGGGTGCCTAATTCCTACACCAAGTAATGTGTGATGCTAAGTGAAATATTTAACTACTTGATTCTCCCCACTTATTAACTAGCTTTTGAGGGTAAGTTGGGCTTGGGTACTTTACATGATACATGGATGGATATTATGAAACTTTATCGTTTTGATCGATTTTCATCTTGTCTTTGTTGTTTCTTGTTATGTAATTTTGCTGAGGACTGAGGAGGATTCCTTTCCTCCAATATCTTTTTTTTTTCATTCACAAAAATAAGACAATGATAGTGCATTCCTCTCTGATCTAAAAGGTTATTCCAATTTGTTTAGGTCAGCTAGTGGTGCTGCAAATAAATTGATTTCATAGATTTATGTCATGGATGGATTTATTATTAACACTAAATCAGGAGTTGGTTTCATTAGAGTCTGATTAAGACCCACAAATTGGAGTGATTGAGTAATCAGTTGGCAAAAAGAACATTAAAATGGAATCAGAATGCAGAACAGAAGCACAGCACGAAATGTTGGGACTCCATTGCCAACAAGAAGAATTTTCTCCGGACAAGGTCATGATGGAGAATACGAAGCACTATTTCCTTCTGCATCCAACCGTCATCCCTAAAGCGGTTTTGAGGCTGATGACATGTTCAGAAGTACTCTTTCAAGAAGATGATGATGCTCAGACTCTCAATCCCAGCGGGGAGAAAATAGGGTGCTAAAACAAGTTTTCTGAACAAGAGTTTTTACTTGTTAATTTTTTCTAAAATGATTTTTCAGAACCGTATTAAAATAATATTAATAAAAGAACTAAAACAGACAGACTACTATTGGTATCATGTCACTGCCAATTTCATGCACTCTGAATTCTTTACTGGTAGCTAGTGGTTGTACTACTTTCTCGTTGTTCTAATTCTCGAGTAAACATTAATGATAGCAAATTTCTCCAAAATTTTGGTTTTCCCAAATCAATGTTCTTTGTTCAGATTGGTGCAGGTGAACTTCCAGATGACACAACACTTGTTTGTTCTCGGGGCTCTGACAGGTTTGCATTCCTTACATTTAGATTTTGTGAGGTAGTAGCTAGGAACCATGTCCATGCTGCTGGGTTTCAATGGATAAGATTCTTGGCCAAACAGAATGGTTTATACCTCTTGCTATGATTTTGTGTATCTGTTGCCATCTCAACCATTATCCAGTAGCTTGGAAAGGGCTCCTGGAAAAAAAAAACTCTCACAGTCTCACTGTAGTCATATAGATTATAAGCGTTTGTTTTCATTAGTCCTTGACCTCACCAAATCTTCTTTTTCAGTCCCTGACTTTACAAAATGTCAATTACTTCCGTCCTTTGTCTTGAAATTTTCCACTGACAATTTTGCAAAAAATCATAAGGAATAAAGTGGTTTCAGCGAATGACGTTTTGCAAAGTTAGGGTGTAGTAATGTTGAATTGAACAGAAGTTTTACACTTTCTAATGCATAAACATGGACCCAATATGCGTTGGACAGGCGTAAACTTGAGTCAATTTGTTTGGAACTGGTATCCAAACACACACTAAGGTTAAAGTGAAAATTTTACAATATCAGGGACTATAACGTTTACAATCTTAGTGAACATTTATTTAATCCCTTGAAAAGTACCACCAGATAATATTTTCAGCAACACTTGGTATGTTCTTTTTGTTTTGTCTGAGCAGTGCACTGGAGTTCCTATCCACATGCAAATTAGCAAACTTAACTGTGAGGGCTGAGCTTGGTTGCTGTTTGCTACATAGAAAGGGAAGGTTAACTATTGATGGATGCATACTTCAATGTGAATCTAATCCTCTGGATTATCTCTCATGTCCCATTGTGAGTACAGCTAGTAGCAGTGAGGTTCTTCCCTCACAAACCAAGACTAATGGTGATGGTGTATTTGTCTCGCAAACCCGAATTGAAGGGGGTGCCAAAGCTGTTTTAACAAGTGGGGATTTGGCTTTGCAACGTGTGAGAGTGATTTATGCTCGAACCTCGCTTCTTTTCTGGTTTGATGTAGAGCAGATGTGTGATCAAATTGACCATGATAAGCCTCTCTGATATCATTATTTGTTTTCGTTACTTAGACTTGTCTGTAATTTTAGTAGTGATTATAGTATTTTCATTCTTTGACTGTTGCTCTTTTGGTTCTTGTTATTTACTATTTAGGAAGCATATATGTAATAAACATTCAGGTTACCATGGTCTTCATAATGAGTCGTCTACATTTAATGCCTTAATTTATAAGGCAAATTACTCTCACATTTTATGAGATTTAATTTATTACACTTGATTTTTTTTACACGAATTTGATAAGAAATCACGGGACTTGTGTGTTAATGGAAAAAAAAAATGTGTTTAAACTGCTAGAAAACAAAAGTAGTGTACCTTGGGGTTTTGTGAGTGTTCATAACAGTTGGAAACTGTATTTTAACATAGTTGAAGTTGAAATAGAATCATCAAAATGAAACAGGGAATTTGACTATGTTGGATTTGTAGAAATTAAGACCACATAATTTTGTTTTAATTAATATAAATTGTATTCATTATTTAAGAAAAAAAAAACACAATAAATAACAGAAATGATTATGAAAGTTGACTAGTTTGTGACTAGATTAGATTGAAAGCAACTTAGAATGTCTTTTCTTTTTTTGAAAGATTATAGTGTGTTTCATTTTATAGTGACTGAAATCCACTTTTTAAAACTGTATGATTATTATTTTGAATTTTTTTTAAATTAAGTTGTTTCAATTATTCTCTGACTGTTTAATAATAAACTTAACAAAATGAGTAATAATAATGTCAGATATCGATGATTGTGATTAATAATAATAACCTTTAACGCTTCTTATTACTAAAATATAATAGTATTTATGTTTTGGTTTACAATCAGATTATATCTCAATGTTAGACAATAATCATTTAATTTGAAAAATACTGAACCAATCGTGTTATTAATTGCTTATAAAAACCAAAAGTACGACAACGAAAAGTAAAATTAACTCTTTTCCTACGCATGGTTAGTAACCATGGCTAATAAGAATTGCATAAGCACAAGCAGATTGTTGTTACACTCGTGTTTAGAATAGAGGAAAAAGATGTGGCGCTGAACCTTTTTATCTACCTCAGCCTCAATGTACATCACTCATTCAATCAAAACACATGGAGGACGTAGCTATGTTTCAATATTTTCTTCAAACGCATATATGCATACAATTGCATTCTATGAAATACAAACACAATTAACTTCCCTTCCACTATGGCAACTTAATATAAGAAACCAAACCATTCAAATAATAACATACAACCGTGGGAAAGGAAAAGTGAAGATATCTATTGAATATAAAAATGTAAAAAGGATCAATGCAACCCACAATGAACAGAATATGCCATTGATAAGGGAAAGAAGTTACGATCTGAGGTTTTGACCTTTTGAACTCCATTCTTCTCTTGGCCTCTTGTGCGTTTCCTTAACCCTAGGAGCAAATGAAAGATGGGTCTAGCAGCTTCATTTACCCAAGTTTCCTTTTGTCAACCAACAACTTCCTCTTCACCAATGTTTGATTCCGTTTGGCAGCTTCCTCCGGAGCAACTTCTCGTTAAGTTTCTACTTCTCTCTCTTGTTGAAAATCATCTTCTTTCAGTATGTTTCTATCAATCTGTTTTTCAACTTTTTTTCTTTCATTTTTTAAGTAACATCCACTTAGGAGTCACTCATAAAAAAAAAAAAAAAAGGTGTAGGGTGTGTGTATTAACAAAGTGGAGTCTACATTTTCCAAAACTTTTTCCTTGGCCAAGCAACATAAAAGAAGTTACTGTCTCAACTCAACCACATTTTCAAACTAGACAAGATTTTTGTCAATAATGTGGAAGAAGTTATTATCATTTCTTTATTAGTAAATAAATATTTGCAGTAACCCCAACAAAGAAAATACTAGTAAGCCTTGGTGATTGCCAATACCAGACAAAAAATTTAAAAAGATTATACCTGTTAGAATTTTCCAAAATCTTTTCCCCTTTTATAAATTCTCCATCCCAATCCCCAGTATTATTACACAAGATTTATTTCTTGTACATTTCACTATCCCACCATTCTCAGAGAACATCCCAAACAACCTGAAAATTGAGCACCAAATATCATCAAATAGATGTTCCTTTAAAACAAAATCCATCGCAAATATTACTACAAAAGCCTTAAGATGGTTGGATAACAACAACGTTGATAATATGGTTCTTGTAAAGAATTGCATGTTGAACTTCTAATTAAAATACTGATTCAAAATTAGCCCTCATAAAAAATAACGAGGACTGGTGAAACAAAGATGGAGAATAGAATTACAAAAAGAAAGAAACTCGGATCACTATTAGTAGGTGGGTTGCGTGCCCTCTTTCCATTGACTATCTATCTATGCACAAACACCAAGTTCTACAGATATCCTTTCTGTTTCAAAATTAATGCAGCTGCTTCACCAATACTCTAAATCAAAAGAATATAGGCACAAATACAAAATGCAAACATATTAAAAATTTTAATTGGTTGCTTACCGTCACAGGGGTAGATGAACTCAATTCCCTGTAGTAGGTTTCTGTTTCATCACCAAATCATCGGCAGAGTAATAATCTGCTATGAGCCGGTACATATAGGAAGGGTTATGCCCTCCGCTGAAAAGTTCCAAAACCAGAAAATGCAAGAAAAGCAACAGATTAATACACTTACTTTAAGTCCACTCTGAAAGTGGAGCTAAATTTCTTGATCAATTACATTTTAACTTACGTGTCAGTAATGAAGAGACTAACAAGGTTTGGTGGCACATAATCAAATGCTGGATTAACAACATGAAGAGAACCAACACCAGTTGCAGAATCCATCAAATCTGAGAATTCTCCAAAGTCTAATAGCTCGGATGGGGATCTCAGCTCATTCAGTAGAACTTGAGGATTGTGAGGATACAAAGGGCACAACTGTCAATAAAATAAAACAATTTTCAATGAAAGTCATATAGTTGGTGATTGACAAGATGCAGCAGATCACAACTTAATTTCATAACAGGATTGAGGCAACGAGGTTTACTTGCTAGAAATTAAGAAGGCATTGTGTGTATTTGCTATGATGCAGGACGAATCCAATACGACAACACACTTATTTGAAAAATAATAGGATAGGATACATAAAAGATACATATTTAAAAAATGTGTAAAACAATAAATATAAAATTGCAATTGTAAAAATCCAAATTAAAATCACTTTTCTTATACATTGCTGAAATAAAAAATTATATAATAAATTATTTATTATTTGCATATAGGAATAATACTATCAATCTCATGACTTTTAAAAATAATTCATAAAAATCACACTTTCCCACTTTGGTCTAGACAGCCAAAAAACAAGAACAAACATTTATTGTTATGGAACATTTTAGGTTGATTATTCATAGCCAGTTAAATATTCCTATGCTTATCCACAATTTCTATTTTTTTTAAAAGAAAAAAAAAGATTCAAAGTAGTTCACAACTAAAACTAGTGTCATACATTCATTTTAATTCTAATCAAATTATTATATGGTATGTTAATTCGTTTTAAAAATTCTGTATAATATCTAAAAACACTATAGTCATTTATTAGATTCTTATATTTCAATTTACAAATTAACCAAACTATATTTTATTATTAGATCAAAAAATTAAGAGACACATAACAACTAGTTCTCAAATCTCTTGTGTAAAAAAAATATCAAACTCCTTGGCAGTAAACTATCACTCTGTTTCCAGATTTAACAGAATAGGAAAGAAATAATGGAGAGACCTCAAATGTCAAAAGAATATTGTTTCCTATAACATGACATGTTAAGGAGCTAGAGATTATATGTTCACAGTTTACCTTGTGACTCCCAGCAAGTACAACAAAAGGTACAGCATGCCTATGAGCTGCAAGTGCAACCATATGCAACCCAATTGGGGCAATTACTCCACCATTAGCCATGACAGCATGAGCACCAACTATAACCTAAACAATGATAAGCTGAAATGAATTTAAATTCAGCACCAGTGACTTGATTCCAAAATTTACACCAGAATTTTCACATACCATATTCACTCGGGAAATCATAGCAAAGGTTGCAGAATCAGCAATTACTGTGGTCTGTAAGCCTCTAGCAGCCAATTCTTTTGCAAGGATATGTCCCTGATACCTGATTGCATATGCAGACAACATTCAATGGTCTTCTGAAGAACACAGATAAAACCTTTCTAATACACTAGAATCATTCCTTGCAAATGTTAATTAGCCATATAACTACAAACCTTGGGGCACCTTCAGCAACAAAAACCCTAAATGATCTCTTTTTCTCCTTTGCAGCACAAAGAAATTCGAACACTGTTTTTGAACTGCCTAGCGTTAATATTACCTCACTGAAAAGTAGCGGTGCAAACAAATAAGAATGAAAGGTTTCCTTTTGTATAAGAAATAAAAAAAAAAAAGAAAAAAATCCTAAATCAAGATGTAATCACATAAATCAACAGAATAAATCTTTGTCTTGGTTACTTAGACAAGAAGGATGTTAGAACATAAATAATAGAAAAAACAGAAAGAATAAGGTATAGATCCTAGTGTTAGTCATGTAGATCACGCAACCCTTGGCAACATGAAACAACCTCCAATTTGAGAAACATGAAATGACGAAACAACTTATTTTCCCAATAAACAAAAAGCAACAAACCATGTTTAAGTTAATATCAAAAAGGTAAATATGAAGAGTTTTCAGCTGTTTGATGTTGCAAATTACTTGACATATTTATGAAATATATGCATGATATTCAAAGTTAATACTATGTACTTCAAAATTGTTCTTTACCCAATTATATCAAGTAATAGTATTAATTCCACCCAATACCATTGCCACGTTCATAAAACAATTAAATCATGATTTTATTTATTTTATTACATCCAAGATCAATAATGCAGTCCCCACAGAAAGCTAAAATACGGCAGAAACAGCCTACAAGGGAAGCTTTAACTATATTGTAGCTCGATAAACTCAAGCATATAAATAGTTAAAAATAATTGGAACCTTCCTATTGTGTTAGTCCTTGCCATTGTCTGTCCAATCTTTCCTTACATTTCAACATCAGTTTAGTTTGTGATTTAAGAATTTAACCCATCTTTATCTAGTTGTCATGTTAATATTCACTGTATGACATGGTAAGATAATTCTCAACATGCAATACAAAATCTTTCAATCAACCAAAGAGAATTCTTTGGTGCTGGACACTTTACCAGTGGATATTCATGACCAGAAATCTAACTGTCATAGCATTGATGATAAAAGAAAAGAGTATTTTCTAGTCCAAGTGGAAAAAAAAAAATCGACAGGTAAATATTTTCTTTAGCTCACTCACAAGTTTTTAATCTCAGACCAATCGGCTTTTTGGATCTTATAATGGCATGTTTCGAAATAAGAACTTTAAAGTAGCAAGAGATATATATGTCTTAGAACAGTGTCAGGTGAAACGAACTTTTGATGAATATGCTCTACTGCTTGTTCTGCTATTTGTTCATGGAAAGAGGTTATGTCTTGAATAAGTTCATTGACTGCTTCAATGACATCATGCTTTAACTTCCGACCTCTTGTACCCTTTTCACCCTTTTCAACAGCTGTAACAAAAGAAAGCTCAAAAAGATAAATGTCGTTGAATACTAGAACAACAACTTCTTCATCAAATGCCACACAGCAACAAAGGGACCAATATTTTACAATAATCACAGGGATCAATCATCCAATAAAAAACAAGCAATGTAAATGAAGTGTTTTAATATTTTTATAAAAAAGAGGAAAAAGTTACATATTCGATTTTATAGCATTAATTGTATTGAAGAAAGTTATCTAAAAGAATACTTCACTTGTGTTAGCGTAATATTTTTGCATCCATGTAAAAAGATGAAATGAAAAAGTAACTTTTCCATTGCATTTAAGCATGAATTTCCGCATATCAAATACCAATATTTTTTATCAAAAAGCAGAAAGAATATATCACCAAAAATATTATAGTTACAACACATTTCAAGTTTCACAGCATCCTCACATCTACTTTTCCCTTCGGAATCACCCGCCGAGGAAGGGATTGGTGTAAGGGCAGCTGAATCAGTCACATCCTCTAGAAGAGTATGTAATGATGGTGGACGCAAGGTTCTTCTTGCAGCAGCTGCAACAGCAGCAGCAGATAACGCAGGATAATCATCTCGCTCCACATCATCTTCCTCATCACTTGCAGCAGACATCCCATAACCAGCCATAGCATCCGTAACAAGGGAAAGATGCTCCTCCCTTATAATATAAAGAACACGCCTCACAATATTTCCCACAGCCAACTCTGCAATCCGATACATGACATTTTATAATATGCAAACAATTAACTAATCACAATTCCAAATGACTGTAAAACATCCTTTAAGCAGAACTACTTAACTAGGCAACCAGGCAGCAAATAAATCAGAATAAACATACTTTGACTGTTATAAAACATAACACAGCAAAATGTATATTTTTTTGGGTGTCCAGGGTATCCAGCCAAGAACCATAGAACATGCTGACAGATACCAATACACACTAACAGATCCAATAAAATGTATATTTCTGTCATAAAATAAAAAAAGTATGAACACTCGATATATACCAATAGGATTAGCATCAATAATCTGCTCCCCCACAGCCCTCACAGCATTAATCAGAGCCGTGGCCTGGTTTGCGTGTGGCACCCGCTGATGCGAAATCACTGACCGGAGCAACTCTGCTGTCTGCTTCGCAGTGGCCTGAGACCCTTCAATTTCACTACCATCACAACAACAAAATCAGCAACTACAAATTACAAAAGCAACAATTTAACAACAAATCAAACACACAACACACATATACAGAGAAAAATAAAACAAAATCAGTTCCTAAATGTCATAAGCAACATCTTGATCCCAATTACACCATTCACTGAACTCAAACATCATCGGAGGAGGAAAACTTACCGCTTCTTTAGCAGATTCACAAATTCATTAACAAGGCCTTGAACATCCGGCATTTTCCTGAAAAAAAAAACAACAATAATATTACGAATAATAATAAGTAAAACGAAACGAAAAAAAAAATTATTAATTGAAAATAGAAGTAAAATGGTAACCTAATTAAAGATGCAATATATGAAGTAAGTAAAAGGTTGTTCAAAATTTGAGATGTAATAGAACAAGTGTTTGTGTTTGGTTTTTATTCTCAGTTGCGTGCGCTTTATATAGTTGTATACGAGGAATCCGATGGTCCAGGTTTGAATAGGGCATACCCGCCACCGCTACAAGGTGAAACCTAATAAATATTACCAATTGATAAAGATTAATCACATATATGCTACCAATAATATTTTAATGAATTAAAATTAAATATATATATATATATATATATATATATATATTAAATATTTATTCTTGAAATTATATAGTTTTAAAGAGAAATAATCATATGAAAGAATACGAATACAAGAGAGATCGAAGAGAATCACGCCTAATCAATAAGGTAAAGAAAAAATAACATTTTATTAATTTATATTCAACACAGATTAAAAAAAAAAGTGTGATTAAAGAAATAGATGAAAAAACAGATACATTTTAATTAATGTTATTCACATAGTTTATATTTAAGAAACATTGACGAAACATGTTATTGAAGATATAATAGATAAAATATAAAATAAATAATTTATTAAATATAACATCAATATATATTTAAAAAATATAATAATATAGATTAAGATATTTTTTAAAAATTATATCTATATTATATATAAAAAAATCCTTTTTACATTAAATATTAAAGGATTATCCCTTATATTCTTTTTTTGTATTATCGTTTAAAATATTATAAATTTAAAAAATAGTACAGAAATAAAGAGAAAAAAATGTTATATAGATAATGAATGAAAAAAACATGAAATAGACAATAAAAAAAAAACTAAAACACATGTATAATGAATGAAAAAAAGAGACATGCAATATATAATAGAGAATATAGAAAAAAATTAAAGTAAAGTATTTAAAAAAATATTAATAATATAAAAAATAGACCAGTATCACTTATTTAAACAGGTCAAATGAAAGATACATAAAAGCGAAATTTTAACTTTTAAAATTAAACTCGTAATCCCTTTAATTTTTGTATAAGAAAATAATATATATATATATATATATATATATATATTATTTATCAGTTATTTGTTTATTTTTATCTCAAAATAATTTAGATTATGTTTTATATTTATTAAAAAAGTATTCATTTAAAAATCGTAAAACTGTTTCAAAATAACTTATATACTTAATAATATATTTGAATTGTAACTATTGTGATTTTATAGTATTTATGATTAAAAAAAGTTATACAGTAATTATTTATATATTTATATTTTGACATAATATATTAAAATTTAATTTTTTTACAATAAATATTATCTACATTTATAATTTAATTCTTTATTAAGAATAATTTTAATTAAACAAAAACAAATTATTCAATTTTTGTCCAAGATACATATATAACATCTAATTAATAATTAGTTTATCGATTTTATAGTATATATCAGCAAAATAAAATTACCTTAACCATTTATTTACAGTCTTAACACTATTAATAAATTTGTTATATATATATATATATATATATATATATATATATATATAATTATGGTTTTTTATAATCTATTATACATCCTTTTAAACAATGTCATTTTCTTTTTCTATCCTCTCTTGTATTTTGTTATCATCTTTCACCGCAATTAATATTTTTTACATCATTCATTAAATAAATAAATCTTTTATATTTATTTAAAGTTAGATTTTTAATTTGGATAATAATTTAAAACTTAATGAATCACATAACTTTTCAATATAACACTCCTTATTAAATGTCATCATATTAATATTTATATTAATAACAACTTTTTTATTTATATGAATTTTATATAAAATATAGAGAAACATACATAAATATTATAATTTACTAAATTTGATAAAATAATAAAAAAAATTAAAAATATTCTAAACCTTTTCTTAATATACTCCGTAAAATTTATTTTTTTGAAATAAAAATCTCTTAACTTGAAAGTTTAATTATATTATTTTTTTTAAATTATACTGAACAATTTTAAAAGTAACCTAACAATCATCTAGATTCATCTTGGTTATATCTATTTCAGAAATAAAATTTAATAAAAATGTGAGATTTTCTAAATATTAAAATGATATCTTTATGTATATATATGTTTTATCAATAATAAATGATTTTAGTTGGATTACATTGTTTTGAAAAATAAAATAATCATGAGGACTGAAAATAGGAATTAATGTCATTGTTTTTTTTATTGGTCCATTCTTTATATTTTTTCTCTTACTTATTCTTATAATTAAAAATATTAGTTTAAACTTATTTGATACACGTTAACGTGATTTTTTTAAAATTTAGATTAAAATAAAAATATTCAAAATCTAATCAAAATAAATAAATAATTTAAAAATATTTTATTATAATATTGTTTACGGTGGAATTTCGATCGATTTCGTTTCTAAGGGTATTTTGGTCTTTTAATCGAAATCCTCCCACGTAAGCTCTTTTTACTTAGGCTAGCAATTTGATTTTCAATCGAAAACGTGTATGAGAATCGAAAATTACAGGATATCGAAAATGCTGTTTTTGGTATTTTGTATTTTAAAGTATCGAAAGCGATAAAAATATCGAATCAAGAAACAATGTTAAATTGCAAGAAAATGTAAAGAGCGAAAATCCAAATTTGCATCAATTGTAAATGACGAGGAATCGAAAATAGTGCAAATATAAATGACAAGAAATCGAGATTGCAAGAAAAGTAAGTGACAGGAAATTGAGATTTGCGGAACATTAAATAACATGGAAACTTAAATGCATAAACTTAAATTTTCATTGAATTGAAATGGACAAGGAATCGAAAATACGTAAACATAAAACTGCTGAATCTAAGTTGCATCAAAATAAATTACCAAGGAAAATACGAAAGCGGTAAATGTACTCGATGAGCAAGGAAATCCAGATTGCCGAAGCTTCATGGTGTTCGTTGTTTCTCCGGTAGACTTTTCACTACCGATTCTCGTTCTCCGCCAATTTCGCCCCCTTGTTCCTTCCTCCTTTGCTCTATTTATAGGGCATCCTTCAAGCCTTCCGAGAGCAGTTAACGCGACTGCTACCACGTTCTACGTGCGTATGGCAGTTTATCTTCTATAGTTTCCCACGTTCTCACGATCTCCGACTTTTTTCCCATGATTTCAAAAACTGCTCTTTATACGTGCATTCGACTTACTTCCTTTCACGATTTGGCCAAAGTCTCGATGTCCACATTGGCTTTCTTTACTCTCGATTCTGTATTTTTCGAGAACTTTGAATTGCTTACGATTCCTTTTTAACCCTGGTCTTATATGACTTAGTTTTTATTCGACAACAGTCATTTGATTATTATTCATTCGATTCTCGACTGTGCTTCTCGATGCTATATGCTACGTATTTCTAATTAGACATCGAATGAATTTTTGTTTGTCTTATCGAGTCACATTTCTTTCCTTCGATTTTGATCGCTTTTCTCGATTTGCCACTAACAAAATGCCCCCTTGGAAGAATATAAATGATTTCTGTTTTATATTCTTTCAATATTCCCGCCTTAGTGTTTGAAAGCTCACAGGATTTAGGGTTTAGGGTTAAAAGGGGTTTTAGGTTTCTTTTCTACTTTACGTCGCCGTCTCATCAGTCTGTTGCCTTTCAGTACAAGTTACATTAATTACCTTTCCCTTCCGTCGTTTCCAACTCCCTAGACGATTTCCCTTTAACCTTTCCTTGGTCTTTACTCTGGTCTTTTCGCGAACTATCACCCTCTTTGCAATCTCATCTTCTCCCTTGAGCTCCTGCCTTCGTCCCTGTTACCTCATCCGTTAACTCTTCCCTTTCTGTTTTCCTAAGCTCACTACAATGGTCACTTCATCCAGGTCATCTGATTTCTCGACTCCCCCTCTTACCTCATCCGCTGCTACCTTGCTGGAGATTAACAACCAGCAGTTTGCTCCCCTGCCTCTAATGGAGGAAGCTTCCAAAAAGATTGCTGAAACGCAGGTATTAGTTCCTTATACTGTTGAGGGGGATTTTCGATTTTTTACACTTGTCTCAATGTGACTTGTCCTACTTAGACATGACTATGTTTTTGGCTGCCGTGCATTTGTGGAATAAGGAAATACATGCGTTGGAATTACCTTGTGGCCCTCTCTCACCTACTCTTTTCGATGTCGCAGCCATCACTGGGTTAAAACCTACAGGGGAAAGATACTTCCAGGGTGCATATCCCTCGGATAATTCGCTGAAGTCCAAAATTGATTGGGAATCTAAGGCCTACGGGCATTTTATTGAGAAACATTTTGTTGATGACCCCTCGATAGTTGTTACTGATGAAGAACATGTAGCATTTTTAGTGTATTGGCTATGCACCCATGTGTTTTGCCCCCGATCGATCCAAATTTTCCCCCATCTATTCAACCTTGCGTATCTACTTCACTTAGGTCAACCTAGCCTATGTTTGGCTAAATTTTTGTTGGTGCATGTATATACTGCTTTTGACGAAGCTGTCGAAATTTTGAGTACTCCTAAGGCATCGGGGAATTTTTCTGGCCCCGTTTGGTTTATACAGTTATGGTTAACTTCAATTTTTGAGAGCGTTCTTCCTCGATTTTCTACTGTTCCCCCGAGTGTAAATATAGAAGGGGCCCTATTATCCTCTCGCCATCCTCGCCATAAGTCTGACGAAACTACCTATTGTAAATACCTTCACTTTTTGCTAACTAGATTCGATTTCGATTCAACCTTGGCCCCTTTTACTGTAAATCTTGGATGAACAAGTGGCCAACTTAGGGGGCCTATTTGGTTTAAGTCAAAGTTTCCTGCTTCAACTCCTGGGTTGCAATTAGAATTGGTCGATATATGGAGTAACTACTTAACCCAGGATATACTAGTATCGGGCTTTCACTCCAA